AATTCTTCGAAGCATCGAATAATCAAGATCTCCTGACATTCATTCGTGTTTGGCAGCATTTTTAAACAGCTGGACAATTGCTTCCGATACCCAACTAGCGTATTTCCTATTAGCATATCCAACTGTGAAAATGGCTGTTTTACGGAGATTTTCCTTTAGTTTTGACCAATATTCATTAGCCAGAAAAGTCATTAATATTTATGGTGCTTCAATAATTTTGCAATTATTATGCAATTAATTATTGTTCCAGAATCTTTTAGTTTGAGATAGTTGAAAGATCTTGTGGAATGTTTCTTGTGAGTTGTTAGTTGTTAGTTTTATGCGAATCTTGGTTCGAACCATAATATAATCTGATCCATGAAAAATGCCTATTTCAGAGCCGCGACAGGGGCGACTAACATAGAACTCTTCCAAATGGGAATGACTAAGATATAAAAAATTCGGTTGAAGTATTAGTTATCCAGGGATTCCGTGTGACTAGATGTCATTGGCGTACCGGACCTCGATACTAGCCAATCATATTAGCCAATTGCCGAGTTCATCGCTGCAGCATCATGACGCATGTGCGCATTCCAATCTCTCGATTATGACCATATTATGCATCAGTACAGAATCTATTTGCAGTCGAAGTTCATAAAACTTATCTTTATCATGGTAATCTGCCAACAAAATTGGAGCATAGGCATTGATGACCGAGATATTACAGAATTTACTTTTAAAGCGGACATAAGCCATATAGTCGCTTACCGGTTTCCACTCAATTAAAACGGAATGGGCGTTTTCAAACATGACAATCGCTACCCCATTTCGCCCCCGAGTTATCCGAAACATCACAGTGATAAAGCCCGTACCTCTGCTTCGAGGTAGGATTAATAATTACTCTAGGCCCGAAGTGAGGAAGACGGACCTCCGACAAACAGGTGATATCCACACGATATTAGAAAGCGTGTGGACAATTATTGCATGGACTTGCAAACGTTCTGACGTTCTATGACATTTGCAAGCTTTGAGATCGTTTGACTAAGTGAGCCTGGATTACGTATTTATCGCATAGAGTTACTTGGGAGCATAGTTACGAGCAGGTCCCCAGCAACCACCTGGATTCTATCAGAGACAAATCGTAACAATTGAAGGAAATAACAATAATACTTGTGACAATATTATTATTATTATTTATTAATAAATGATAATGATAAAATAACAGTAATAATATTCGACAGTAAATAATTAAATTTAATAGATAATGAAGAATTAATGACGGTGAAACAATACAGTAATAATAAATGATAATAAAATAATAAATGAAAGCAAAATTGGGATATTCATAAATAAATAAATAAAACAATCCAGTTTTTACAGTGAAAAATAAAAAGAAAAAGGCTAACTTTGAGATACATCTGTGGATTTGTTAAAATCTGTTCGTCGACGATGTCGAGCGATGCATGCGCAATGAACTGGTTGAGGTGCCTTGCGTCGTACTCTCGTTTTCGCTTCGCGTCGCAAACGGGGAATTCTATCTCGAAAATCGGTTGGTCGTTATGACCAACGATAACAAAATAATATTCTCTCGACTGTGACATTCGACCCGATCACCTGACACTCACAACTTTTATATAAATCAAAAACGACTTCCGCGCCGTTCCGACTCGCTTAGTCGACCCGCACAGCCTTCGAATTGTCGCCGAGAAATGCAACGCGCGGACGAGGAAATTTTGTGATGGAAAATTAGAAAGTTGGCGAAGAAAACAGAAAAAAATGAGCGAAAAACAAAACGACTTGCCGTCGCCGTTTTTTCATTTTCCATTAATTCGTTAATTTAGAACTCAGAATTTCTTTTCGTTTATAAATAATTTGCTGAGAAACAAACGAATTTAGCTTTATTCAACTCGCGGCGCTCACCTTTTCCTCAGTTCTTTAATTCTCAACGCTCAATAAAATCATAAAAAATTAGATAGAATTGGAATAACTATTCTGCAGCCTTAATGCTAAATTGCAGCTTAATATAAAAACAGTGGATTTTTGTAGTTTGTTTGATAATCTGTATTCGTTTCGGGTTAATTAAGGAGGTGGAAGATTTCGTAAGGGGAAGAGAGTCATTGGACGTTTAGGAGATTTCTGACATTGCAGCGGTAGAAGATCACTGTAGCCGAGCTAAACTGCTTCGATTCGGGTCAGTTCTCGTGCCTCTCCCTTGTTGTGATTCGCTTGGTGCTACTCCCATATTTTTCCTAACTCTTTGTATCTCATTTCATATATATAAATCGATATTATTTTTTTCTCTAAACTTTTTCAATTATAATTTATGCAAAGATGAAAATAAAATTCTCTTATTAAATATGTAATTTATTGAATTACATATTTTATTAATGAAAATTAATATTTTTAATATTTTTAAATTTTCTGTTTTACATTTCCAAATTTTACGTTTGCATATTTACATTTACATATTTACATTTTTACTTACACATATTTACACATATTTACATTTCATATTTTACGTAATTTTATTTGATTTTATTTGCAGTTTTACATGCGATTTTTTCTTTTTTCTACGAGCGTATTTCTTGCTTTGTTGATTTGTTGGAAGAGACAGTTTTCGCCTGGGGAATCACTTCTTTTACCTAAATTTAAATAATATATTTATTTCTTCACAATAAAAATCACACCACCTTTTTTATGCAAAATGAATAATTACAGAAAAGAAAAATAAAATTGTCGACTATAGAAATGGTGAAGCATCAGCACCACACGGACAAAAGACAGGTTTATTCCTGCTAGGAATAGAAATAACCACCCAATGAGCCACCAATTCTTATATTTTCTTTTGCTATTTATTTTAGTTTATATATTTTTATATTATGTAATCTTACGCAAATTCTCATATCATTTCAATCATCTTTTGGAAATAATCTATTATGAAGTTTGGAAATTATGATATATTATTATTTTATATTATATTATTTATTTTAAAATTGAAAATAAAATTACGAATTCTCGTTGATTTTTTTATTTTTATGTACATTTTCATCTTTAATTAACGATGTTTATAATACATATCTTTTGAGGAATGAACGTACCGCAACACATTTCGGTGGACGGGGACGAAACAATTCATCGGCAAAGGCCAAGAAGTATTACTGACGGATCAGATTTAGCTTATCAGATGAATGTACCTGAACGTATATTAGTTGCCGGAGGCGATAAAATTGTCAGCGAAAGAGCACCACCACCTGAACTTATTGCCGATCGTCTTCTTTCTATCTATCCAACTGAAGTAAATCTTTTTAAGCTGGAAAATGATTTTTGACTTAAAGCGCTATTTTCTTCTAATCTTTTCTTATCTTTTTTCTTATCTTTTTAAATATTTATTATATGTTATATTTATATATAAAAAATATTAAAAATTTTAAAGAATTTCTGGGGAAAATAGTCCTAAATAATTGACCTTGCTTTTTTATATTATTTTTCTATTTGTTAAAGTTTCACCAATTGTAAAAGGATTATTTAAGTGATAAATAATCGTTTTATACTTATTTCGCGCTTAATTTTACAAAAAATTCCTCAAATGTCTCTTTTATAGGAATTGAGTACTCCACCGAAAAAATTAACATTAGATATTGCAACTTATCCTGATATTGAAGAGGACTCTCATCTGCATTCCGTGAACAGCGGCAATATTCAAGTAAGCTGTCATTTAAGGAATTAAAAGTGGTGCTGCTATTTAGTCGGAAATTACATGAGGCTCTGATGTTCAAAATTGGTTAGATAAAGTATAATTTACTATTTATGATCGAAAATAAAATAAACGCAATAAAAATAGGTTTGAGCTACAGCTAACTATAGATAAGTCGTAAGCACCATCAGAAATTTCAGTGATAAGTCACTCTTCTGGGGATTAGGAGCCTAATTTAACTCAATACGGTAACAAACACTAGGCTCACCGGCAGTGCTCACCATTTCTAGCAATTAGCAATTAACTGTTCGAAATTTTTGCCATGGAATCTCACTCAGCGGCAAAAGTACAAGTGAGTTGTAGTACTATCTGGATTATAGTAACAGGTTTTTATTTCTGCTACTTCTGAGCCCTTGTTTCACAATAACAGTCTGAGTTTCATTGTCCACTTGATTGTTCTGTTCCTATTTATGCCTAAATATTACTATTATTATTACTACTTTAATACTACTATATAATACTACTATTATTATTACTATTATTATTTTAAAAATAATAATAGTAATAATAATTAATAATAATGAATGACACTAATCTTTAATATAGGAACAAAGTATGTCAGCAGAATCAATAGCAGTTGATGAAAATCCTCTTCGTGAGTTGAAAAAAATGTCGAAGCAGTTAATTCGTCTTTCAAATCGTTTATATCAATTGCAAGATGAACAAGAACGTCGAAAAACTCGTGAATCCATCGCGCTAATACAACTGTTTTTTTTAACAGGTGCTGTCATTTACTTATTCTTGAAAAGAAAATGAATATTTATAACTATATTTGATTAACTAAATATTTATTCTCAATAGAAGTAATTTTGGTTAATCAAATTGAGAAGTAGGGAAGCTAGTTCTAGATTTACGATGGAGAATTGTTTTATAATATCGAGCTGAAATGGAGATCGATTTGTTAATTTCTTACTATTTGTAATATTTATTTTTCATTTACTACTTTTAATATTTATTGTCAAATTATTTTATTGATTCATATATTCTCTTAAAAGATGTAATTTATATAGAAGTTATTAGGATTCAATATGTTTTAATATTTCGTTTTAATATTTCTTTTATAATAGTATTTTCCTTGCAATTGCAATTTTTACCATCGTTTTGCTGCTTTAATTAACTATAGAAATTTTGGTGAATTTCTATTCATGGATCCATTTTTTCGTTTTATTCTGATATCGACGAATGAATATTAGATGATATTTTCTAATGATAGTTTTTTTATTGGTATTTTAAAAAATTTGATGGGATTTTTAAAGAAAAATTTAAAATATGCACATGAAATTTCGATATCAGGAATTTATAACTTCTTAAAATAGATATTGCATCTTTGGTACTAAATTGTTTTTCAATTGTCAAATAAATCTTTTAATTCAGTTTTTGTTATCGCAGGCGAACGAAAAAACCTTTAGAGTTCAACATAAACCAATAAGCAATGTGTAATTGTAGAAGAGCCAATGAATTAGGCAAAAATAAAATTTGGATTAAGAAGTAGGCGAAGAAGTTACAAATAAAATAAAAATATTAAAAAGTAAAAGATGGACTGAACTGCAGTGTTTGGTGCGATTTATGAAGAATGTCGTTTGGCCATAAAATTGCCTCAATGACTTTCATAAATTTTATATAATTGAAAAATTTTAGAAAGCATAGAATTTTTTAAAATATATTTCGAAATATTTCGATTTTTGGCTTTCATTTTCAACAATTTTAATTTCAATATCGAAGCAAAGATTGGAGTTCAACGCATTACAATTTAAATTTGACGTCGGCCTGTCTCATGGCAACTAAAAGAAAAATAAAAAGAAAAATAGTACACGAAAAGCGGTTGTTAATTGAAGAATAGAACAAAATTGAATGAATTAGCGTTGAAGCATTTTAGAAATTTTTATTTAAATTATGGGATTAGTTTTACTATGAAAAAATTCTTTGTTTTTGATCAATTCTCTTGGTAAAAAGGAATGGAAATTGAGAAATTGTTCGCAAAGATGGAATATCTTTTGGCAAGAATTGTTCAATTTCCTTTTATTTCTCTATTTCTACCATTTGAAATTCTAATATCGCTGTATGAAATAGGATCTTCTAACAGCTCCCAGCATGCATTACTGGTAGATAGGCTGCGCTGACTACAAAGCTAAGATGTCTCCAAATTATTCGGTCCGACGCTACAGCTGACAGTTAAAACCATTTCTTTTTCCATCATCTAGGTCCATATGTCGCTGATGCTTCTATACGTTCGAAATCTTTCCTGACTAGATCAATTTAGGGCTTAATTGGCTCTCCTCATTTTTGATGCCATCCAAGCGTTTAGCAAGTGGCAAAATATGTCTCCTATGAACGGAGAAGTGGCATTTAAGATGCATTGAGCACAAGATTGAGCGAATTGCAGCCATTTAGAGCCGCACTTTCGTTTTTACACTGATCTCATAATGACTGCAAATTTTCTTAACTGGAAAAATTCACATCTGCCGTCATCCGAGTTGTAATTTCGCTTGGCCGTTTGGGATTAGAGTGGATTCGGGATGCCTGAAGTCTGGCACTTCCTCAATGAATTAATAAAAATATGTATTTTGTCAGCTTTGATATTAAGACGAAAAGACTCGTTTTATTTAGTCATCATTGATCATAAGTCAGATTCTCGTTGTAGTTGTCGATATTTGTCATATTGCTTGCATTTATCATATTAGAGATCTGTAATTATACTCTGGACTGATTTGCACATCGCCTGAGTGCCGACAGATCATGTCCATTATCCAGTCTTCTCGCAGTTGAATATTATAGGGGAAAGGACACAGCCTTGATAACACCAGTTCTTATATTGAAAGCCTAACCCTATATACAAGATCTGTACCGACGTAAAAATGCCTTTATGAGTCGAATGTTCGATGGAACACGGTCATATCCCATCACTTTTCAAAGCTCTATCAGCTGAATCGAAGACAACAGTAAAGTCGATGAAACACGTTGGCTTGCAGATATTTGAAGCGATGTTCAAATACACTTCTTAACGTGAATATCTGGTGATCACAACGGCGTCCTAGTCTAAATCCAGTTTGGTTAGGGCGCATTCTACTGTATTGTCATAAGTCGGTTGAGTAGAAGGAAAACAAAAATTCACTAAAACTTTTAATAGGCTGATTCCTCGATAATTGTCGCAGTATGCTCTGTCATCTTTCTTAGGAATAGGGAGAACTGCTTTGCTGTAGATATCTTATATTAGTCCTTTCAATTTGTTTTTCAAAATTTTTAGTTATCTGCCGACATAGTTTTACCCTTTTTATTTAGAATTTTTTTTTAAAGAGTCCTCACCATTACTGGTTAAACTCGCTCCACTGGCTTGTCGCATTGTGGAATATGCCAGGGAATCTCTTGGCGATAGAAGTACAGGTGAGTGAGTGATGAGCATGACCCGGATTTCTATACAGGTTTACTCCTGCGGGGAATCGAATCTCAGCATTGGCGCTCCCAAATGAGCAACCCACTGAGCCATTGTGTTATTTAGCTATGAAAAAAGTTATTCAAAAAACTGATGGATTTATTGAAATTGTTAACCTTTTTGCTGAAACAGTCCGTTTCTTGTACCGCAATCAGCTCAAACAATATTTGAAATAAACAAGTAAACAGTTCACATCCACTTTGTTGATATGGTGAAATTTTTGATCATTTAGTGATGGTGAGTAGTTGGCCAGTGGCACGCTTATAAGTGGTTTAATACCACCACGCAAACCCGAAAGGTGACATAGCAAGATTTCGAGAGATAATCGGCCATCCTAGCCAAGCTAAAACCGCACTTGTCAAAACAAAGAAACTGACGTCGAATGAGGGGGAATGAGGGAGTCGAATGAGACAGCGATTTTTAAAAAGATTGCTTTATTCACAATTGACGACTTAACTTCGATCTTTTAATATTTCTTTTTTTTTCACTTCGTTGCTTTTTATCAATCATTTATCATTTTTCTATATAAAATATTTCGTTATGAATTTCTTGCAGATATTTTAATGCGATTTAATTAGTTTTCCTCGACCATCTAAAAAGCTAAAAACTGCTCGGTGGACCACTGCTCGCTCCCTTTCATTATTTCCGCATCTTTTTTATTCGTTTGATCATTATTAAATTTTTTTGCAGTTTTGCACGAGTGGCGATAAAATAGAATCCACGGCTTCATCAGCGAGACACATCTCAAGGAAAGAAGCCAATGAACGATTTGCTATCGTTGTTTCTGACACAAAATTTCAATTACACTTACTCTAATGAGAATTTAAAAACTGTCGACGAATAAAATTATTTATGCTAATAAAAATTGTTTTCAATCGGTTGATCAAGAAATGAGAAAAGCAAACATTAACCGAACAAAACATTTTTTATTGAATTTAAATTTTTCGATATGGAATTTGATCACACGGAAACATTCATGGCATGGAAACAACTGACAATGCGAATATCTCATTTCCCATCTCAGTAATTTCCTTCTATGAGCAAAAAATTATTTTTAACTTCACGTGAAAACTTTACTGTCGAGATGACCGAAAGCGTGGATGTGCTGACCAAATATCCGCGATAAGAAGGATGTTGGAATATCGCTGGAATATGTTGAAAGGATGAAAAATTGAAAAAAATTTCGGAAAGCCATTATCACTCGCTCTATTGATTTTTAGCTGCTTTCAACTGATAGAAGTGTTCTGGAAGATGATGAAATGGAACAGCGCACCAAAGAAAATCATTCGACTAATGAAGGCATTTTGTCAGAGTAGACCAGAACAGCATATGGCATACTAACAGATATTTTCGAAATAAGATGAGGCACTTTATGTCAAAGTTGCATTCTTTCTCCTACAGTATTCAGTTGTGAGACTATAATGAGCACCTGATAAATAATGGATATACAATTTATACCAAGAAAGTAGCATTATAGATCTCAAATAGATCTTTGTGTCGACAATTATAAAGAGCGATAACTACGAAGTGAAACGACAGCACATCGATAATTGAAGCGAAACTTGGACTATGTATCAATGTGAAACGTTTCGTTTTATTACCAGACATCAAGAACAAGAATTTTTAAGAATTCATCCCCAACTAAAAAATACCAGATTTTAAATAATTTGAGTACCAAGTAGCCAAGGAAAAGATAAAATGTCACTGCGAGTAGCCACAATTAAGAATGCGTTCTTCTGGCAAAATCTCCTATCGAAATTAAATGAGAACTCTCATTTAGTTGTTTGCAGATGCACTGTGATCAGCTAGAATTTAAGATCCTTACTATCCACTTTTGATCAGTCATGCCTAAAGTCCATTTTACTATCCGCTGATCGGATAGAATCTCATATGACTGCCGTTCTGCATCATCAACAACATCACCACAGAGCAAAACCGACACACACTCTATAACCTAATAAAGGATGGCTTTAGATTTTCGCTGGCGAGGGGAGAAATTTTGACCAACTTAATAATGGAATAGAGACTTAATTGAAAAAATAGTTTTGAACATCGCCAGCGAAAATGTAAGATATACGGGCCAGCTATATATATATATATATATATATATATGGGACAATGACAAGGAATGACAAGGACAAAAGGAATGGGCTTCTAATTACTTTCACGTAAGGTACCGAATCGAGTAGCTTGAAACTCTTATAAACGACAAAATTAACCTAATTAGCTGAGAACCGTTATAAGAAAAAAAAAATTCAGTTGCTTTATAAAATATATATTAAAAATGATAAATGATTAACATTTACATCCTTTTTTCTAGAAAAATGAATCAGAGAATCCACTAAAAAAGCAACAGTGCACTCATTTTTGGAATAAGTTTTTTTTCTCTAATCGTTGATATATTTTACAGCATAAATATACTTTAATATTCTTTTCACAAATTATAAAATATTTCATAAAAAACCTTTGTACAATCATATAATACCTGAAATCAGTAAATTAACTAACAGAATTTCTTTCATTAAATTTTCCAGATTCAGTTTAGGAAATAATCTTAAATTCAAACAAGTAAGTGAGTGATTAGTGCTCATCACTTCCTGTTAGTCTTGCTGGTTGTTAATATGGTTAAAAAATTTCGCCAGGGAATCACTCTGCGATAGAAATATAGAAGCAGGTCGTCAACACCATCCGGATTTTTTAATGACGTGTTCACTCCTATCAGGGGCAGCAGTTTGCTTCTCAACACCGTAATTTGAGCCACTATCCAATCGACTATCATATTTCCCTCAAATAAATATAACCCATAAATTAATTTATATAAATTCCTCAAAATATTCATATAAAATAAACGAATAATGAAAAACAGCACAATGATTGAACAATTACTTTAAAGCTATGTCTTCTTTCTTCCTTCTATATTGATATATTATAGCTGAAACACCGTCCACAGTTATGACACATTTCTTTGGAGATGCTCGTATAATAAGCGGATCTCGTATAAGAGGTGGCGTCTTAAAATGTGAACTATTTTTTTAATACAATAAAAAACAATCAATTCTGAGGTAGAGGTTTTCATATCAATACAATATTTCTTATCTTATTATATTAATAACAAAAAGACTGGACATTTGGCAAAAAACTATTAAAATATAAAATTGATCGCCTAAAAAAATTATATTCATTTTCTCACTAGATGACAATTTAGAAAAAAACGAAAAAACAAAAAATCATACAGGCTTATATGCCCTCAGACGTAATCGAGGTTTTTTCGGATCACCAAGAAATATGTCCAAACTTCCCTATGTGAATAATAAATTAAAAAATCGAAAAAAATTCAATGAGAACAACATAAATGCCTATCTAATAAATTTGAAAATGTATATTGAATATTTAAGTATAACTACTGAGCAGAAATATTCTGAACTATGTATTATTTTAAGTAGTAGAATTTTTTTTCTTTTTCTATTCTTTCTATTCTAAAATCGCCATTCTCTCTTGTTAGACCATCTCCTGACCATTATGGTGGAACTTAGGATTTTCAAAATATATAGGAAGAATTTTACTTTTAATCATAAGATTTTTCTTATCCTGGGACGAATCAAAACCAACAACCCTTCGCTTTAATCTAGATCACATACCGCACTCGATTATATTCTTCTCTTTATTTAACCAAGGCAAAGAATTTTTTTTAAGTGAATGATTGACTCATGAAAATAAATAAAATGAGATACCACTTTTATTTTTTCACTGGAAACGGATTTAGCAACACCTGAACCTGACGATGTGCTTTCAGGTGATTGGCGTGACGTTGATGGGGAATCTGCATTGAATCGGCCACATTTCCTCCTAATAATGATAACTATAAATTTCTTCTAATGATGAAAATTATAAATTCATTACCTGATTTTAGATATCTTGGGTCCAATCTTATACCAAATGACGATATTACAGCCCGGATCACCGCAGTTAGACATTCGTTCTTTATACTGACGAAATCTTTACGGAGCCGTCGTGAAATTACCATTAAAACGAAAGTCCGCATCGATATAGCTGTGATTCGTTCGATCTTACTATATAGCTCTGAGACATGGCCAATGAGGATATTAAGAAGGATATTTGACCACTCTTGCTTAAGGTACATTTTACGGGTCCATCGAGCGGATAAAATACCACATGATAGCATCCATCTTTGTTCAAATACCACTTGCATTAATAATGTTATCACAGAGCTCCGCCTTCGATGGTTAGGGCACGTTCTCCGTCGTCCACTACAGAAGTTATCGCATATATCGCTACATGCTAAACTGTGCGATGGATGGCGTCAAAAACGCGGTGGGCCAATCAAGACCTGGACTGATACGGTCAGCAAACATTAAAGATTTTGAACGTATAGATGGACCAGCAATATATGGACTTAGACGATGGAAAAAGGAATGGGTTCAACTACTATCGACGATGGCATCTGACCATGCCGCTTGGAAGTGTCTTATCCTTGTAGCCAATGCAGTCAGCCTAACCAGTAATGGTGTTAGAAGAAGAAGAAGAAATGATGAAAACGACAGGCAGTTAAAAGAATAATAAAAATAAAAGAATGAAAAATAACCAAGAAAACACATAGAATCAGTTAGTTTTTGAATGAAACAAAAAAAGAAATCCAATGACCTTAAAAAAAAACTCACTTCGGTTGACTTTGCTGTAATACAAAATTATGCACTACTGTGTGATGCTGAACAACACTTTGATTCAAACGCGGTTTGCGAGTAGATGTGCCTTTCCTGAATTTATTAATAATAATTTATTTATATATAAATAATAAATAATAATTTACTAAGAAATAAAACATATGTTAAATATGTTAAACGTTCTAAGGATTGATTACGAATTAATTCAAGCTGAAGGATTTTCGAACACTTTTCATTCTTCCATTTCTCTTGCTTAATACTACGTAAATTTCTGCATAAAATAAGGGAAAAGGAAATTCACAACAAATGAAATGAAGATTTTTAAAATTAAAAAAACATCGCTTTCTAAAAAAAATTCGATGCATTTACTATTTTAAAATTAAAAAGAAATGGTTGCGAATTGAAAACAAACTATTAAATGAAAATGTAAACTGACACTAATGGCAACATTGTAAAAAAGAAACCTGGTTCCACAAGCTTCACATTTAAACATTTCATGCCGATTTATCAGTGTGCAAACAGTGCATAGCCAACCAATAGGTTCAGATTCTTCCTTTGTTCTGGCTCTTCCTCGTTTCTTCGGCTGATTTCTTGGACTTGTCATCAGTCTATAAATTAAAATGTTATTTCAAATAATTCTGATTGTACAGACAAATACATCACCAATATATATCTGATTGCACCAAAAACTGGCTGGAACCCGATTTTGATAAGTTCATTTGAAGAATGTATAATATTGATGTACATGAAATAAAATTTATTTTTACTCACAAAAAATTTATATTATTTATCTCGAATGCGCCGCAAGGTGTTAGCCGTATCAGCGTGGAACGTTAGAACGCTTATAGACGTTGCAGAACAAGCGATCATTATCCACACTCTTTCCAAATATAATGCTGATATCGCCTGCTTGTTGCAAGCCCATCTTCCTCATATCGAATAAATATTAATCCTAGTTCGGATCAGAGGTACGGGCTATACCACTGTGATGCTTCGGATAACTCGGGGTGAAATGGGGCAGCGATTATCATGTTTGAAAAGGCCCATTCCTCTTTGATTGAGTGGAAAGCGGTAAGCGACTTACGTCCGCTTTAAAAATAAGTTCTGCAATATCTCAGTGTCGGTCATCAATGCTCCAACTTTGTTGGCAAATGATCATGATAAAGATAAGTTCTTCCGTGTGGATCTTCAACTGCGAACAAAGTCTAAAAGCATGAATAATAATCGGGAGAATGGAATGCGCGCGTGGGTCATGAAGCCGCAGCGATGAACTCGGGAATTATCTAATCACATGGAATTCCTCGGATAACCAACATTTCAACCAGATTGATTATATTTTAGTTAGTTGCCATCTGAAGAGTTCTGTGCCAGATAGTCATTGCGGAGCTAAAATAGGCAATATTCATGGATCAGACCATGTTATGGTTCGAACCAAAATTCGCACTGACAACTCGCAAGGAACATTCCCCAAGATTTTTCAGTTATCTCAAACTAAAAAATTCGAGGGAGTGAGGACATTTCAAAATTACTAAAGGATCTCAATGGTATAAATATTAATGATTTTTCTGGAACAGCAAATGAATACTGGTCCAAACTAAAGGAATGTCTCCAAAAGTCAGTCATTTCTACACTATGGCATACTAGTAGGAAATTCGCTAGTTGGTTGGGTAAGATGATCTTCGGGCCGACTTCTTCAAATGTTCGTCCATCGTCCTTAATAGTACACCTTCAACAAATGCATTCATGGTATGGGAGTACCAAATGACTGGGGAAAAGCAATTCAGCTCCCAATATCTAAGAAAGATGACAGGACATATTGTGACAATAATCGATTCCTTTCCATCATAGATCTTGAATACGCTAATGATGTAGTTCTTTTCGCTAACAATTAAATAGACTTATGGTATTATGGTACGAAACAGCAAGGTATGCTCTAATTAAACTGAATTCAGACCAGAACGCGGTTCTGTTGACCAGATATTCACGCTAAGAAGGGCGGAACATTGCTTCAAATTTCTGCATCGTTAAGTGTTTTATCCAGTTTGCTGCTGTCTTTGATTCATTTGATAGAACGGCGCTTTGGAGGTGAGGGATGCGACGGTGTTCCAGTGAAGATCATTCGACTCATAAAAACAGTTTATCAGCTTACGTCGGCACAGGTCTATAATGAGAACAGACTCCTCCGAAATAACAACTGGTGTCCGTCAGGACTGCGCCTTTTCCTCTACAATATTTAACTATGCAATAGACTGGATAATGGGCATCGTCTGTCGACACTCAAGAGGTGCACAAGAGGTGTATTTCCAGAATAGCATCTCATCATAAACCTTGAATACGCTAATGATGTAGTTCTTTTCGCTGGCAATTATCCTTTTATATACAAGAAGCTGACAATATCTATTTTTATAAATCTATTTGAAGAAGTAACCTACTTGAAGAACCTTGGATCCACTTTAATACCGAATGGCCAGGCAAAAGAAGAAATTACAACCCTAATAACGGCAGCTAAAAATATAAAGAAACCTTAAAGAAACCTTTATGAAGCCATCACGAAATCACCATAAAAACAAAAGTCCGCGTCTGCATTGCAGTGATTCATTCGATCGCTGTGTGATTGCAAGACACGAGGATAATAAGAAGTTATCCACCTTTGATCACCCTTTGATCACTCATATTTAGGGTACATTTTACGGGCTCGCCGAGTGGATGAAATCACACATGAGATCAAACCACCTTAATTCAAATATCACTTGCATTTATAGTACCATCACAGAGCTCGCTGGTTATGATTTTTCGTTCTCCATCACAGGTATTGGATGTTCCGCTACTTGCTAAGCCTGATAGATGGCATCAGGTGGGTCAATAAAGACCTGGACTGATACGGTGAGAAAAGATTTTAAACGTATAGGTGGATGAGCAATAGATGGACTTAGACGATAGAAAAAGGAATGGCTTCCATAATTGTCGACGATGGCAGATCACGCAGCTTGGAAGTGTCTTAAGCTTGTAGCCAATACAGCCAGCCTAGCCAGTAATGGTAAAAGTTGTTAAAAGAACCTCGAAATTACTTATTTATCAAAAACCAGTGTACCAATAATTTCAAAGAATTTATAAAAAATTTGATTACAAATCAAAATATTAATATTGCGATTAATATACAAGAATATTATAAATTAATGAACGTTAATGACTTAATTTTAAAAAATTTATTTTTTCATTGGTTGAAAAATCGGGTTAATGAATAAGAGATTTTTTCAGTGGAATATAAAAATTATAGTTTGTTTTCTTCTTTTTCTAACAGCTCTCACCACTTAATAATTGGACTGGCCTCACTGACTACAAGGGTAAGGGTCTTCAAGCCGCTTGACCCGAAGCCATCGCTAGTAGTACTAGAAGCCATTTCTTTTTATTTATTTATTTATTGAAAACCAGCCAAGCAGGGCGCAAACACCATGTGCTTGTATTAACAACATCAGTTGAAATAAGAAATAATAAGAATTAATGACAAATAACAAAAAAATAATAATATTAAAATAAAGTAAACAATTTAAAGATGAAAAAAGAGGATATTGCAAAATAATAAAATATAGTACAATTCGAAATAACTATAATCAGATGGTAAAAAGTGATTTCACACTTCCTGCATGATGTGAATTCTTTAAATTCACTAATTTCTCTAATATTATAAATGATATTATCCATTCTTTTTTTAAAGATAGCTAGGGATGGCGCACAAGCTATGTCGTAATTTATACATATAAATTAAATCTTGTTTAATACGACGAACTGAGAGAGAATCCAGATTATATTGTGGAAGTTATTTTTTATAATTAAAATTGCAATTAGGAGAGAGGCGCCGTATAAAATATTTTTGGAGTCCTTCAATCTTTTTACTTGCCTCATGGAATAACAGATAGCATTGTAGTCAAGAAGTGGCTGAACGAACGCTTTGTATAGTTTGATAAGGAAATCTTCAGTTTTATTCTTAAACGAACGAAAAATAAAATTTAGTATCTTTGAGGATTTCTTTATCATGATTCTGTAATGAAGGTAGAAATCGAGATTTTCATCCATGATTATTCCAAGATCGGGAATGTGTGAGATTCTATGATTTTATTGCCATTAATAATAAGATTAGGAAAATTGGAATCTTTGGAATTGATATGAAGAATGTTACATTTTTGAAAGGAAAAGGTAATTCGCCTGTCATATAGCCAGCTGGCTATTCTATTAAGGTCCTCCTGCAGTGGAGATAGATAGTGGAGATCTGATCTACCATGAGAATAATAAATTTTACAATCATCAGCATAAAGATAAATAGAAGTATCACATTGGTTACATCATTTATATATAATAGAAAAAGCAATGGCGCAATACAACTACCTTGAGGAACATCAGATTTAACATGTTTTGAGTCAAAAAGAGTGTTGTCGATGAGTATGGCTTGGTGACGGTCTTTTATATAATCTGATACCCAGTGATAAAGGGCTCCTGTAATGCCATAACTATTAACAGTGATCAATAATTTGCTATGGGAAACAGTATGAAAAGCTTTAGCTAAATCTAAGTATACAACTGATCCTGTTTTACCACTGTCAATTGATGCAGGCCAATCAGAAAGTTTACCAATATTTGTGAAGTGGATTTTTTTATACAAAAGCCATGCCGATAAGGAGATATAAAATTATTGGCATCAAGATAAGTAACTAATTTGTTGCAAATCAACCTTTCGAGTACCTTGTTATCAACGCATGTTAGGCTAATGGGTCTATAATTAGAAGGGTCAAAGGTGCTCTTTTTTATGAATGGGAAATTATACGAGACAACTTCCAAATCTTGGGATTAAGGCCAGATTTCTTTATGAATTAAAAATAGTGGAAGGAAACTCAGTGAAACTGCATATTTTTTATAAATTATTTGTGGAATATTATCGGAACCAGCCGAAACGGACGGCTTAAGTCTATTTAAGGCATCATAAACCATCCAGTAGCCTTATTTCAACTTCACCGAGAAATGTGCAACAAATTCTATTTACGTTAAAACAAAACAAGAAGTATGAGTATTATCCTCATCAACAAATACACTGGAAAAATATTGATTAAATATACTTGCAATATCAATATCAGATGTGATCACATTATCATTATGTTGCAAAATTAATTGCTTACGTGGATTTGAAAATTTTCTTTTGATATAGGTCCAGAAAGAATTCTTATTAATATTTAAAATTTGTTCCTCTTTATTTGAAAAGTAATTATGAATGGCACCACGGAAACTTCTTAAACATTCCTTATATGCAGAAAGGTCACTTGGCAATTTGGTTAATTTGTATTTGTTGTAAAGCTTCTTGACATTTTTTTAAAGAGATTTTAAAAATGGGAATCGACTTAACGCTTTTTTTTCTTAGAGGGATATATTGCTCTATAAGGTATAAAATGATGAACTTTATTAAGAAAGTGAATTTTTTCATCAGTAGAAAGTGCTAAACAGAATAAGAAATCCCAGTTTATTTCTGCGAGGATAGAATTAAAGATTTCATAATCACAGTGACGATTTCTATAATATCTCGAGGGAAGTATATAACGATCTAATTTTAATGAAGCATGAATGATGTTGTGTTCACTATTACAAAAAGGCTCCAAGATTCTAATGCTATCAACAAAAGAAGTAGAAGCAGCTAACACAAGATCTAAAATAGTGTTATGCCTAGTGATAATCTTAACATGTTGCTCTAGACCTATATAGGTACAAAGGTTTAGAAAGTCCTCTTTAAATTTGCTGCTATCCATCGACTAGTCCATGTGTCGCTGGTCCCCCTATACTCTTCTAGCTATCATATCCGAGATATAATTTCATCCTTTGCATGGCCACGTTTACATTTCGAAAGGATCAGTTAATTCCCTATATACAGACTTATGCTGATAAAATGCCTTCATGGTCCGAATGATTTTCTTTTCTCTGGGATACCGTAAAATTCCATCACTTTCCAGATCGCTGCTTCATCAATCGAATCGAAGACAGATGCAAAATCGATAAAGCTAAATCGTTGCTGATATTTGAAGCAATGTTCCACCCTTTTTAGAGTAAATATATTTCTATATTTCAACACAATCGCGTCCAAGTCTGAATCCAGCTTGATTAGAATGCATCCTACTGTCCCATACGGCATAAGTCCATTGAGTAGAAGAGAAGCAAAAATTTTCGCTGAGATGTCTAATAGGATGATACTTTTGCAATTTCACCTTTCTTGAGAATTGAAAGTATAACTGCTTTGCTCCAGCCATCTAGTATCTGTTCTTTCTTCCAAACCAGACCAGACAATGGACAACATCTGAAGAGTTCGGCCTGAAGACCATCTTCTCTGAGAGTTTCATTATCTTTATTCTTCTGGATGACTTACTTTTCTGTTAGCGGATCGCAGCTCCAAACGTATGGCTCGACCAGCTAATCAGCTATATCCGAAACAACAGATGGAGCATTCGTGGTTAAGTTTGGCCTCAAAAAATTCTTTCCATCTTCTAAGGTGGTCCTTAACAGCTTTAATATGCACCCCATTAATATCCCAGATCATTTCACTGACCCATTCTCGAGTTATAGTTGCTATACGAAGAAGACGAAACAGTTCCCTATTATCACCTAACCGAGTCGCAGTCTCTACTCTCAAAACCATGAACCCGATAGTCAGAATCTTCTGACATAGACAATTGGGCATTTGTTTCCGGCACTAAACTAGCGATTTCCTACTAGTATACCCTAATGTGAAAGTGGCTGATTTTAACATCTTTAGTTGGGACCAGTATTTATTTGCCGTTCCAGAGATGTCAATGGCATCGTCTTCTAATATCTTAATATTTAATTGATCAGATTTGTTGCAAATACGATTATTCAACAGTAAGCAAAATATCTACCTAAAATTAATAGCAACATACTTGCCCGTTAGCTGCAAACTCTTATACTACTTATATTTATCGTTACTCCTACTCCTTATCATACTCTTTCGAATGTATGTTTGAAACAAAACATAAATCGACATTATTTTTAAATGGATCTTTCATCCCTTGAAATATCAATTACTTCCAGAACAACAACAGTAATATTAAGTGAAATAAAAGAAAATCATAAGTTGAATTATCAATCGTAATAAAATAAACAATACTTTCACAGAATAAAAAACAATTAAAAATATAAATAACTGAACAAATTTCATTTTTCACCGATGAGTAGCGATGAGTAGTAGCGACAGAGCTCGCGAGATTTGTGCGCTCTCTTTGTTTTTTTCATCTTCTCGCTTAACTACTTCTCCAATATTCCCAAATAATATCCGCAGTATCAGGTAACGAATAAGAAATCACTCTTTAAAAAGCACTCTTTAAAATATTTTGTTCTTTATTTGCCACAAATAATTATATCAGAGAGCGCAGGATAGTAACATGACAACAAAAACAACTCCTTATCACTAGTTCATCAATCTTTTGTCACTTATCAGTTACTATCAATCATCATAATTATTCGTTTTAATGTATACTATAAATTTTTGCATACACTAAATACATTCACCTGCTATAATAATGAAACAAATTTTTATTTTTTTGCTCGATTATTTTACCCATAATGAAAATGTGAGAAAATATAAAATAGAAAAAATAAAGCAAATTATTATAAAATATAAGAAGAGTAAAACAAAGAATGGAACAGGCAGCGGAATATGCATGAAAAATGAGGCATGAAAGAAAAGAAGGAATGAAAATGAAAAGGAAAAAAGGATGCGAATTTCTCTCCAAGGTTATCTGCAAGCAAAAAGATTATTACAACCGATATTATTATTATGGAAAAACATGATTCATTTGCTAACACTACGAGACGCGAGTGAACCTGACCCTGGTAACAGTGATCGCGAAAAATTAAAAAGATCACGTGGAGCTGCTCGACCAACATTGGCTATTTCTACCATTGGCAAAGATCTATAACTGCACTAATTAACAGTCCTCAGAACCACAAACCAAGCAACAAACGGTGACGGCTGACTTTTTTATATATTTTTACTAAAAATTCAAAATACCCAACAATAAATATTTGAAAAATTATGCTGGAAATACTAAAAATAATAAATAAAATACCAAAAGCACTCCATTACAAAAAATTATTTTCCCTGAAAATTTCAATACTTGTGATTAGAAATAATCGGAAAAAACTGACAGTGTTTAATTTTTCGATTTTTATGCTAATTTATTTGAAAAAATTTCGAAAATGTTGGCACACCCAACTGTTCAAAAGCTTTCTAAAGAACTATTTGCCGGAATTCCACCCAGAACGTCAAAAATTGGAGAAAACGAAGTGAAAATTTTTAAAAAATAAGAAAAAAATTTAAAACTATAGATCAATAAAAAATTTGAATGTCGTAACCACAGAACTTCGTTTGAGGACAAATATTTTGAAAAATTTCTAATTTAAAAGCTCAATATTCCTCTTCGTTTATATCATTTATTAATGACAAATGGCCTTGCATATCCGAATGACACATTCCAAATAGAAAAAATGGCTGCTCGTCGATAATTTAATGATTTTTTATAATTTGCTTTATTAATTAAACTTAACACATGTAAATTCATCAATTCAGCTAGCAGAGGACAAGTTAACCAGGAATGATATGCATGAGCTATTCGAAGAAGAACTCATTAATTGAGTCGCCCGCGAAATTTCGCAAAATATTTCGAAATAAACGATGGAAAATTCTTCTTTTGGAGAAAATTCTTGGATAGGCAAGAAATGAAGTGAGAGAAGAAATTTTCCAGACGAAATGTTAAATTGAAGCGATCAAAACGTATGAATCCGCGAGTACAAATTCTGAAGATGCCGGCTGCCTGCCTCTATCCCATAGACTTTCTCTTTAAGTACCACGTTTGTCACTGCCAGCCGAGCTATAAGAAATACGGGTGGTCGTGACATCTATTTGTTTTCCTAGTCCGTTGCTAGAATGCTGCAAAGGACAGTTGGGAAAATCTTCGAATTGAAAAATGCGAAAAAATTGCGCTTATTATAACACCCTGCAACCTATTCAAATGACCTTTTTCTAGGAGCACTCGCCATAACTGCTTAGACTCGCTGCACTGGCCCGTCGGACCAGACAGTAGGCCGAGAGTCCAGCAATGGAAATACAGGGGGTCGCCAGTATCGCCCAGTTTAATTCAAATGAGTGCATTAAAAATTATCACTCTGTTGCATGTCTTGCGGTTTCGCGTAGTTGCACACTCTTCCGTATTCTTTAGGAGAGCTTGCGAAAACGCTGACCAAAACTCCCAACTAGCAGAATCGCCATCGACACTTCCGACCGCTTTTAACCAGAAAGTCAGCGATTCGCGTTTTTATTCGCCTGAATTGCTTTCTGAAAATTTCCCTTCCCTCCTCTCATTTGCCGAGTCGTTGTGCTCATCATCGCTCAGAATTTTATGGAAACAACAGTCTCGCACCTAGGATGACTGAATGCAAAAGCATTGCATGTGGCAGTAGCAGTAGAATGCAACATTGATCGGACGCATGGCACAGCGGCCGAATCGCGACTGCAGAACGTGGCACTCTTCTGATTTTCAGTTCCAAAGATATTACAGTATGTAGGGCACTCACAAAGACACAAATAAATTTATGGATTAAAGATTAAATATATCAAATTATTCCTATTTACTTGATTGACAACTTATTATTTCCTCAAATAGTAATAGTGTTTTCGAGTAGCGTTTTCTGACACTAACTGTGCGGATTTGTGGTCGCTCGGATTTGTCGCGACGTGTGGTGCGCGACTTGTTTCACCGCCGGGAGGAGAAATGGGTCCGCGCTGTCGTTTCTCCTTGGTGGAAGCAATCCCCAAATAAGTAAAAAATAATAAATTATTGCAACTGTGATTTAAATGGCTCTATTGTCTTCCTCATCGATTTTTTCCGATAGTTCGCTCTCCACTCTTATCCTTTATTAAAATAGAACACAATTGCTGCACTCAGTCTATAGGTAAGAAAGAAGAAATGTCGAAATGGAGAATTAAAAACATCAGTAAACTAGTTGAGTTGACGGCGATGGTGACGATGACGACGGTAATGATTCCAGTGCTAAGCGCCACTCTCTTTTCCATCTCAATTCATGTACATACAGTACATTAGTTGTTTTCGGATTAAAAATTTTACGGTACCAGCTCGACGACGAATCGAAAATCATGTTTGAGCGGAGAATGTTAGCGAATGAAATACAATAAAAGTAAAGTGGGAAGGAACGAGCAAATTTCAATGGATTTGTTATGAACATTGCAATAAAAAATGGTGAATGGTAAAGTTTTTTAGCGTGGATGTGATTCATTTTGCAAAAAACAAATGATTTTTGCAGAAAAACTAAAGTTTCAGTTCAGTCGAAAAATGGAAATGTGGATTTAGATGCGAGGAATTTTATGAGTTCTTTCAGCAAACTGTCAATTATTTCCAATATCATAATGGATTAATAATGATCCTTAATGGTGATAAACGAAAAATTTTATCCGAATTTTAGTTGGTTTAGTTGGCTTCTTCTGCCTCTTCTTTTAACAACATGCACCATTTCTGATTTTGGTCCAGCATTGGTACCTGGAGAATGAAGCATAGCCCTCAGCGCCACTTGAATTTTTAATGACCGGTTTATTGGGAAGCAACAACCCATATGAACATTCGAACACCTAATAGTTTGATCTTACTTTAAGCGATGCATCATTTGACCATTCTGCCCATTAAAGAAGGTTTCAGCCGATTTAGTCAAATACCTTTTTATATGCTTTTTTTGTGTGAAACTGATTTATAACGCAAATTTAGCCGTTGAATTTGTATTGAAAACCATTGAGTTCAGCATGAAAAATGTTGTATAAAAAGAATTGATATAGACATGCTAGAAAGTAAAAATTGTGAGGTTATTATTACCATGTGAGATGTTAAAGAAAAACCAGTTTTTAAGTTTAGTTGTGTGATTGGAATTGTTAGAATTGACCAGTTTTAAACGTATACCCTCGCTCGATCAGGCTGTTTTCCCTCGATTCATTTTACATTACTTTTTAACTACTCTCTTTATAAATGTCATCGCAACAACAAAATCCCTCTCAATCATCGATATTTCAACACACACAGATTTCATTTCTGGATAGCGATTCGAAAGCAATCCTTAACGGTATTAACCTACGTCTTAATGACATTGATCTTAAATTGACCTATCTTTTCGAATTACTTACATCGAAATTTCCTGATCATAATCGTCTAGCAGCTCTAGATTACAGTGATAACAATAGTAACAATACTGTTAATTTATTATTATCATCCCCGTCGACATCATCTACGCAACAGCCAACAAATAGTACTGATGAAACTCCGCCTTTGAATTATGAAATGACACCACTTGTAGCAACCGAGAATATACCCTCAGGCGAATCAGAAAAGCACAACAATGATGATATGAAACCAGATGTGTCAAATATTAAAGAAGAAAGTGAAGGTGAAGAAGAAGAAGTGGAAGATTTTTGCGGCGATATCGAAGAGGTATTATTTATTATATTCTCCTTTTATTTGTTGTTTGATCGCACATTTGACCTTACCTTATCGGCTGTTTTCATTTAAAAATCATTCAAATTAACTGAAAGATAACAATCGGCATTTTGTCTTTTCAGTATTTTTTGCGGTCTTTTTTAGTTTTTTAATCACCCATTCTTGTACTAATGAACTGTGTTCAGTGCAGCGAAATACAATAAAATATCAAAATCACATAAAAAATTTTCCGCTAAAATATTTCCAGCGATTCCGTTGAACAAAAAACTGGAAAAGAACTTTCAAATGAGCAATCAAAAGAAATTTTTTTGAACATCACCGGTTTCATTAATAATTTCAGCGCCGACTGAATTCCTTTGTTTCCGTAATAGTTTGTTCATAATTTGTCTATGTCCAAGGTGATCTTTTAAGACTTTAGAGAATTTCGTTTTTCATCTAAATACGGGGCGAGGTTTTAAATTGGCTTTTAGACAACAAGAAGAAATTCCTTATTTTTTGCATAGTCCTTTCAAATGCGTTTCTCGTTAGGTTCATTCTGTTGGCCATTAAGATGAGATTAAATCAATGCATATTAAAAGAGATATTGAGAGATACTCTAGTCTCTTCACTTGCAGATAGAAATATAGTTTGATCCCTAGTATATTTGGATTTTTTAATAGCAAATTCTTCTTTCCGTTGAGAATCAGATTTTACTCGCTCATGTTCAGTTCTTATAGAAATTTCTTTTAATAAAATTCTATAAAAAATTTTATAAAATATGGTTTTTGGTTATTTTTGCGTATATATTTTGGGTATTGAATGAAAACTGAACTGAGCCGAAGACTTTTATTGCCTAGACAGGAGAACTTCATTCCTTTTCTTCCTGCTTGGTGACTAGACATACTATTGGCGTAAGTTTCCGGTCATAATTGTTTCCAATACGGTTTTTTAAAATTTTATGAACTAATTTTTTTAACTTTTTACAATTATATTTAAAATTATTTGAAATTCCTTCAAAACTTTTCAACTAGTTTCACTAATTTTTTTCTTAAAACTTGAACAAAATTAAGTTCAGTTTCAAAAAATCTAAAAAAATTCTTTTTTTTACAATAAACCATTCAGTTTGCAGTATTTACGACTTCGCTTACTCATTAATAAAATACAAGACCATATATTAATCAATAGATTACCAGCACAACTCGGATTTTTAATGAGAGATTCATTCCTGTCGGGAAGACCAACCATGATTTTGCCAAAATTTACTGTTGCATTAGATTTCGAAAACTTTTCCTATCCTTTGAGAATCACAAAAATATTTTGCTAGCGACAGGTTAAAATATATATATTTTATAATAAATATTCATATATATATATATATATATTTATGTATATGTATGTATATATTCAATAAGAGTAACGAATTGCCTGAGGTTGTGTCAAATTGTAGCAAATACCGTATTTACCGCAACATCTAAGAGATAATTTATTGTTTAATCCACTTTTAAGTTTCACAAATAAAATGAATGAAATTAATTATTATCTTTAGTTTTAATTCGCTATTTTTTTAATAATTTTTAATAATTAATAATTTAATAATTTTTTTAATAATTTATTTAATGAAATCCATTTAAATTATTTTTACCTTTGTTTGAATTTTCCGTTCTCAATAAAGTTTATTCAAAGATAAATTAATGAATCTAATCTTTTTCTAACAGTATTCACCATTTTTGGTTTGGTTTCACTCGCAACTAGGATAGGACCTTTTCGCGAGAGGAGAGAATTACTTGGGAACAGCAGTAAGCAATCGAAGCAGGGATTGAGTCTACAATGCCATAATTCGAAACCACTCATACCACTCGATCTTTTACATTTTCTGGCTGCAAAGAATAAATTTTTTAATTAGAAGGAAAATTATAATTGAACTAAAGGTTCAGTAAAATTGGTTAAATCACTACGTTTTTCTATACTTATATTTTTCTTAAATTTTTGCGATAATTCATAAAAATAATGCAGAAAAATCTGCGCGATAAAAATTCTCTCGTCACTGATCACTTATTCTCATGACAAGAGAGAGTTCATGAAGAAATTTGAGAAATTTAACTACTCGTTTGATAGTTTTTTACTGTAATATCTTCCTTGCTTATGTGCTAAATTAAATTAAATTAGCAAGATTGAACCAATATTAACAGATTTTTTTCTTGATTTTGCTTCGAAAAATGGCTTTTCATAGCTTATAATTAAAAATTCTCAAATTCTCGTCTCTCATGGCAGGCTGCGAAGCGAAGCAATGGCGATTAGATTCCCATCTTCGTAGCCTTAATTCTGATCCCTTTATTCGGTGTGTAAAACGAAGAACGAGGATTTGGATAAAAATTCGATGATTTTTTTCAGATGAATAAAACTGTATAATAATGATTTTCACAAATGCATTAAAATCTAATTATTCACAAATAATTACTTGCTAAACCTTGTGGCGGATGGCGTCAAAAGGGAAGCGCCAATCAAGATCTGGACTGACGGAGTCAGGAAAGATTTTCAACGTGTAGGTGGACTAGCGATACATGGACTTAGACGATGGAATAAGGAGTGGCTTCTATTATTGTCAGCGATAGCGTCGGACCGAATAGCTTGGAGAGACCCTTGTAGCTAGCGGAGTCAGCCTAATAGTGAGAGCTATTAAAAGCAGAAGAATTCATGAATAACAAAAATTAATTTCATTTTTGTTCCATCATGTTTCAATTCATTGTTAAAAATTGAATTAGCAAGTCTATCCTTGCAAATGAAATATTCCCTAGAATCATTAAATATATTTAATTATTAAGGTTCATCCATTAATTTCATTTGTCTTTCCTCTTTAAAAAAAAGGGCTTAGCCAGCATTCAATAATTGTAAAAGGCCTAAATTTCTGGCAATAAGTTCCATATTTTTGAAGCCTAAACTATAGAGGAGCCATCCTAATTCTTAATTTCTTTTGAATATTAAAAAACTGTTGATTTCATAAATTCCTTTTTCCAATTTGTCGTTATTCTTGATAAGGTCTAATCGGCCTTGATGAACCGACTGTAGAGAGAGACTGTAGAGAATTTATCTGGTTAATAAGTTTTTATTTTCAGGAAACGAAATAGCAATTTTTCTTGATAGTCAATAGTTAATATTTTTTTCATTCTAAGATATATTTTATCGAATGTGATACTTCGAGTAAGTTTCAGCAAGCTTCGAATGTTGCTTCATGAATAAACTGGTAATGGAAAATTAGGGTAATCAGATTATTTCTTGGTAGTCGCACGTACCTCATAATATCATTCTAAATGGGTAACAAATGGCCAACAAAATAATAAATACTATTATTAGAAGACATTTTTTTTACCAACTAATTTGAATAAATATTTTTGAAATAAATATTAATATATTTATTTGAAATTTTTTCATTAATATGTAAAATGAGGTTGTAATTATTATCAATTTTACTAAAAATTTTTTTATAGGAAGAATCAACGCACGATCGTGAAATTAAATTATTATTAAAAGAAAGTAATTTTCCTGAAGGTGCAGTTAAACGGGCTGCTGAAAAAGCAGCGAGAAGTTTTCAAAGTACACAACCGAAGGTTTGAAATTTTTAGGTTTTGAAAACCAGTTTTTTAAATGTTTTATTTTGCTTTCTTCACTATAAAAGTACTATTAGTTAGTTTGCAACCATATTTTCTCCTAATTTAATTCCCCACAAATAGTATTTTTTTGTTATAAGAAATAAGTACGATTTTATAAATACTGTCATGTAGTAGGAATCAGTTGATTTTGTACTAATCTTTTCCCTATTTATAATTTTAAATTCATTTTTTAAAATTTAGTTTCCTTCAGTTCCCCTGAATCATTTGTTTTTTTTTTGCTTTTGTTTGCTTATTTGGTTTTGGAGGAAAATTATTCTGTTTGTTCTTGTTAGAAAATAAATTGAAATTGTTCATTAGTATTTAAAATTATTTTGAAGTGAAAAAAGTTTGAAATTAATAAGCGGTTAATGTTCATCATTTCTGGTCCGCCGGCTCTTCATATGGTTAAAATTGTTAGGGAGTTTTCACTGGGCGATAGAGGTACCGGTAGATCGTCAGCACCACCGCATCTCAGTGAAGGTGCTCTTGTCGAAGCAGAATCCCAATCCTTGCCTATCGACACAGGGCACAATCTAAGTAACTATCCAGCTGGAAAACAAAAGTCGAAATGAAAAACAAAAAAATACGAATTTTTCGAACAATGGAATTTTAATTTCATGATTAATAGTTCTAAATTGTTTAATCTATTTCTGAAATTTATGAAATTATTTGAAAGGTATTTGCATGGCAAATATTACGCGAATCAGTAACAGATAATGAGCTTCGAAATGTGCAAATATCTCTTCGAACATTCCACGGCGAAACGGCTGCACATTTACTTTCACGGCAATTACCTAAAGTTAGTTTATTTCACTTAATCTTCTTGGCTAAGTTCATAAAACATGAAAAACTCAACAGTCTTGATGCTTTAAATTAATTATTTGACCGAATTAGCCGAATATATGAGCATTCAGCAGAGAATTGACCAAAACCTGTATCATTAACTGACACGACTGACCATCGCCAAAACTAGTTAATTGATCTCTTTTATTTTATTCGTCCTCCCAACCTCTTCTAATTCAACGAATCAATCTTGGAAACAATTTTAATTTGTTGGTGATTGACAATTTTTAAATTGTACTGATTATTTATTAAAATTTATTAATCCTACAGCCTTTTGAGCTTTTGCCCTTGGGCTTTTCTTAGTAAACAATCAATGTCCGCCATTTTTGATTTTCGTGGTACTAATGCGCATTTTCCATGAACCAACAAACTAAAGTGGTGATTTTAAGGGAATCTCTTAATAGTATAAATATCATTTCTGGTCCAGTTCCACCAGATATTTTTCTTCAGAAAGCGTTGGAGATTCTTGAAGAAAATTCCTAATATATTTAGGAATATATTACAAGTGGAAAAAATGAAATTTCAGATTAGGTTAGTTGTCGAAGCAACAATGTCGTATTTTAAATGGGACCAATTAAGTGATGAAAACCAATTAACGAAGGCAAAATTATTATTAAGCCACTTAAAAAATAATGCTAAAGTAAGGAATTGGACATTACGAGAAGGACGACCGAACAGGTGCAGGTTGAATTGCATTTATATTTTAATTTTATTTATTTTTAAGTAAACCTCCCCAACTATTTGTTATTTATTAAGCAAAAATTTAGAGTGACAAACAATATGGATGTAATTTTGAAGCGTTATGCAGCTTTGCTTGGACCAGGAGGATTGGCTGCAGTTGGTATTCTACCTGGGCAAGTAAATCAACTTAACTGCTAGAAAAAATATTATCAAGAACAACTTTACAAACTGGACAATAATGAACGAATGTGAAGATCTCGCTTTTAGTTCTACTGGTAATTTAATAAATTTTCTGGTATATTTTGTCTAAAACAATATATTGTAATAATATGCAAAAATATAATTAAGAAATTGCCCATAAAAATGGAAAATGGAAATGGAAGTTATCTGTGAAAATTAAAGTATGAAATAACGCCATTTATAATAATAAAATTCGATAACGAAATTTTTTCATAATATAACGAATATTGTTTTTTCATGCGTTATCAAGGGATTAAGCATAAATCCACCGCCTTTTTGCACGTTTTTTAATTTTATTTTTAGTTCCGACAGAATTTTCGCATATCATCAGCTGTTCGATTCCTTGACTTTGATAGGATAAAATGTCTAAGGTGTTACTAGCCACCCACAGTTCTATCGTCAATAATTTTCTGGCAAAATTTTCTAACCGCACGAACCAGCTGGGCTAACTAACCACCATTGGTGAGCAATGACCATTAAAATTTCGTATAAGTCGAAAATCAGACTTAAAAAACTAAATCAATTCCATGTAATTTGTTAACCAAATCAAAAATGAATACCTCAAAGAAAATTTTTTTTTTAACCTTTTTTTTCTGTTTTGTATAAAAATGTGATAAGCAATTGCATTAAATTTTAAGCCAAAGTTTTCAATAAACAATTTTCAGATAAATTTTAAATTTAATTTGAGAGAAATTGATTATGAAAGAATGACTAAGAAAACGTGCCAACTTTTTAGGAAAACTTGAGGAATAATGCACAAAATATTTGAATTGCTTATCATTCGTTTTTTTTGAGAGGCTTGTATGGTTGCAATATTTTTTAACACGCAGTTCACTTCTCTTCCTGAGGAAGTATTTTTCTATAAAAATAAATATTTTTGAAATTCGAATACCTTTCTTTTATTTTTTCAACATAAAAATAGAAGCATTACAACTTTATTTATTAAATAAATTATTTGAAAAAAGAAATTCTATTTAGCTAAATTTTTAAGGAAATATTTAGTGGTGAAATGATAAAACTAATTGAAATTTGAAGGAGAAATTTGGACATTTATGAATTTTTACGCAATAAAAAACGCGAAAAGTAAAGAAAGTAATGATGAGTGCCTAAATATTGAAAACCGGTTGCTAAAACTGAAACACAACCACAGTGCCATTCAATTTATATACAATGACACTGAATAATTCTACACAAACTACTTGCAAACTCTATCGTAATCGCTAACTCACAACAACACAATTAAAAATGAGTCAATATTTTTAACAATAAGAATAATCATAATAATGCACATAAAAACGCGTAAATATTTGCGCTTGACGGATTGGTTTCATCGAAATTTCGTTTTTTTTTAAAGGATTGCCAGTTATTTGAAAAAAAAACTATTATATGGCGACAAATATTTCAAAAATTTATCTTGGAGTAGTTTAAAATAAACTACGAAATGAAAAATATGCTTATGACAGAATCAATTGAAAGTAAGTCTATGTGGTTTTTTCTTTCATCTTTCCTTTTTTATATAATTCTCCATTGATCTTCAAGTCTCTGAGCCCTTTCCTTCTTAGCCCTTTTCTTCCTACCAACAATTTACATTATTATTTCCTTTTTCTATTTGCTTATCCACAATTGAAATTTACGATTACCCAAAAAATCGAAAAATACCGAATAAGGTTCATTTTTTTGCAGTTTGAGAAGCATTATTTTCTAAAGTTTTATCCTAAATTGTCAATAGCTTTCCCATCTTTTAAAACTAGAAAAAAATTTTTATTAGTTTGAAAAAAATTTCGTGAAATCCCCAATGCCTCAAAAAGAATAAAAAAAGACAAATATTCAGAAAGCAAATTGTCGGAAATAATCAAAAATAAAAAAAATTAATACGGCAAATTGTTAAAGAATTAATAAAAAAAAAATATTTCTTGAACAAAGGTCTTTTTCACATTATAATCAATCAACTACTCAATATGTAAATCGTACAAAATTATCTTTCTTTTTTTTTTTAATCACAAATCCGTTAGCTAATTTAACTAATTTGTAAGATCATCTTATTTATATACCAAAGAAACAGCTATGAGAAAATTTCCTCTAGGATAAAAAAAAATTTATTTTGTATACAATACTAATTTTATATACCTGCTACATAGCAGGTAAGCCCAACTCACATATAAGAAATATATAGGCTCCCAGAATCAATTGTTTCTTGGAATTATTACCTCTCTCTTCTCTCACCCTCTCTCCTTTTCGACATTTACTGTTTATTTTGAATCTGCCAAATTATTTCCATATCATAAATTGTAATTTCCGATAAATATTTTCATTCACTGTCACAAGTCACTTTTCCGACACAAATGTTTGTAGCAAAAATTAATCAGCTGGAAACAAATTTAACGATAATTTTAAAATTCGACATGACCGACTTTACTTTCCTTCAAACACGACAATTCGTCTCCATGTAAAATTCGATTTTCACACAAATATTCCTAAATATTTTCATAGGATGAATAAAATGAATAAACAGTGAAGTGGAAATTTTTAAAACAAAAAAATGTTATTTAAAAATTAAAAGACAAAAAATGTGGACAAAAAAAACTTGAGAAGAGATTTTCGGTTTCACGTTGTACCACGCTGCCACATCATCCTCATAATTCTCAAGCATGGACTCGCATTGCTGCTTAAGAGAAACTATTTCAACTGGAGGATTGTCCCACATCTCATCAGGCATACCGAGTTCAACCTATTAATTATGAGGCTTTTTTGAGACCTTTAAGGCTTGTCTTTAACTACACTTTATTGCGCTAAACTAACATAATGACATCAAGAATATTTTCTTTGTTCAACAGAATTTTTCTGTTTCTAAATTCATGCATTTTTTGCAATTTTATCTTCAATCCAAGGGAAATCAACCACAAAAACTAATAGCAAGACATATCCACAATAGTTTTTTACAAAAAAAATTCTAACTTTAACGCCTCGCTTTCGTAATTTATTTATAGCTTTTGCTGTTGAACTTTCCTGTTTTGAGAAACGTTTTATACCCTTTTTTTCCTGGTGTAATTTATAATCAAGCATCCTGTTGCATAATTCTTCATTAATTTCAATAAGTGACAGTTCATCCTGGAAATTTAAATTAACCATGCAAAGGAAAATCTTTTTCAAAACTCTCAATTTCACCATTAATTTTAATTCCATCAATATCAATTTTGCCTATTATTTTTTCAATCCATAAAACAATGGTATTGAAATTTCAGCCAAAAAACATACTTTTACACTATTTTTTTTCGATAATTCTTCCAATTCTCGTGCGAACAAGAGGCACGATTCACATCGTGAAGGCAAATCCACAGTTCGTGGACAAATAATAGGGATCAAAAGAATAAGAAATGAAAGACAAAGTAACTGCACTGAACTTGCCAGAAAGATAAAATTATTTCGGAAAGCCATTTCATACCGTTTGGTTCTGATCTATTTTCTCTGAGTTTGAATCCGAATGCACCTAAATCGCTTCACTCTTCATAGATTTTTTTTTAAAAACCATTTTGAAAAGTGCAATTGCTTACATGAAGACGTTGCCGCTTACGTGTATAATATTGCCACTGAAGCATTTGTTGCTCTTCGATGAACTTGGCATTTGCTGAGCATGCAAGCGCTTCCCGAAAATCCGCACTTTGTACTGCTTCCAAAAAATGCAAGCACTGCGGATATTTTAAAGCTCTAAAAGAAATTTGTCCAATAGTACAAAAATTAACATAAAAGAAAACATGACATCAAAGAAAATGGAAAAAGAGGGGAAGGGAAATAAATAAAAGTACTCTTAAATGGAAATAAAAAAATGGAAATAAATGAGATAAATTAATATGGTGGACTTGGTGCAATATAGTGCACTTCATGGCAAGACGATTGCTACGAGAATGGATTCGAATCTGGCAGATACACCATGCTTAGTCGGGTGATAATATCACTGGATGGTGAAAGCAAAAGAAGGTAAAATGAGTGGATTATTCAGATCGGAATGCTGCGGTACTATATCCAAAAATAAATGCAGGTGATATTTGTGATTAACTTTATCAAATGACTCCTTGCCAAAATTTGTTTGGTTCGATAGATCGCACTTATTCAACATGTTAAGTACTTTCAGAAAATAAAAATAAAAATTGAAGTTAAAAGACATTTTATAAAAGAAAAAAAGAAACCTAGAGCTAACGAAATAAAACAAGTATGTTGAGATGATATAAGGGAAAAAGTATTAATATAACAGCATATAAGAAATACCTGGCGTACTCAGGACGCTTCCAATAAAGCAAATATTTTAAATAGTTGATAAAATAAGTCTCCTTGAAATAACCGCGTTGCGAAAGAACTGAAAAAACTTCTTTTAGTTATTTTAGAATTTTTAATAGATAAAAAATGAAAAAAAATTTAAATTCTTATACAAAAAAATTGAATTTATTTCTTTAAACATAATTATTTTAGGCAATATTTTTAAGAAATCTTGCAATTTAAATAATGAGGATTAGCAAGTGCTTGCACAAATTCGCATTCCACTTCAAAACGCCTTCGTTGCTCCTCTGGAGTTTCTGTGTTCCCCACAGAATTCAACGTCGGACCTTTAAAATATTGTATCACATCATTATATTTAAACAATGCTCGTACAAAATCCCATTATTATAGCTTGGCCACTTGATATTCTTTTTCTATGGATAGATTTTTTTCTAAGAACTTTCGAGAAAAATCTACAAACTGTAAAACCATAAAAATCCAAGGATCCTCAGTGGAAAAATTGGGACTGCTAAAAAAATTGGCTCTCTGCACGCGCAGCGAGGTGTGAGCTGCTTGGAAAGTCAGAACGCTTATGGATGTCATGAGCTAAGCGATTACTCACATCGGGTTGCGAGTAATTATCAAACTTACTTTGAGCATATATCATTGTAATGACTCATTGTGTGCGAAAACTCGGTCCCCGCTGATTGAATGGAAACCAGCAAAAGACCGTATTGCCTACGGTGGTTCAAAGGAAAATCCTACAGTGTTTCGGTCATCAGTGTATATGATCCAATTTTAGGCGCAATTGTCCATGATAAGGATGTTTACGCGAAAGCCATTTAGTTATAGTTAGTAACAAAATCTCTATCGAGATATAACATGGTCACAATTGAAGACTGGAATACATGTGTAGGTCATGATGAGGAGGAATTCGCAATGTAATTGGCAAATATGGCACCAGAGTCCGATGGAGAGCGGTCTCTTCGCTTTGCCCAATAGAGCTTTTTATTAGCACATACTTCCGCTATCGCAGAAGATATCTACTCACGTGGACTTTCCAGATAACCAACTTCAACGAGACTGATTACCTTAGTCTCCATTGGAAGAGTTCAGTATTAGGTAGTCGCCCCTATCGGGGCGCTGAAACTGGTGACCTTCATGAATCTGACTATATTGTGATTCGAGCTAAGATCCGTAAAAAGCTGACAACTCTCCTAGACCTTTCAACTACTTTAAACTAAAAGATTCTGGAAGTAAGCGTATTTTAAACTGAATTATTGAAACATTTCAGTGAAATAGATATCAAAGACATTCCTAGAACGGCAGATGAACACTGGTCCAAATTAAAGGAAAATCTCCGGAAGTTAACCAATTCCATTCCATGAATGCTAGTAGGAAGTAAGAAGTGCACTAGTTGCGAATCGGAAATAATTGTCCAACTATCCCAAAAGGCTGCCAAAGCATGAATGTCAGAAGATCATGACTATCTGATGCTCCGAACTGTAATGACAGCAGCACAGCGGGACAGAAATCACTACTGGAGCGACATGGCCTTGAGGATGGAGATGGCTCGATTAGGCGATAATAGGAAATTATTCCGCCTTCATAAAGCAATTATAACTGGGAAACGATAAGTGAAATGGTAAGGGATGGCAATGGTACGCCTGTTAAGGCTATCAAAGATCCTCTTATAAGATGGAAGGAATTCCTTAAAGTGAAGTTTAACCACGATATGTCATCTGTTGTATCGGATATGGCTGATTCGCTAGCCAACCCATATATTCGTAGTTAAGAACCGCCAATAGAAGAAGAAATAACTCTTTTTGTCTATAAGCCTAAAGTCAACAAAATTCCCGAATAAGATGGTCTTCGGGCCGACTTCTTCAAACCTCTTCCATCGCCCTTCATAATGAACCTTCAATGGTACGATATATCAAGATACACCCTAATTAAGCTAGATTCAAGCCAGGGCGTGCTGACATTCATGTTAAGAAGGAATATCGCTTTAAACATCTGCAACCCACCGCTACATGTTTCATCGACTATGCGGCTTTTGATTCAATTCGATAGCGCTTTGAAAAGTGATGAAATGCGATGATTTTCCAGAGAAGTTCATTAGACTCATAAAAGAATTTATCATCATATCTTGGTACAGTACATGGGGAATCAGATCGATGTATATGAATATATGTATATATATGTAAGGATTGACCTTTTCGAAATAAAATCTGGTGTCCATCAAGGATGCGCACTTTCTCCTACAATATCGAATTATGCGATATGTTGGATAATGATATCGCTTGTCGAGGTTTATGCAAATTAGTCCAGAGCAGAGCACCATAGACCTCGAATATGTTGATGATGTAATCCTTTTTGCTAAGTTATGATGAAATGCAAATAATACTAAACAATATGTCCATAACAGCTGCGAGATCAATGTACGAAAGTCATGTTGCCCTATAATACGGCCTCATAAAATACGTAATTTTTATCAATTCATCGCCAGTTGATGAAATTAGCCGATGAAACGACTTTAAATACCTTGGATCCACTCTAATCCCAAATGGTCAGGCAAGAGACGAAACCCGGATAACGGTAATTAGAAATGCGTTCTTCCAGCTGTCGAAACTTTTATGGACACGTGGCGAAATCACCATCAAAGGTCCGCGTCTATATAGCTATATGGTTGCGAAATATGGCCAACGAAAGTGGAAGATATTAAGAAGTTATTTGCTCTTGACCACTCATATCTAAGGTATATTTTATGGGTTAACCGAGTGGATAAAATCTCACATGATCGCATCAAATACCAACTGCATTAATATTTCTATTACACAGCGCAGTCTTCGCTGGTTACGGCTGGTTAGTTATTTGCCAAGGAATTGCTCACAAGCGATTTCCAAATACCGTGCTCTGAATTTATTGACTATTAAAGATGATTTTTTTAAAAACGAATAACGACACGTTCTTCATCGTCCATCAGAAGAGTTGAGGCATGTTTCGCTACTTGTTAAATTTGCGATAGATGGCACCAAAAATGAGGAGAGCCAATCAAAATCTGGACTGATATAGTTAGGAAATTTTTTTGTACGAATCAGCGATATGTGGACAATGGAAAAAGAAATGGCTTCTATTCAGCAACGGCATCGAATCGAACAGCTTGGAAAATCCTATCTTTATAGCCAGCAGATCTAATTAGTAATGGAAATGGAAATCAGTAATGAAATGAAGTGGTGAAAGCTGTTTGAAAAAGAATTTAATTTATAAAACCATTGTTTTCACCAAGTTTCCACCAAACTTTCAATTTCTCTACGGTAAACAGGGTATAAAAAGGATATATTTAAGAGTATATTGAACAGTATAAAGAAGGAAAGCCAAAGAATGAAAACAACGTAAAAATTTTTTCAAAATTTCAGTAGAGGATCACATATTTGTTAAATTAAAACAAAGTTTAATAAAATATTCAAAAGTGAATATTTACTTTGATAAACACTGCAGAAAAATCATCTTGCATTTTTAGGCGCTAGAGATGCTCTATAACTTGGTAAATTTCTCGCATTAATGAAAACTACTCAAAAAATTTCATACTTATTGTAGGTTTTGCAAACATTATTGAGTTATCCTGGACTATTCTGATTCCACTAACTGAATGGAATATCCTCTCATAATAGTAATAAATGCCCTATTTACGACTGTCGTTAATTCATCAGAAAGTCCACAGATTTTCTGTTGAATAGATAAGATGTTGTAATCGTTTTTTGTTTTTTAAAACCAAGGGAATGCTTTTCTGTGCTATTTTCCTATTTATTTTTGGTATTTTTGGTAATCTTCAGCTCATGAGCATTTAAAATATTCCTAGGGTAAATTCTCGAAACATCGAGAGAGAAGCAATGATTTTTATATCGCGAGTCCAACTGTTTAGCTGTGTTTAGCTGTGAAATATGTTTCATTTAATTCTACAGCATAGATCGTCTTGAGATTTTAATCACTTAATGTTGACTGAATCTTGCCATTGAGAATTACTGCACATTTCGTGGAATCACTTTAAAGTGGAAGAACTTAATCGAATTTTCATACATTTTGCCAAAACGATTTGTGCATTTGAAAATACTTGGAGTTCTGATTTTTCACAATCAACATTAAATGAATGGAAAAAACGAGTATCGAGTAAAATGTCCTCGAAAGAAATATTTGCAATATGTAAAATGACCAGTTCTAATGACAATGATCGTATAACTTGGGCATAACGAAATTTTAATACTTCTACCATTCAGAAGCAAACCCAATCAGAGAATATGAACACTTAAAATTATTTATGTAACGGAAATGCCTAGATCTTTAACAATATATAAGTGCATGATAATTGTTTAAACATTCAACTCTTACTTATCTATACTATTTTTTGCTGAATCACTTGAGAATTGCTAGTTAGTCAATTAAATATTAATATTTGCAACATCTCTTTACTAATAAAAGGAAATTAACAAAATAATATCAATTGTTTCGCAATTTTCAACAGGTTGCTCATTGTTTCGCTGATTATGCTAGTTCGCTGTTGATACAATTAGAAAATTTCGCTACGGAACCACTTGATTACAGATGAATTAACAGTAGCACCTGGATTTTTTAACCATAGCTCTCCTGTCTGAGGCAAGATCTAAGTTCGTTCTTTTGAACAGTTAATCTTTACTATAATTAATTAAAATAAATCATAAAATAATAACCTCTAAGTATATCCAGATTTTTGATACAAGAAAGGCAGGAATGAAGGAATCCTTTTCAGCGAAAGAATTTCTCTAAAACTGAAATATTTAAGATTAAATCTGACGTGATTCTCCCTAGAAATTTTTTTCTTCTCAATGAATTAAAAGTTTTTAGAAAAATAAATATCATAGAAAATAATAAACGGTATTGGCACCATCAATATCACATCCACCACAAGAAGTAATCTTTTTTTTGTTATTTATTTCATTTATGTTCATTATTTATCGGGCTAGGGAATTTGAATATTAAAACATTTTAAGATAATTATTTATTTTGCAAGATGCAAGATGGATGAGACTACGGAATAGAACAAAGAAAAAGAGAGAGACCAAATACTTTTGAATTATGAATATGGAAAAAAATATCGTGAAAAACATAAAACATATAAATGAACTTTACAAACAACACGATGGAGATGTCCACTGAAGCATTAGTCAAGCTACCTAAATTATCTTGGTATAACGCATAGAAACAATTCATCAGAAAAAGACTTAACGAATAACAGAGAATGGAAGTGAGGAAGGCCTAAGATAAGATGGATAAACAAAATCGCACCATCACAAAACTTAAGAATTCTGAAGCAGAATTCAGACGGGAGCAAATGGATCTTCCAGAGTATCCACATGAACGAATCGACCATTTATGACGATGGTTTATAGGAGGAGAGTGGCCCAGTGGGCCGCCCTCATTCCGGAAGGCAGATTATGGGGTTCAATCCAGGCGAAAGTGTTTTTCACAAACCCAGGTGGTGCTGGCGCTTGTACTCCCGCAGGCAAATAGCTATCTTGTAAAATTCGCCTGGAGCAACAAGCCAGTGGAGTTGGGCCTAAGTAGAAATTGCGAGCGTCTTTAGAAACAAAAATTTGTTTTCCGCTGATCCAATTATAAAAACACACTACACGACCAGCGTGGCACAATTTGCACTCGACAACACTGGCACCCACCACAGCCACTTCTCTTCACACTTATTGAGGGACACCCTGGTAAATCTAAATAAAATGACAACGAAAATGTCGACCATATTCGGCTTAAATAAAATAAAATTCGGCTTCACCGATCATTCGCAGCATGGACAGTCCCTTGTAAATATTTTTTCGTTGCACCTTATTATCTATAAAGCGATGAGCAATAACTTTACATACGTTTTGTTATTTTTTGAGTTGATTTTTAGTTGCAAAAGCCAGAAATTGAATGGTATAAATTTGCTTCTTGCATAAATGATGAATTGTAAATTGTGCATGGAATAGGAGAAATTGTCGCCCAGTAAAAGAGTTGATACATATTTCGCTGGTAAACCCTGCGATGGGTGACGATGCTGTGAAAGCGAGGAGGGGCAATCAAGACATGGACTGATACGGTCAGGAAAGATTTTGAACGTATAGGTGGACCAGCAATACATGGACGTCTTACCCTTGCAGCCGTTGGAGCCAGCCTAACCTGTAATGGCGAGAGCTGTTAGAAGAAGAAGAATAGGGGAAGTCGCGTCCATCGCATCCAGCCAACATTTGAAGGAATCAAACACGATAATTTATCAGAAACGATAAAAATAGTCAAAATGGAAGGAGAAACGTTTGAAGCAAATTATGGAATGAAAAGAAACGAATCGGACGTTGCTGCCCCCAAAATTTACTCGGTTCACCCGATTCTCATTAACACCGCAACTGCGTTTCATTGTACGAGTGCACCGCTCGTGTCTTCTTTATCCAAAACAAGAGATTTGACCGGTTTTAAAAAAGTGAATGCGGCGCTTTTCATTGGTTCTCTCGGCTCGGAAACTGTTATTTTCGCAGTTTTTACTACAATTTTCTTTCAAGTGTTCTATCGCGTTTAATGAAACTGTCACTTCTTCGTGTCAAAATTCGTACCGTTAAGGCTAATCTTCAAATTCAGCTTCAGTTCAAATTTGCTTTAAAATACTTCCATCTCTTCCACGAAGACTTTACAAAATGGCTTTAAAACTCGTTGTTTCTAACTACATAATGTCGTCAGCAAAACTTTATTTGTTCAGAGGCCAAGCAATGGTTGAATTTATAACATAATAGAGTGCTGGGACCCTTGTCAGATACAGAAGCACCAGCAGAAAACGATGCAGCCATTCGAGCCAACATCACTGAATTAATGAACATTCTCATCCACAAAACCCCAAAATATCGATTCCTCTTGTAGACGGTAGGGTATAGTTTTTTTGAAAATTACATGGAGGTGGGTTACATCACCGCGCAGATCACATAATTAGGGAATTAATTTACGGTACGAACACTGTAATTTCACTGTAACTTGGTTCATTTGGACCGAGGAATTCCAAGTTATTAGTTCCGGCTTCTTGTGAGAACTTACCTCATCAAACAAACGCTTTAGCAGATGAATAGTATTATTCGCATTTTGGGACAACAGCCATACAAAATTTTATATCGCTATTTGTATCGTTAATATAAAATTTTATTCTTTTTCTCTCTTAGTTCAAGCTATTTTGTCGTAATTAACTGTGGTGCCAGGATCGACGTGGTGTGCGTTATAGTATGTATTTTTGCAATCCATGAACATAGGGTAATGAATTTATTGGTTTTTAGGTAAATAGCAGATATATAGTATTATTATATTATTCTATATATTATTATTCTAGTGCACGACCAGTAAATTAGCACATTTCATTAAGGAAGGTTTCATTTCTTTTCTTAAAAAGGCCCATTTATATACTCTGCAGTGAAGCTCAAAATCAAGATTTCCATTTCTATAGTTATACCAGTTAAGGATTGGATTTTTTTGAATTTAATTTTTTTTGCATTGCACTACACTAGGTGGAAGTTCTTGAAACTTTTTGTTAAGATCTTATAACTGGAATAACTTTTTCGATCTACCAGCTAATAAAAATCAGTAAAAATAAACAGTGGAGACCAATATAATTTCAACAGCATCAATCAAACAAAGGACTAAGTTTATTCTGAGACGTGACTGATTCAAAAACGGAGAGAAAATTGTTGACATGCAAACCTATCGATTCGATAGGTGATATCCACTTACATAAATTTTCACAACAATTTACATAATTTACTGGTGGTTATTACGAAACTTTACAAACCATTTCGTGTACAAATTAGAAAATATCCGCAAGCCAAAAGGCGACGTTTGCGAATTGCGAATTTGCTACCTGCAGTGTTACTACCCATTAATTAAATTCCTTTTTTGATTATAAGCAAATAGATACGAGTTTTGTGCTTCTGAAATTTCAATTCAGTGTTAAATGAATCATTTTTAGCACCTTAATTTGTTCGATTATTCGATTTTCTTTTTTTTCTACGTTTCCTTTTAATTTGAACTTTTTGTTATTGTTATAAATGAGTTTATTTACCCAATATTTTTGATACAATAAAAGTTTGATTATTCAAGTTTTTCATAAATTTTCTGTATGAATAAACATCTATAAACATCTTTATCTGATCAATCGTAATATAATCCAGTTTGGCAGACGCAATGATCAATGAAAGAATTGAAACAACAACTGACAATCAGAAGATCCTCAATAAATCATATATATATACTTTTCTTCTTTAGAGTAAATTAAAAAATAGTATTGCAAAATTTAAAAAACAAAAAAATATCACACAACAAAAAAGAACAAATCAAGAATGGGGCATTAAAATTGAAATTTAAATTTAATTGCTGGATAAATTATACATGTATTTCAAGTTAACTGGAAAAAAATATAAAAATTAATTAATTACTCAAAAGTCACAAATTCTCGGATATTTCACATCTCCTTCCAATAATAAGAAGATTTTCCGGTGAAATTGAGCAATCAATATATTTATGAAGATTAACCTCAAATCCGTATTTCTGAAGTTCGAGAACCCGTCCCATTTCTAAAACCATCTTTGCTTGAAATCCGAATTCCTCCTTTTGCTCCTTTGTCCATAGGTATGAAATATTCGAAAAATTTGGAACAGTAAAATTGTTGCTACTGGTATTTACTTCCATCTAAAAATCTCTTAAATAAATCTTAGATCTCTTAAATATTATAGAAGACGTTATAGGTCGAAATTATCAAAAATTTTTCTAAAATATTAAAATATTCACAAGATTTTAATATTTTAGATTTTAATATTTGTAAAACAATCAATTCAATTCAATTTGAAAAAAAACAAACATCTTGACAAGGATGGATCATACCACAAGTTGACCAACTTGCTATGTGCCGAAGAGCAGCGAATTGATATGAAGAATTTATACCGTAATTTTTCAAATAGTCTTTACCAAAATACTAAGAAATTATAAAAATCATAAGAATAAAACTGCAAAATAACTTATACAAAATTTATCTTATACAAAATTTATTTAAAAAATAAAATTAAAAATAAAAACATTTTATATAAAAAATAATTTAAAACTCATTTTGATAAACTACTATAAAATAAATGGAATATTGCATAAATCACCTGATTGTATAAGGATTTATGATGGCAACAAGGTGCCAATACAAATCCTTTCAATTTAACGCCTTTTTGAAAACCGTTTAACAAACAACGAATTCCATAGTCGGTCGCATTGCCGCAAAAATGTTTGCAGATGGCAGTAACACAACAAGAATTCAAAAAAAACTTAAGGTTCAATTCATATTTCAAAAAATTTGACCATTTTTTATGAAGAAAATTTTACAAGAAAATTTATTAAAAATATGCTTGAACTCACAGAAAATAAGCGTGTCATAAAAATGGAAAAATGAATGTTTCTAAGAGAAGAGACAAAAAGTATTCTTTAAATGTAGCATTATGGGTCGTTTTTGCTAAATAAATTCTTTTAAAAATATTTTTAATTTAAAATCTCTGCCAATCATTAATGAATTTACATATCATAAATAATTCTTTTTTTTTTAAATAGCCTTCATCATTACTGGTTAAACTCTCTTCGCTGACTTGCCGCATTGGACAAATAAACCAGGAAGTCTTTTGGCGACAGAAATACAAGTAATTCGCCAGCATCATCCGTATGCAAATATCTCATAAATAATTTACTAAATTCAATTATATTTTTTTTCTAAATATGTCTAAATTAAATTTTGTCTAATTATATTCCAAACTGAAATATCTTCAATACTATTAAATATGTTAAAATATTGCTAAACAAAATAATATAAGAAAAAATAAAGAAAAAAAGAAAAATAAAAAAAATAAAGAAATTAAAATTAATTAATCAAAATTAATCGATTTCATCATTCAAAATAAAACCATTCTATTTAAAGTGTAAAAGAGAAAAGAACAATGCTAATGCAAATTTTTTTAAACAATAAAATGAGGAAAATTTGAATAATACGAATTTGAGATAAAATGAATCAAATATTTTCTTTGTAGCGATTGCTCTATATACCAGAATATAAATATACTTTTTAATGAAAAAATTAAAGGCCGTAAAGGGAAAAAAAACCTTCACAAAACTAATACGAGACAAATCCAAATGTTCAACAGAACAACGCAATCGGACCAATTTAAGTTGAGGATTTTCCTATAAAATAAATAAAATTAAAATCAAATAAATCCAAATTTAATGTTAGAAATCCAACATTTACAAGTGATAAAGAACTAAAATTTTCAACAAAAGCAAACATCTGGATAAAATTTTATGAATAACCTTTAACGCTTTATTATCGAATTTATTTCTCATACCCATTCGATCAATTAAAAGAAAAGTATATTTTGGAACAATTTTTGTCAACCAATAAGAAAGATGAGCTTTGCCAGCACCAAGTTCAATTAAACAACAATCATCATCATCAAATAACAACTTTGAGTATTTAAGACAACCTTAAATGAAAGGAATCCCAGTGATTTACTAAAAAAATATTAAATCGGAATGGATTAGTAGAAAATCAGGTGAAAAATATTTCATGTCAAATAATACGTGAAATATTTTTTTTAACTTATTTAAAAAAATTTAAAATTGAATAATGAATGAAATGAAAAATAATTCCAAAAAATAAGAAAACTAAGAAAAAAAACCTATTATTGAAGAATATTGTGCAAGATGTTTACGGCGAGTAGCACTCATTTCCCTCGATTCATCCATAAATTTTTGGATAATTGGAGTTTCCAAAAAAGATTTTTGAATCAATCCAGACAATTGAAGATCCTCGCATATCTTGTGAATAATTTTGACCATTCGAATGAGATCCCGTTCGTTTAATTGTAATTTTAAAAAATCTTCCATATTTTCTATAAAAAAAGATTAGAATCTAACTGCAAAATATGAAAAAGCTAATTTTAAATGGAAAAAAAATTTTCTTCGATCCATTTAACCCTAAAAAATGGATTTTTTTATGGAAATGGATTTTGATTCCTAAGATTCCCAAGCCATTTTGATTATTGCAAATGTTTAAGTCAACTAACCATTTCGTAAATCAAAATTACAATTTTCAACAATCCATGGGTAATCTATTCGTAGACGAGAATTACACCGATTATTTAGATGATCTTCAAGTTCATTTCGATTAACCGTATGTTTTGGATCATTTGGACAAGGTATTCTTTCCTGTAAATTCATTAATTAATTTGCAGTAAATCCTCTCATATTTTCAATTGATATCCAATACACTTAAAGTACAAATTTCAAATATCAATATCTTACTATATTAATACTCAAAATAAATCTGAAATTGCTATGAAAATAAGCCAACCACATTATTTTCATCAAATATAAAATGCTCGCCACAAAATTTATTGCCTTTCTTTACAAGCATTTTACATCGCCTCTTTTTCTTTGGTAGGATAAACGAGCAACGTTCCATCTCGTTAAATCTCCATAATATTATTCATTCCCAAGAAAGCTAAAAATAATTCAATGATCAATCACATCATTCTAATCCCTGCAGTTAGTTTAACCAATCCCACCAGGCGCTAAAAGAAAGTAAAAAAAAAATAATGCAGCGAGAAATGAAATCTTTCCATATGAATGATAAAAAAACCCACTTGCCCACTTCATGTTTAAATACACCTTGAATAAAAAAAGCCACTTCATATTCAAATTTGCTTAAATATCTTATCTTATTTTATGCTTCCATTTTTTAACTATCCTGTAACTTTAAACTTAAATGCAAAGCATTACAATATTGTTTTCACTTTTAAGATATTGCTTGATTTTTTCATACCAAATTCTTCAAAAGTATAGTTTATAAAACGATGAAATATTTTTATTCTATACAACGATATCCATATTCAACGATAATAATCAGTTAAATAAGCTATTATTAATAAAAGTATGAAGTACAGTCGGCTGCTTCAATCATTCTAATCTTCCAAAAGAAATAAATTTCCAATTTGCTTGAATATATTATTTCCAAATCTTTTTCTAATATTAAATCTTTTTTGATAAATAAAATGATTTTAAAATACCTAATATTGATCTATAAAACTACAATATAATACAATCATCATAAAAATTTTAAAAGCCATATGATCTGAAATAAATTCGAAAAAAAAGGCGATATATTGAAAATATGTATAAATATATGAATAAAAAATCGGTTTATCATACACCAACCAAAATATCACATTAACATTTTATATTTACAAAGCATCCATAGAATTTAAAGCGCCAAATTTGGAAGAATAATTGTAAATATTCTGAAAATAATAAAAGATGAGCATTTATGAAATATATATATTATTGTTGCTGCCTAATTTTATTTAAATGCTGTTTCAGTGCTTCAACATCACTTGCTCGAATATTTCTTCGATGAGATACAGTTGTTCCTTCATTTTCAGGTGCAACTTCGTTAATCAAGCTGGAAGAAATGTTGTATATTAAATATTTATTTTCATAGTTTAATTTAATTTAATTTCATCCATAATATGTACAAAGAAATAAAAATTAAAATCCTTACGTTTTGTTATTGACAGTAGAACGGCGTGAGGCAAATTTATTATCCTGTATTGTCGTAAGCGGTTGATTGATACTGTCCAGACCATTACTTGCGTTGATATTTGCTGGATGATAATTTTTTAAATTACGAATTTCTTTCACAAATTCTAATGCCTAGAATTAGAACTATTCTCCTTGCTATATGTTCTCTACGCATAAAAATATTACATTTTAAAATTTTTAATAACAAAAACTTTACATTCTTCAATTCTAAAGATATTTCTGGCTCATCTCGATCGTTATGTTCCATTCGTTTCAAATGATATATGACGAAATCCTAAACAATACGATTTTAAAAAGACAAAAATTAAAAACAAAAAAGAATAATACTGGAAAAAAAAAGAAATTGCCATCACAACGAAAAATAAGCGAGGAAAGCAAAATAAACAAAAATAACAAATAAAATAAAACAATCAGTAAAACAAAGGTAAGAGGGCCGATTGCACTCTGCATTTATAATACGCACAAGCATGATGCATAAAATTCTGCAGACACAATCCGAATTATGCATATGACTATATTAAATAATTTTAATCTGGAACAGTTTAATTCAAAAAGGTGACAGCCAAATCTTAAAAATATTTTAAAAAATATTTTAAAAAACCAAAAGAAGTTAAAATAATGATCATGCAATCAAAACAAAAACTTACACGATAAGAGCTTTTAGAAACCTTTTTAAATTTCATAAATAAGAAGTAATAACTTTTAGCGGCCAAATATTTACATCTTAATAAATAATCCGAAATAATCATCCGAAGAAAATATTTACTTTTAACTTGTCGTGCTTCTTCAGCGCATCATCGATATATTTCCGACCCTCTGGATTTACTTTCAAATATGTATGTAAAAGACGAATGCCCTACAATTCAAAAACTTCGCCAAATTGGTCGATAAATATCTTAAGAAAAGTTATTTTCGTAAAACTAAGTTTCTTTATTTAAAATTAGCTCATTCTATTTCAATTGAAATTTTTGTTCGAAAATATATATTAAAATTATGAGCTATTGAAAGAAACTGAATCTGAAACATCTACAAACGTTGGAAAAAATCCAAGCAAAGGAAATACCATGGCAAGACAAGACCAAGATTCTCCAGGGACAAATAACTGACATTGAAAAATTCTACCAGTTGGAAAAGGCTGGATTAAAGAGCACCATTGAGACATTGATGATAGTAGCATAAAAGCAGAAATTAAACACCAGATCCACTGAAACAAACTACCACACCAGACAGAATTCTAAGTGAAGACTGAGCGAAAACTCCTTAGAAACGATCCAATGCAATGTCAGGATGTAAAATGCAAGCAAAAACAATTTACTATGAAAAGCACAACCAATTAGCTGGCATCATCTACAGAAACATCTGCTCGCTATATGACTTAGACCCTCTAAAATTAGATGGAAAATTCCTCAGAAAATTAGGGAGAATAAAAAGGCAAAAATCTTATGGGATTTTCTCATCTAGAGAAACAAAGTACTAACCAATTAACCATACAAGAACCAGAAATCAAAATACTGGCAATAGATATGGCAATACCAAGTGACAGCAATGCCACGAAGAAGGAATATGAGAAATATCAGGGTCCGAAAGAGACTAAAAGACCAAACTAATTCCAGTGATAACTGGAGCACTTTGAATTGTGACCCCTAAACTAGAAAAGTAGCTTCAGTAAATTTCAGGAACAACATCAGAGATCTCTATCTAGAAGAGCCACTCCTAGGAAGTTAAAATACAATGGAGAAGCCTCATGCTTCCAGGCCTCTGGTAGAAGACTCGTGGTTAAGAATAGTCCTCATCATCCAGAGGGGGAAAAGGGTTTTTTTATAACAGAATAAAATAAAGTTTGAACTCCAAAATTCAAAAACAGTATGTAGGAAACAACAACAACCTTTCCAAACGGATCAGTGACAATTTTATTCATTAAATGCTGTACGGATTCCTCCACATTTGATGTTAAAACCTGAAAAGTTGAAGTGGAAAATTTTTTGACATTATTATTTGATCACTTAATATTTTTTCAGACAAAATAATGAAGAAAATGAGTAAAAGGAGTTCCAAAAAATAAGTAACTTATTGCATACCTGACCAGGTATTTCACCACAAACAGAAGAAGTCAGACTACTTTGACTACTTTTATTCTTTAAACCTCGCACGCATTTCTGCATATATATTATTGCTTCACTGCTCTCAGGATTTGGAATTAATCGAACATGATCAACTACCTTCGAATATTTAATATTATCAACAGTTAGATACCATGAAAAAAGAAATGAATTAATAAAGATTACGGCTGCTTTTGTCCCAGCTACAAGACGCTGAATGCATAATTCCATCGAATGTATCGCATTTTTAATAGATTCATTTTCCTCGGCCTTTGGTCGAAACTCTTCCAAAAAATCATGAATTGCTTTTACAGTAACATCGAGATCTAACGGTACATCACGCAAAAATGATTCCGATTGTTTATAGATGCACTCAAAAAATAAAAAGAATAAATTCCAGAAAAATCAGAGTTCCAAGAAATAATTTCAATCAAATTACCCGAAATAAAAATTTTCACCTTAATAATAAGTTCAACAGTTTTATTCCTAGGATCTTTCAAAGCCGAATTCAGCATCGAGCACAGCGCTAAGAAACATGATGTAGCATCTGCGTTATCACAGGTTCTAATGGATAAATAGTTCAGTGAACGAAATATCTAAATAAAACATAAGAAAAAAGATATGAAAATATAATTATATTCAAAAAAAAACCAATACGGCCATACCCACTGCGAGTCCTTTAGTTGAACCATTCTCTCATCTCTTAAAAGATAAAGAAATTCCTGTATAAGCATTTTCAGTGCATCAGCGGACATACGTGAACATGTTGCAGGTTCTTTCACAAGCTGAAAAGTTAATTTAATGCAATATTGATTCTCAAATAATTAAAATCTAAAATCTAAACAATTAAAAAAAAAAATTCCCGAGGTCAATTTATTTTAATGTCTCATTTTATAACTCCATTAAAAAAATTATTTGATTAAAAACTCAAAAACTTAGTCAAGAAAAATTTACCGAACTAAGAAAGTGGCATATAGTACGCACAAGTTCGTTTACATCATTTAATGCCGTTACATCGTCCAAATGACGACTACGAATCAACGAAGTTTGTGTAACCAGCGCTTGGACTACTGCATCAACACGCTCAGCCACAAAGTGAAAAGTATTTGTATCTCCAAATAGGAACTGCAATTGACTTATGGCTGCACTCGCAGTAGCCTGTGAGACGGAAGCTATTCCATGAACAACCTGCAATATAAAAATAAAAAAGAATAAAAAAGATTATAAAATTTAAAATGAAACAACTATTTTGATTAAAAATTAAATATAAAACCTTGTCAACTTCACCGGCTGATGATTCTAAGGATGTTATTGAGCTGACTGATTCGGCACGTCGACTAAATGCTTGTTGTTGCATCCTTTGCCTTACCACCGGTTCAATAGGCTCAGGTACCTCTAGCTTTTTTGTATCATTTAAAGCGCGTTCAACACTCGGATAGATATTATCAAGTTCCAGACCCTATGAAGTGAGTATTATATGATTTTTTTACCTAATAAACAAATTAATTTAAATTTAATCCAACTATAATTTAACCAACTTAAAAACATTAACACCGTTACCAGAAAAAAATTGAAACTAAACCTATCATATTAAAAATTCTAACAATTTTTAATAAAATTTACACTTAAATCAAGAGCAAATCTTCGAGGAGGTCCGTTCGACTGATCAATCAGTGCATCCTGAAAAATAAAACTAGCAGTAAAATATGATTTTCAAATTTCAAATTTGAGATATGATCATAAAATAATTTTAAGGGAAGAAATGATTACCGATTTCTGAGTATATGTTTTATTTAATTCTTTTCCTTCAGCTGGACTTATTTCACGAGAACACGATTGACGACTCGCTGGTCTACTTCCAACCCGACTAGTTGATCGGGCGGATCTCATTTTACCTCCTTAATTAATTAGAACTTATAAAGATGAATAAATTCAAATAAAGAACACATTTTCAAAAAAATATTTGTCAGGCGCAAAAGATGAATTTTGTAATTAAGTAACTTATTAACTAACCCTTTAAACCAGTACCGATTGATGCACGAATTCTATTCTGTTGCAATGCGTTCACATTACGCCTTTCGATGCCTATATTCATAAATTAGATTTAGAAAAAAAATATATACATTTTCTTAGAAATCAAAAAAATTCTGGTAAATTCCATAAAAGAGTTCTTGAAAGATTATCAAAAAATATTAAAAACATATGAAAGAATAAGATAAAAGGTAAGCAAAGGGAAGATCCATGTAAAAAAAAAAATGTTCCGAAGCTAACTGCAACTGCAAGTTAACTAATCAGAACAGAAGAAATCTTATGCTAATAATAATATGCTAATAATGTTATTTAAATTGATATTTGGTACTTCTAAAAAATTTCAAACAAAACTTCTCTATTTCGAGAAATTTCGAAAAATGAGAGAAGTGAGAATTCCGCAAAATCTATTCTAAAATTATTTGGTGTTGCAAATTTATAAAATTTTATAAATAAAATGAATTAATAAGCCAGTAAACTTGTATTTTAATTTTCTTATTATTACCATTCACCACTTCTGCCTTCACGAACTATTACTCTCTGTAGAACTCTCATCAGAGAATTGTTCTGTAACAAAAAGCGGGTTCAACACCCACAGCAATATGTATATTTCTCTTTTATGATTTATCCCTATTAAATGAGAAATCAATTGAACTTTGAAATAATATTCTACAATTCTGCTCCCTAATAAGTAAAACATATTTGAATTCTTTAATTCATTAAGTAGATAAAAGAAAAAAAATGCATCAAATATTAAAAAAGAGATGTAATGAATTCAATTAAATTAAAAAATAATTAATAATGCGAGATAATCCGGATTTAATACAGAATATTTCTCATTTAAATATTTAATTTAACTTCAATTCAATCTAACTTTTCTAATTTATAATTCGTTATAAAAAATCCTCGCTCTAACTGGCAATATATTTATTTCTCATACAAAATATTCACTGATGCAAGGTAATCTTCAGCACCATGTTGATTTAATTATTGCATTACAATCAAGAAACATGGACCAGCAATAAATTAAATAATAAAAAATATCCATAAAGTAAAAAGAACCTTTATTTTTTGTAACAACAGCGCTTCTTTTTATGCGCTCATCAAGCATAACCCTTTCTTTATCACTCATTTTTCCAATAAGTTGATATATGCGATCACCCTCTTCTTTCCAAGCGGCTACTACTGCATTTATTGCAGCATTACGTACGTTATTATCACGATCGCTAATACAACTCGCAATCTGCTTCATAGAAGACTAAAATAAAAAAAATATCAAGCAAAAAAAATTAACGAAACTGCTACTTATTTTTTACGCGAACAATGTCATAAAAATGAACCGCAGGATTCGCCATTGCGGCCATTCCAGCATAATCGATCAACTGTTCAAGGAATTGAAGACATTCGCTTCTTTGTCGAGAATTTTTCGTTTTTAATGCGTCCAGTACAAATGGGAATATCTTATTTGCACCAAGAATTTCTTTCATTAAATGCAAAATTGATCGAACAGGTACTCGTACAGCCTCCTTTGCTTCACCCAGCTGCAAAAATTGAATAAAATTACTAATAATCTGGGGCAAGTAACAGTTCTTTCGCTCAAAGTAAATATGGAAAAATACTTTTAAAAAATACTTTTAACAACAGATATGGCAAAAATGAAGCCAATTCTGCATCAGAAAATGATTCTTCATATCGTAATATATGTGTAAAAATAATTTCGCCCAGATCTAACGCTCTTAATAATACTGTGGGATTTGTTTCAAAAAATCGCAATGAGATCCATTTCAAAATGAGATCACTGTTAGCCAGCATTGCCTCAGGATTTTCAACCATAACCTTAATAAAAACTAATATCATAGTAAACTTTTGTCATTATTGTTTTAAAATGTACAAAGTAGAATATGATTTACAACATTAAAAATTTACCGAATGAAGTAGATCAATCGCTTTCAAATGTTGTTTAAAATCTTTATGAAATAATAAAAGAAATAACGCTGGCTGTGCGATAGAAGATAGTAAATTCTTTAATTGCTCAACGTGTTCAGCGGTTGGCTGATCAAAGTTCCATTTTAAAAGCTGAAAAAAATTTTTGGAATGTGGAATATAATGAATTAAAACGTCAAATAAAATAAAATAAATGGTCATAACAAATATATTTTAAAATTTTGAGAAAAAACCAGTAATTATGAATACCTTCAAATTTTTTTCATCACGAAGCCGTGTTGCCTTTTCTTTATTCAGTTGCAGTAATTCTTCTTTTTTCTTCTCAGATTCCCCGATTTCCTAAAGTGATAGGCTGAAGATCATTTAAAGCCCAAAAAGTAGAGAATTGCAGTTTTCATTTTCAATGACTAACCTTACTTAATGTACCATTTACACTAGGTGCTTTTACATGCTTATCTTCTTCTTTTAAGTCATCTTCAGCTTTTCTCCCAAAATTCATCAGTCCAGATTGTTTACTACCAACGCCAGGAGCAGGTGGTTTCAACGGCTAAAATCTTTATATATTTATTTACAAGGTAAAAGATAAAAATAAAAGAATATAAGAATATAAATATAAGAAAATAAGAAAATAAAATATTGAAATAAAATATAAAATACCTACATGCAAACTGATGTTTATAAATTTCTACTTGACAATCTTGTTATTTATAATTATTTATAATTATTATTTAATATTATTTGTAATTATTTATTGCTGTTATTAATATATATTTTTCCATAAAGTTTCAATTTAAAAAAAGCTTACGATGCATGCAAGTGCATTCCGCATTCTGCTTATCAAAATATTCATATTAAAAATAAATAAAAATTATAAGATATAAATAAAAACATGCAATTAAAACGTGCGGATAGGTCAACTTAATAATAATTTAATAACTTAATAATAATTTTTTCAAAAAACTTGAACAAAAATTTTAAAAAATCATTTCCTCGATAAAAAATTGTTAAACAAACAATAAAAATGGCAAAAAACGAAAGAAGCCTTACTGTTTCGTTGTTCTGATTTACTGGTTTTCCTGCATTCGAATTTGGCAAGTTCGGCTGAATATTTATCACAAACCATCAAAGAACGATAACAATAGATTCATTTAAAAATAGGTGTGATAACAAAAAAAGATGAAAAGAAAAAACATCTTTGCTTCTTAAAATAATCGGCAAAACAAGAAAATGATAAAGCTGTAGTATACGGTCACATCAGCGATAAAAAAAAGATAGGTGATATCGATTATCTATTTCACATTTAGAAAATTTGCCCTACAGTAAAGTTTTCATCAAATTTAACAAAAATAAAAATGTTCATGCCAAGTGCAATAATATGAATCTAGTCATATATTAAACAACAAAGGCGAAAAAAAAAAGAAACAAACATTGCTTTTGTGAATGCTTTGTACCATTACAGAAACAACATCTGGTCCAGCTTCTTGTCTCGCTTTATCACAAAAGTCTTTAATCTTTAAAAAAAATTAATGAATAAATAATAATAATGAATAATTAAACAGAATTAAACAGAACAGTATTGCAAGAATCATAAAAATCATAAAAAAACAAAAAAAAATACCTTCCCCATTTTAACTTTATCATCAACGATATCAGCCAACAATGCTAAACAAGGTTTTTCACCAACAGCTTTCATTGCAGCACCTAATGCTGCATAAGAAGCATCTCTTACTTCTGGATCTGAATCAGCCGTATGCTAAAATCAATTTAGTTCAATTCAAGAAATTATGCTGAATGGGAAACGAGGAAGAACTGCGTAACACCGAAACTTTGCATTAAAATTATTTGTATAACCTAAAAAATTATAAAACCTTGATGACTGTGGGTGCCAACGCCTTTAAAACTTTCTTCGGTACCGTTTGAATATTGTGCTTCTTAAAAATGCGATAAAGAAACAAATTAGTCTGTATTTTTATATTGGGATTTTGTTTCTCTAATGCCGCTTGAATATCTTCGGCGATTGCTTCCAAAGTAGTCTGAAAAAAGTTCGAACAGTCCAAAATATAACTGCAAACAACAAGAAGCATATTATGATAATACTTACGGTTGCAGCAACCGCATCAATGCAGTCGATTAGAGGATCTCTAAGAACTGGTTTCTTTTCTTTAAATTTTTCGAAAATTACTGGGATCACTAAATTAACGTGCATAGCAAATTTTTTTCTTAATCCATTTGCCAAAGATGTTATACATCGAGCCGCTAATGCGCAAACATTGATATTCGCATCCTTCTCCAAAATCTGAAAGAAATTACAAATAAAAAATGAGTGGATAATTGTCTTCAAATTGTCTTCACCGGCTCCTTTGAACACTCCACAGTTCTCAAAACTCGTTATATCTCCTCAGTACTTCTTTGAACCTTAATCCATGTTTTCATATTCATGTGATCACTACTATACCACCATGCGATTGAGGCAAAAGTGAATCAAGAAATCAAGAAAATTTGGTTATATGTTAAGGAGGCTATTAGAAATAGGTGCTCCACTACGACTTGGTGCGAAAGGGATGATAGCACTAATGGATAGTACTAACGGTAAAAGAACATAGCGGGATTTCTGGGATGTTAGTGGGGTACAGGGAATGGAATTTGGGGAAGAATTTGGTTTCCCATGGAATACCATAGCTTTTTTGAGAAAAATATTTGTTTTCCAAGAAAAATAGGTTTTTTCTTAAAAAATATGCACATTATTATATTACACTATTATATTTTTTTTAAATTTTACTTTAATTTTATTTTATTTAAATAAAATTACTATAAACCATTAAGTGTAATAAAATATAGAAAAAATCAAAGATAAAAAAAGGAATAAGATTCGATAGCACTAACTTTCCTCAACATAGCAACACATTCACCATAGGAAGCCTTCGGACAAAGTCTAGGATTGTCATTACATAGGCAAAGAAAAGACTGTAGAGCGTCACGCCGTTCTTGCCACTTTTTTGATTCGATTCCTTCCATGAAGCTGGTTGGCAGCTTTGGTAAGATATCAACAGGAGATAACATATCCCATGGGTCGGTTTCAGATATCACCGTTATAACTTCTTAGAATTTTCGATGATAATAAGACGAATAATGATAATAAAAGAATAAGACAAGGATAAAAAATTGGACGTTCAAGAACGAAATTGTTTATATAAGTGAAAAACGAACAAAAACTCGATAAAAGAAAAAAGAAAATGAACCATCAGTATCCTTTAAGGATGAAGATCGGTTGCTTATGATCGCAGAAGAATTCTCTTCCTCTTCTTCTAATAATCGGTGTGCTTCTTCTTCGGCTATTTCAGCCACAGTCTGATCCATTGCTTCATTTATCTAAAAGATGAAAGATGATTCGATGGTTTTGTTTAGTACCATCTTTGCAAGCAAAAAGATTTCATTTTTTGTTATCAAAATAAAATAACAAAATCGAAGAGAAAGTAATTTCCATGCCTTTTTCATTTTTGTTTTATCTTCTTGTACATTTCCCAGAAAGGATACCATAATTTTTTCACCAGTTAATCGCATGACAGAACCAAGTGCTAAACAAGCAGCATCCCGAACTTCGGCATCTGAGTCAGAAGTGAACTGCAATTTAAAGAAATAATTAAGCAGTAATGAAAGAGAAGTGTACGCTTTCTTTTCTAATATTATTTTTTTCTCTGTTCACCATTCACGAAAGAATTTAATCAGTGATTTTTAAAAACACAAACATAAAATATAAATAATTTGTGAAAGCTGAACCTTTACAAGTAACGGTGAAATAGCCTTAATGATTTTTTTAGGAGCAGTTGTTTGCTTATACTTTTTCATAGCGCGATAAATAAAATTGCACCCTTGCAATTTTGTGTTAGGATTAGCTTTGTCTATAGAAGTGATCAAATCCTCTACAAGCGAATCCAAATTCACCTGTGAAATCAAATATATAAAAAAGAAGTTTCGGAAATAAAAAATACAAATTATAAAAGTTTGAACTAAGTTTAAAATATAGATTGTAAGATTTTAAAAAATCAAAACTGGAAATAAAATTAATAAAATACTGTGCTGGTTATCGCATCGATACATTCTATAAGTGGATCCCTTAATGTTGCTTTCTTTTCTTTGAAACGCTCGAAAATAATAGGTACAAACTAAAATCAAAAACATATGATCAAACATGAAAAATGAAAAAACTCTTGAATATGAATACTCTGGATACTTTGAAGGCTCTCAAAGTTGTGCATTTCATACTACTTAGAATAAATGAATAAAATTATAAACCAATGAAGTAAACGGTCCAAATTTCGTTCGAAGACCTCGTGCAAGTCCAGAAATACATTTAGCAGCCAACGCGCACACGTTTATATTTGCATCTTTTAATAATACCTGAAATAAACATTCAAGCAGAAATAAAGAAAACACAAGTATCTTTCAATTTTTGCTGAATTTTCAAAACTTTTTTTTCTATATTCTTCTTCAAAGAAATGAAAATAATTTCAATTTTTTCAAATTTCTCAATTTTTTAAAATTCAGCCCAATTTAATAAATTTGAAAAGATAAATGAATTTAAAATCATGTTGAATAATACAGCAATTATAACTTGTTGAGAGAAATAAATTTAGCAATTTATAAAAAATATATATATTTTTTATAGAAATTTTATAGAAATGAATCGAAAAAATGAATTTTTCTTGATTTTTGATGAACTGAATCTACAAAAAAAAATTCAACTCACATTTCTTAAATTTGTTACCAAATCGGAATAATTCACATTAGTACTAAGCCGAGGCGTCTTTACTATTTCATTTTGCAAAGCCTGAAGAGCGTCACGCCGCTCGGTCCATTTTTTCGATTCTAACCATTCGTTAAATTGTTCAGGCAATTTTTCTATTATATCAGTCTATAAATATTTCAGATTTCGTGTGAATATTATTCGAAAATTATTCTTTATTTATTATTTATTTATTTTAACAAAATTATTTTAACAGAAAAATTATCAAAAATCGAACTGCAATAACAAAATTTTTTTTGAAAAGATCTCACTTCATTTAATAATGTCCAACCATCCATAATTTTCCACTGAAAAATGATTAAAACAATTTACGAACGAAATGGCAAAAAAATTTAATCCGCGAAATTTGTTTTCAACGAATTTCAACGAATAAAAGAAACAAAGAAATCGCTTAAACCATTTAATAATTCAAATCAAATAATTGGAAATCAAATAAAAAAATAATCGTGCAATCATTAAGAATTAAGAAGAAATAACAATCAGACCTAAGCATAATTAATAAATAAATTAAATAACTGCAAGCGTAAAAAGTGATTTAATAAATATAAAATAAATAATGTAATAAATGAAAATTAATTTGAAAAAACAAAAGTCGATAAGCATAAAAAACAAAAAATGATAAAAACAAATAGAAAATCGAATGAATTTCGCTCTAAAAACTTTTAAAAAACGAATAAAAATGAAATTTTCGGAAATTAAAAAATGAATAAACGATTAAAAGAAAATTTAATAAATAAATTTGTTAAAACAAATTTGTTTAATTTGTTAAAATAAAGTTTATTTTAACAAATTTTTAGAAGCAAAATAATGTGAGAAATGCGTTGATAAAAAAGCGAAATTTTCGAAGAAAACAAATGCAAATGCAAATGAAAATGGAAAAATTAATAAAAATCAAATAAGTTTAATGACCCAAAAACAATCAGATAACAGGCCAATAGATCGATAGCAAATCGAAATCACCACGAATTAACGAAATGCGACCAAACGGTATAAAAGGTGATTTTTAAAGAATTCAAGGCCATCGAAACGATTTACGGACCTACCGATGGGCAAAATTATCAATAAATATTATAACACTGAAATGGCGGAATTTTCTCAAATTTTCGCCGGTAGTGAATTTTACGGCCATGGTCGGAAATTCCACGTCCGGAGCCTTCATTTTTGTGGCACGGACCGAGTGGTAACGGTGCAAGTTAGCAAGCGTTTACCGTTCACATTTGTTGTCAGGGCCTTCCAGATTTCTAAATGATAAATTTACTCTTGTTGAGGATCGAGGAACCTTGCTTCTCAATAAAATGAATCATCATTATCCACTTGTCCATTCAGTCCCCACTACAATGGCTTTTTCTTAGTTCATTTTGAAAAGATCTCAAGACGTTTTGAAAAGTATGTATTTATTTATTTATTGATATACATAATGGCTTAGTGATAAGTTGATTACTATCGAGAATCAAGAGTAACCACTGCACCATGCTCCGTCGAGCGGCAGTTCGAATCAGGCCACTGCACCATGCTCCGTCGAGCGGCAGTTCGAATCCGGCCACTGCACCATGCTCCGTCGAGCGGCAGTTCGAATCCGGCCACTGCACCATGCTCCGTCGAGCGGCGGTGAAAAGCAATAGCAAAGCGGGATATTCTATCCGTGGATGGTTCAGTGGATTATTGCTCGATTCGGAGCGCCGTTAAACAATGATGTTGGCAAAAAATTTAGTTATATATGTCTATTCAAAAATTTTTCGCGTTATTTAAGTTTATAAAGAAATAAGCAAATCTTTATTCGGGTAAAGTATATAACGAATGATACGTTTCAGTATAATCCATCCACCTTTATAAACGCAATAATAGTGGTACTAAAAAGAAAAATGAACAAAAATTCAAAAGTTGTGCTAAAAAACAAGTAAATCCTGTTTATTTTTCATATGTTATGGTTCCATCAGGTGTTATTTCGTTTCGAACATGGTTCGCTGATCCTAACAGAAATAAATTATAAAATCCAAGTGAAGGTGGTACCACATCTATTCCGCTCGTAAATGGTTCTCCTCAAAAATTTCTGACCATTTCAACAATTTCAGTTTCTGTGGTGTGGTATCTTGGTTTATATAGTCCATTTAATTTGGTTCGCGAAGTTATTTTTGACAAAGTTGAAATATGTAATTTTATAATTTTAAAATTAGTGCTTCCATTTCAAATCCCACTAAAATCTTTTTTCCTTATTTCGAGTTCTGGCAATTATTCTTCTAATATTTTTTAAAATTTCTTATTAATAGTGTTAAGCCTTCCTTTTTAGAGGGTAACATATTCACCATAATCAAATTACGGTTAAACATCGATAAATGATTATCATTAACTTATGCGGTCTGCATTTAATGATGCCTAAATCGTTTATAAATATCTATTATCGATATGCAGAGAAATCAGTTTTTTCCCAATAAAGCTTAAATTTACACAAAATTTTTAATGAAATTTAAAAGCAATTATAAGATAAGCAATCTTTTTTCCATAAGATCATTTTCAATAATGGAATATGGCGTATATGATCGTTTCACAAAATAATAGATTCTGAAATGAATTATGCGGAATTTTATACGGAATTTTATCATCAATCATTAATTATCATTAATTAGCAAGTAAAATGCAAAAAATTTATATTTTTTCCATACCTAGGCCTGTGCCTATACTTCCACCCGCATGTGGTTGCGGTCTTTCGTTTTTATGGTGAATTCACGACGATTCCATAAAGGTTTCGTCAACCGGAAGAACGCATTTGTAGCTGCCGTGATCCGGATTGTAATATCATCTTTTGCCTGTTCATTTGGTATTAGAGTGGACCCAAGGTATTTGAAATCAGGCATTTCCTCAACTGGCAGTAAATTTACTAAAGGAGGCATTTTTATCAGCTTCTTGCACATAAGACGAAAAGGCTTTCGTTTTATTTACATTGATCTTGAGTCCGATTCTTGTAGTTTCTGACACGTTATTTATTATTTAGTATTACTTTCATTTCGTTATAACTGTCAGCAAAAAAGACTATATCATCAGCGTATTCAAGGCCTGTGCTACGATGCTCTGGACTAATTCGGACACCACTTGAATGCCGACAAGCAGATTAAAAAATGATTAAATGATTAAAAAATCATTCACAAACAAACAAACATCGTTGTAAAAATAATGTGCTGATGAGTCTGCATCACTGTCCCAGTAGCAAGAACCACTCATTCTAAAATAAAACCTGTGGATGAGAAATATTAGATTTCAAAATAAATAGGTAAACTGGCCAGCTTAGATTTGCCCAGAGAACTTGCATTATTGGATTTCATTTTTATGGCAGGAGAGTCAACTAATGTCTCGGTCAAGTGATTCAAAATGAAAGAAAAGCCATTGATAAAACGCTACTGATAAATGAATTTTGAAAACGACGACCTTAAACCTTGACCGCGTTGTTCCCCAAGTATCACTTGAATAATGTATTTGTAGTTGGGCAAATTTATTTCTGAAAATGAGAATATGAGAGGGTGCTTATATCTTATTTTCAATTTACTTTGGCTATAATTTATATTTGATTTTATAATTTATTTATACTAATATATACTTAATTTTTGTTTGCAATATGATAGTAAATATATTCAGTTTATATGTTTATAATAATTAATATATATTAAAATTAAATTAAACACTTTTAAACAACTTGGAATTTAAAAATCAGTTAACCTTTTAAGCGATCTCGAATTCTTTCTGCAATATTTTCTGATAAATTAACAGTTTCATTTTCATTAAAAACATGTCCTGCGAGCATCTCAGGAACCAATTCTTTAAGTAATGTAATTGCAGTTGATGAACGAAATCTTCGAAATTATCAAATTATAAGATGCAAATCAGAAATACGATCAAAATTTTAACAGAATTTCTTTCATAATATGAGGAAATTAATCAACCATACGAGCTTTCATCCTACCAAATAATTCAATTTAAATTTGCATTAAAATTTAAATTAATTGAAATTTGCAATAAATTATTATTAAAATTATTAAAGAAAAAATTTCCGAAATGCTATTCACGAATACTTTTCAAAAAAAGAACAATATCATTTGAATATAAATTAAATAACATTAGAGATTTTTTCTGGAACTATATCGTAAATCCACCACGAAAACATAATTTTGCAACATAATTATGTGATCATCTCTGATATCAACGTTGCAAGTATATTTAAATTTCTTGGCATAATATTAATTATATTAATTTATATTTATTATATTTTTTTCAGTGTAAATCGAAGTTGCACTTCTCTCTGAAATAACGTTATTGCTTATGACGCCTTAAATAGATTCACTTGAGCCTCGATTTCAACTCCATATAATATTCCACAAATACTTTATAAAAAATATGCACTCTCTCTGAGTCTTTCTCTATTTCTAATTTATAAGGATATTATAGAATCTGGTCTTAAGCACAAAATTTGGAAATTATCTCATATAATTTCCATTCATAAAAAAAGAAGCATCTGTGATCCTTCTAATTACGGGCTTATGAGCCTAGCATGCGTCGGTATCATAGTACTGGAAAGACTGATTTGCAACAAGTTGTTTAGTTATTATTTCGATATCAATAATTTAATATCCTCCTATCAGCATGGCTTTTGCTCGAAAAAATCCACTCCTTCATAAATATTGGCAAACGGTTCGAATGAAATCAAGGCATCTCTCAAGAACAGTTGTATCGGACCATTATCTTATTAAATATTAATGATATTATCTATTTTATTTAAACCTAAATGCAAAACTAAACTAAGGGCGCATGCCTTTTTTATTCGCACCATTAATTACTGGAATAAGCTGCCGAATAACGTTGTTTGTGCATCATCCTTAGCTATATTTAAAAAAAGATTAAATAATATCATCCACAACATTATTTGAAAGGTTCGTGGGTTATGTGGGTTTTTTGTGTGTCAGTATTATATTCAGTTCGACTTGAGTTATTTTGCAGTTTTCGTTTATTCGTTTGGGGATTTCTCTTTAATTATTGCCTCTTGGTCACATTCCTTTTGTATGATATCATTAATTTTTTTCATCTATTTGGTACCTTATTTTGTTGTTATTAATGCAAGAACATGGCGCTTGTCGCCTTGCTTGTTTGCTTCAAATAAAATTAATAAATAAATTGAACTAACTTATTTTGATTTGTAGGTCTAATAATGAAACCTTCAATATTTCGTTCCATTCTTTCCGTTCTAAAATTATAATTAATTATAATAAATGGATGGCCGAGTGGTTCTCAGATTATCGTTTCAGCTATCAAGATTCGCTGATTCGACGAGAATAAGTTATCTTTAGGAATTTGATGGGGATTCACTTCTATTCCTAAATGAATCCCTGGCAAAAGTGTTTACTTGCAAACTGGCAAAGTGGGCAACATAATCACAGTAAAATAAATATCAAAAAAACAAATTTTATAACTTTATAATTTTCTATATATGAAATGTAAATATACGAGCTTTAATTTTTTCAAAAAAGTTTCTATTTTCAAATTCAAATTTTGTTCAAAGTCTTGATTCTTGTCCAATCCTTCATACAAGTGTTAAATATCTTTTATTGCCATTTTTATCAGATTGAACAACCACTAGACTGATAGATTAAATTTCATGGACTAATTTGCAAATCATAAGACAATTTATTGGACCGAGACTAACAATATATATACTCATACCTTATCACACATAGATCTAAATTGCTGAAGTTATGATGAAATGCAAATAATGTTGAATTATGTGTCAACAACTGCAGTAAGAATTGGACTGAAAATCAATGTAAAATAAATAAAAACGAAAGTGTTTTCGTTTTGCGTACAAAAATACCTCTTTTTATAAATTCATTGCCTGTTGAGGAAGTGCACGACTTTAAATACCTTACCTTGGGACCATTCTAATCCCAAATGGCCAGGCAAAGGATGAAATTGTAACCCGGATAAAATTTATTTTTCCGGTGGACGAAAGTTTTATGGAATCGTCGTGAAATTAGCATAAAGGCGAAAAACCGCGTCCATATAACTGCAATTCGCTCGATCTTGGTATATGGCTGCGAAATATGGCCAATGAAGGATATTAAGAGGGACAATTGACCAATCTTGTCTAAGATACGTTTTACGGGTCTATCGAGTGGATAAAATACCACATAATGCATCTATCTTCGTTCAAATACCACTTGCATTAATAACGTTATCACAGAGCACCCCCTTCGATGGTTAGGGCACGTTCTCCGTCGTCCACCACAGAAGTTATCGCATATATTGCTACATGCTAAACTGTGCGATGGATGGCTTCAAAAACGAGGTGGGCCAATCAAGACCTGGACTGATACGGTCAGGAAATTTTGAACATATAGGAGAACGAAGATATACGTATTTAGACGATGAATGATTCCCATTACTGTCGATGGCATCAGACCGAGCAGCTTAAAGTCCTTGTAGCCAGCGGAACCAGCCTAACCAGTAATGGGAAGAAGAAAAAAAATCGCAAATAAAATATAAAAACCTCACTGATTTATTGTTAGTTTTCTATTGTTCATAAATATTGTAGGAAATTTTACCGCTTATTTGGCAAATTTACACTTTTCGCTTCAGGTCTGATGACTTCAGAACATTTGGTTTGTTTTATGCTATTTATTTCATCATTTAAAAAATTATTATCTAAAAAAGTAGAAATTTATGAAAAGAGAATATATATGAAAGGAATTCATGAAGTTGTCATAGAGACGAATAAACTGAAACAAATAATCGAGCGATGGAAGAACCACAGAGGATCACAATATTTATTTATGAAGCAGCTGTGCTCGTGTAGATATTAATAAAATAATATTGGAAAATTTAATTTTAATTACTCGATTTCTGTATATTTGATTTTTACTGGAAGCTGCCACGAAGTACAAATTTTTTAGCGTTATGTCCGAGTAAAGCCCTTATTCATTTTACTCAAAAAATTGCCCAATAAGCTAAAAATCTGAAAAAACGGAATTTTAAAAAATAAATAAAATTTAAATATAACATAAAATAATTCTTATGATTTGTGAACAATAATTAGATATAAATTTTTAAAAATTCAAAAAATTTTCATTATTTCAATGAAAAATTATTCATTCGAAATTTCTCCCATAAATTATTCATTAAAAGCGGTCGATCGCAATATGGAAGGGAGCAATGATGAAGAAAAATCGTTTGACGAGCAACTCTCGCATTTGGTTTCTTTTTTAATAGTTTATCGGTTTTCTACGTCCCATAGCCACAGTTCAGTCGACTAAGATCTTGTAAAAGGTACAAAAAATGTACAACAAATGAACTGTACAATAAAAAATTTATAGTCGGCTAAAACGTGCGAAGAATTATTTCCAAATTTTATCCCGTTGCCTTCCACTGGGTACGAGATATCTTTCTCGCTTTACTGCTGTGAATATGGGCTAATTGAAGGCAAATTTCGCAAAGCTGGTGGAATACACTTCCAGATGCAATTTGTTGATTTCATCATTGCACAATCGGAGGAGTCCACAAATAATTCGATGGTATTTACTTTTCAAGTGAACTTGTCGAGTGAATAATGGTTTAAATTATAAAGACAGATGGAAGCACACCTCTCATTCGAATAATGCTGGCATTCGAATAATTCTATTAATTCCTAGCAAATTTCTTACTAGCAAAGAACTTGTAACCGTACCAACTGAACAAACGCGCCTAAAAGAAATTATTTATGAGTGCCACTAACCACTTACTTTAGCTTATTTCTTTAAGTATTCTTAATCAAAAAATGACCATCAATTACTTAAAACACCTTTGAAATTAATTTTAATATAGAAATTGAATATTACTTGATTACTTAATTGACTGGTGATGCAGTTTCGTTTCGAAGTTTTCAGGACAAAAACTCGATTGTCCATTTCTTTGGAGAATCTACTGATTTGAATTTAGAATGGAGATATATTGTGCAAATGCGTTTTAGAGTGGCTTCTGATGTTGATAATCTGGAACAAGTTGTTGATGGGGATTTATTTGAATTTGGTAGGCATTGTCCTCCAATTCGCCTTCAGTTAACCGATCCACGAATTCGAAGAATTTGCATAGAATTGCGATTTGTGGAAAAGGTAGATTCAAAAATTTTCCTTAAATCATGATTTGATACTAACTATTTTGCAACAATAATTTTCTCATAGATGCATGATTTTTTGCCGAAGTTCGATGATGGTGACATTTTTCTTAAATTCAATGACGGCATATTGAAAGTCCATAAAGCTTTGCTCGCTCTTCACTCTAATTATATGGGTAATACCTCATGTTTTTTTTGTCTCTTCTAAATTATAATGGACCACTGATTTTTAACATTGAATATTCAATAAAATTTCATGGAATGCAATACAGCAATGACATTAATTAATGCAAAAAAAGATGATATCATCTATATGGATGAGGCTAATATGGAAGATTTCAAGGAAATGCTCTATCAGGTACTTCCACCAAAATTATAATTGTAAGAAGTGGCAAAAGTTATTACAATTTTTTTCTAAATCGATTTCATTAAAAAACGCTAATAACACATAATAATTATCTTCTTATGGAGGAAACAGGTTAAATATTCAGATATATCCCACAACTCGACCGATCAATGCCAATTTTGAGAAACTTTCAAAAGTCGCTGTTCAATATCAAGCTGAAGCTATAATAGAGAATCTTTCGTCATTTTTCATCGATAATAATAAAGTCAGTTTTTTTAACCAAAATTTCAATAAATCTCTAACTTACATTTTTAAATTTCTTGAATTTGTTTCTAAATCATAGATTTTTCTTCAGTGCAATACCCACCATTTTTCATTGGGCTCTACTCGCTAAAAGTCTCTAGCACCACCCGGATTTTTTATTGATAAATTTGCTCTTATAAGAGAGATTTATGGTTTTTGAAATATTATTTAAATAATAATGAGGTTTATATTATTTATTTTATTGACCTTATCTTTTCTGGATAAACAATAATTTTATCCTTATCTGACGAAGTCACCTTCAGTAATCTTATTTTGTTGAGAACTCTTTAGAATTGTAAAATTCTAGAAATTTATTGAACAAAAAATCGGTGATGCTGCCAGACTTAATCTTCAACCGGCAATTGAGCGATTGGTCTACGATGCTGAACAAGATGGACTTTGGGCAAAGATGATACATACTGGATTTAATCCTAAGCAAGAATATGGATCGCTTATATACGACGAGATAATCTTACCTACTGTCGCTAAGGCCAGCCTTTTATTTGAAAAGAACTTTATCTTTTATCTTTCGGTTATATCTATAGTTATTTCTATTAGTTGCATCTATATTAAATTGCCAAAAACATTATCAGAAATTTTTTCCACATTTTATCAAGTATTATTATCAAGCAGTTGAAATAAATTTATCGACTTGAGTTTCACTGAAAATTTCTCCAAAAGTTCTAAGCTGTTTCACTTATCATTTGTCATTTCTAATTTGGTTGGCTCCACTGAATACTGGCACGAATTAAGCCTTTTATGAAACCCATGAGGATAGAGTTACCAATAGTTCTTCAATATCACCAGGATTTTAGTTTTAATAATAGATTCCCAGTGGACAAGAAGCAAGTTCATAATATTTGGTCCTAAGCGAAGCAACGTCCTTCGGTCATCCTGATTATTTTTAAAAATTCTTGCACATAAAGTTCTTATCTATAAATCTATTAAAAAATTTTATTTTAGGCAAAATTAAACCCAATAGGTGTGCCATTAAAGACGAAAGTTTTTGAAAAAATAACTTTCCGAAGTAAAGCAGAATCAGAGGATCCATTCAATATACCGCTCTTCGTTCAAGGAATTCCATTTTTTGTTAATCGTGGAATTTTGGCAATAAACAATGACAAGCGATTTGGTCGTGGAAATAACGGTTAGCCGTATTAAAAAATGATTGATTACTTCATAATAGGTTAAAAATTCTACATTTTAGGAGAATTAATCGTACAAATAAATATTGACTTCGAAAATGAATGTATCAAAGCTGGAAAAACACCAGTTGACGTTGTTCATGTTCGTTTTAAATTTTCATTTATATTAAGTTGTTATAATAAAGATTATATGGGAGAATCGATCTGTTTTAGGCACTCTTATTACACATTTATCCGATGAAGGAACCAATACCCATTGATATTGTGCGCCCAATGTTAGCACTTTCTCACTACCACGATATGCATTATGTTATGCGGTCACTGGAACAAGTGATTTACAGATTTGTTAGTAGAGAAAAATTAAGATATTTTAATAAAGTGGTGTAATTGGCAGTACGTAGTTTGTTTGAAACAAAACATTGTTCCAATCGAATTGCCACGATTACTTGAAGAAGATCATATCATATAAATAGTAATATAATCAAGTGATGTAATCATTTCAGTATTTATTAAAAGAGCCGCCAGAATCGTCGGAACATTTTTTTGAGCATTTCGAACTTGCAGAAAAATACGATTTAGAAAATCTTCTATTACGAAGCCTTTATCGAATAGAAAAAAGGTTTTTTTCCAGTAGTAAGGAAATATAGTCCTGAATGGTACTGGTGACCCTTTATTAAATGATTCCCTAATCTAATAAACTATCAAAGGGAACCTAATTAGAAATAGTGACTGCAAAATCAAAAAAATTATAAAATATGCTTTAAAATTTATCTAATAAATAAAAAAAGTTTCAAATTAACTCTTTAATTAATTGATTTGAAAGCAAGAGAATAGCTGAGTGGACAACGATCAAGACTATGGTATTGGGAGGAAAATATTCGATTTCTCCTCCCCATGACCTACATTTCTATCGCCAAGTGATTTCTTGGCAAAGATTTCTAACCGTACTAATAGCTTAATAGCCTAATTACTTAATAATGGTAAGTTTTAACCACTTGTTTATCGTTTAATTAATCAAGCAAATAAGTTATTTATTCTTTTATTCTTTTTTTTGATTATTTTTTCAGTGAATTGAATTAATTGATGTAAATTATAAATTTATATAAATCATATAAATTTTAAGAAATTTAAGAAATTTGCAAGTCCTGCTGATGGAAAACTTATAATTTTAATAAGTGCAGATTGGGCAAACAAGGGCAATCATTAAAATCCGACTTTAACCTTCTGATATGAGCAAATCTATCATTAAAAAAAGCTCTCTTGCAGTGGGACCTCAATATAAGTGATAAAGTTATCCAAACCAGAAATTCTCAGCATTAGAGGAATAATTTTGATAAGATTTCAAGGAATAAATATGGTTAAAATATTTCAGTTGTAATTGTTTCGTTAAGAAAATGATCGAATTACCTTGCTACAAAAATTTGACGACTAAAACGAGAAATCGTATTTTAGATCGATTTTGTTCGAACTGGTCAGTTGGACGGTCAGTGCATTTCCTTATCATAGTACCATTATTCATATTTTGAATTTTTTCTACTCTTTTTTTAAAATATCGTTTATTTTCTTTTAATTTATTTTTCTTTAATTTTTAGTCTAAATCCATCACGATGCATAAATCAATTCATTCCGATAATATTGGATAAAGCAAATCAATCTTCAAGCGAAAATGACGAGAGTTTGGCTACATTAAGAGTAAAATTGCTTATAATTTTTCCTCACTATTCCTCACTAGTTAAATAGTCTAATAGCCTTATCATAAATCCACGGGAAATTTCCAGTAGGTTTTTTTAAAATTGAGAAATTTTCAGGAATTTAGTTCACATAGTGTATTTGGTGATCCTGACGACATCGCTAGTTCGCATTCTTTTTCGTGATTTACCTGTTTTTTTTAAGAATTCTGTTCTTTCATTAAGAAATCTACAAATGATGGGCAAATCAATTTAAAAGCTTCTAAAATTCCATGATATTCTACTTTAATTATATTAATAAGTTGGTGGTTAACGCTTACCTTTAGTGAGGGCTGTTTTATTGTAGAAGTATGCTACGTTTCCTTTAATTTTTTTTTGCCTGCATCGAATTTTGTTGTTATTATAAGCGCATTTGTCAACTGTTCAGCAATATAATCAAATAAAACAGGCCGGCGATAGCTTTTTAGAACCCTGAAGAAATTTTCATATGTAAATGCATATGTAAAAAATGTATGCGAAAAATGCAACAAATCTTAAATAAAAAATATAAAAAATATATTAATAATTAATATTTATTTTTCATTATTTAATTGTCAACTGAGTTACGTTCGGATAATAGTAAAGAGAAAAAAAGCAGGAAAAATGGCTGAATTTGCCATCAAGACATATAGTGGATTTAGACTAGCTCAAATACATTAATATCTCACAGTCACATGGCAAAACCATGATGAGTAGGCAATGAAGACTGCGTTATCTAAGTGTACGAAAGAATAAGACAAATCCTAAAGAGCCAGCTCCATGGGAAGAATCCATGCCATAAATATGTTCTGCCAGTCACCAGGTATGGAGCTGGCACAGTAAGATGGACAATGGAAGATATAGAGGCTGCTGAAGTAAAGATCAGGAAATTCCTCACAAAGCACGGAAATTTCTACAACTGTCAACTGCAAAGAAGGCAAGTGGGACTTGGTGAGTGTGAAAGCCAATATCTTGAATGAAACCCAAAGAATTCAGTAATTAGCAGTACATCAAACAATACATCAGTAAGATGGCACTAAAGGATAAACTGCTGATAGAATGTCTGAAACATTTGCAGATATCGAAAAAAGATTAAGCAGAAGAAAGCAAGGTCCTCTATGGATTGTACCACTGTGGGATTTCTCCATATAAATAGATAATGGCCAAACAACCAGACATCATGGCAGCATAAAAGAACCAGAAATCTGTATTGATATCGATACAGCAATGCCAAATAACAGGAATGTTAGGAAGAAGGAATATGAGAAGTTAGAGAAATACCAGAGGCTAAAAGAGGAACTAAAGAGGACATGGAAAGTGACGGCCAAAATAGTCCCAGTGATAATTGGATCACTTGGAACTGTGATCCTTAAACTAGAAAAATGTAGCTTCAGAAGATTTTAGAAATAATATCAAGGATCTCTAACCAGGATGGCGCATTGCTAAGAACAGCTAAGATGCTGCGCAGATCTCTCAATCTTTCAGGCCTCTGGTAGAGGATTCCAGATTGGGGATGGTCCTTATAACCCACAAGAAAGGAAGAGGACTTTTTTATGGATATAAAACAACTATTAACAATGATAAAAAATATGGAATTGTTTAAATTTGTCCAAGAAATATGCAAATTCTTGATTGGGTGATGGTCTTTTTTATAATTGATAATTTAATATATACTTAATAAATGTAAGTGATTAGTGTTGTGAAACTTTAATTTGCGATTAACAAACACTAATAATTCGAATTTTTGTTTATTAAAAATAATTTGATATTAGGCGAAATTCGTTACAGTTGAATTACGGTTGAATTTAAGAGATATTTGGAGCAACCTTGAATAGGCAAGTAGAAAATAAAATATAACAGCATTGAAACATTAAGCATTTTTACAACGGAACGGCGAAAAGAAAAGAAAAGCAAAGAAAAGAAGAAGCCCCAAAATTTTCTTCCAAATTAAATTTTTAATAAAAATGATCAAAATGGTACCAACAATGGATTGAAGCTGCATTATATATCGTGCATTTTATGAATCTCAAATAATAAAGGATATTTTCAGCGATTTTATGAAATTATGAATTTTATTATATACTTTTATGAAAAGCATCAATGATTGTAATGTTAATTTAATTTTAATTAAAATTACAAATTACAAATTAGGAATAAATTTTTGGTTCACAAAGAGATTTTGCAAAGAAATTTCTTCACCATAGATTTTATGCTAAAATATTTGTGTTCTATTTTACAATCGAATCACTACTGAACGCCATAATATAAATTTAGTTGCAATTTGATTTTAATTATTAGAAAAAGTGCTCGGATTCCAACGAACTGCCAGGATTCACATCATAAATCCAAAGTGCTAATTTTTATTTAAAATTCTCCTCTTAGTTTTCACAAATTCCTATAAAATTAATGGAAAATATTATCGATGCAAGTATCATTCACCACTTAGAGTTGACTTCATTGGCCGTTGGTATGAAAATAATTTTTCTTGGCAATGGATCACCAGCACCACCAGGATTTTTGAAGGATAGATTCGCCCTTATCCTGTAAGAGACAGGATCCAAATCCTGGCACTCCAAATGAATCTGACCAACTCGCCTCCACTTGGCTTATTCGCAATATCTTCATTGCTTCATTTAAACTTTATTTTGAGTCAAAAAAATTTTTATGTGCTTAAATACAGAATTTTCATCAAAATATTTTTTTCATTGCAACAAGCTTATGAATTTTCTTTTTATAATTTTCTTTTTCAAATTTTATTTTTTTTCATCTGAAAAATTTCATTTTTCTTTTTATTTTATGTGAAATATTCAAAAAAATGATCGAGGTCGTTCTTAAAATGATAAGAACTTTTGTAAAGCATATTCCTTTACATATTCTTCTTCATACCTATTTTTGTTGAAATCCTCTACAAACCTACCATTCAAAAACTGAGGGGCGCTGGTGATCCGTTTGTAGCATTCTCATCTTCTTAATATTTCCACTGACACTCACCTAACCAGAAATGCTGGAAATATTTAGATACCATTTAATGTTAAAGGGTTAAATTTAAAACTGAATGAAATTTATTTGTTTTGTTCTTATTGCCATAAAAAAATATTATTTCTTAATTCTTATCACAAATGATTAAATTCCATATAAATTCCATATAATCCATATTTGCAATGTAATTCGCTGTTATTATTTGATAATTCATTCGACTGTACGGCTGTCTTAGTTTCGACTGTACGGCTGTCTTCTTGATTTGATATGTTTTTGCATTCGTTCGATGTAATAATCTGCATAACCATAATGAAATGCAAATGGAATAATTAAAATTACTATGATAATAAGCATTAGAAGTACTAAACCCATTTGCATTGAAACCGGACGATAAATTTTGAAACGACCGCTTTTAATTTAAAAATTTATTGCTTTAATTTTTAATAAATTTAGCATTTTAAAATGTAAGTTCTATGCAAAATGAAAATTTTCTCGAGAAATAGAATGTTCGAAGAAAAATTAGTCGCCAGCATCACCCGGTTTTTTGTACAGGTTTACTCCTGCTGAGAATCGAACCTCAGCACCGACGCTCCCAATTGAGCAACAACCCACTGAGCCATGAAATTCAAGAAATTCAAGAGCCAAGAAAAATCGTTGCAGTATTTCGTGATTGTCGGTACATTGTGGATAGAATGGCTGAAATGATAAGTTGTTTCAACCAACAGGGGTTTCGACCATGTTCGTTGAAAGCAGCGCATTTTATCATTAAAGGAGCACAAATTTTCTTTGCTGCAAGTTTAAAGCATTATCAGTGTCGGTTGTTTCTGCTAATTGTAGTGGATAAAGTAAGAAAACTACCCCTTTACTTAACCAATTTGAAAAAATAATGCAGCAAATCCTGTAAAGTCCAGGACTAATCCAGAACCCTTCTTTCCAGTCCGTTAGAATTTATGTAATAGCTAAGTGCCTGAAAGTGCCCGAACTTGATAAGGGACCTTCTTGCAAATGTGAACGCTATAGTTAAGTTATGTAGCACGGTAATGTTCAACGGAAGAGGATAATCATACTTATTAAAGCATTTTATCATCAGCAGAAGTGAGAAGGAACTTTAAAGTCTTTGGAGGTACGAAAAATCGACGTGTGTCAAGATTATGTCCTTTATCCCACAATTTTCACCTACTCGATAGAATGGATTATCGATATCGCTTACCAGCATTCAGTCCAGCGTCTGCAAATCAGTCCACAGCACCACTTTGAATATTTTACTGACATTCACAGAGAATTGCAACAAATATTCGATCAAATGTCAATAGCAGGCAAAAATCGGCCATGAAATCAATATATAATACACTTAAAAGATCTCAGTTTTCATAAATTCATCATCGGTTAAATCAATGGGAATAGAATAGCTCAGTGGGTTATTGATCGATTCGGAGGGCCGCTGCTGAGGTTCGATTCCCCGCAGTATACTGGCGACTGATACTGGCGACTCATTTATACTTCTATCGCCAAGATTCCCTGGAGTGTGATAAGCCAGTGGAGCGAGTTTAATCAGTAATGAGGACTCTTAAAAAAAGCAGCAGGAAAAATCGGCCATGAAATCAATTTATAAGACAGTTTAGAGATCTCAATTTTGATAATTCATCGTCAATTAAATCAATGTCAGATTTTCAAAACCTCAGATCCACTGTTATGCCTATAGGTCAGATGAAAAATGTAATTCTAGCTCGAATAACTGCTCTCTTCCATATGACGAAGCCTCTTTGGAATCGGAACGAAATTTCCTATCTGCTTAGCTGTTGCTTTACTCACGACTTTATGCAACGAAATATTTACAGTAGGATGAAAAGACATCAGGAAGCTTCCTTCCTTAGATCATGCTCGCCTAGTACATCATACTGATGTCATGCTGATAAAATCGCTCGTGAATGCATCAACCTTCGTTCTAGTACCACATGCACCGATGTTAGAAGCATTGCCTACGCTAGTTAAAGCCTATTCTTCTTTGGAATTAGCGCATATCATATCTTGCTAAACATTGTGACGAAACATTGTGAAATAGTGGAGCAAGGAAGATTAAGAAAAAGAAGATCTGGACCAATATGGTCGGAAGTTTTCAATGTGCCCTAGTGATAAATGCGTCTAGACGCTGTAAAAAGTGGCGCCTATCATTTACCTTATTCCAGCGGAGACATCCTAGTTCAATCTATTGGCTTTTCGTGGTTGTACTCAGTGAAGAAGAATTGTCTTGGGTCGCATAAAAATTCTGTTTTATAGGCAAATGCAAAAGTGAAAAAAACTTAAAAAAACTTCGTTTTTTATTTCTTATAATTTTATTCTAAAATTAAAAGAGGGAAAAAATGCAGTTCACTTGACAGAAGCTGGCATCGCAAATGTACCAGTGGTATATCTGACAAATGAAATTAAGTGTGGTTTCATGGAAAAATTTGCAAGTTCTGCCAGTCACACATCTTTGTTTTACTCTTCGTATATTAGAAAATCCTAGAAAATAGTCAAATATAGGTGCGGAGGATTATGAATAATAATGCTTGATCGGGAATAAAGCGGAATTTTTCGCTCGAAGATAGGATTCGCTATTTTGAAGTTGAATATCTGGCGGAATCCTATGGATTCCATTTGAAAATTCACTGGCAATTGTTACGTCGACTGAATATAAAGTCAGCAATATACTTAAAGGCTAATACTGAAATCTTGAAATTTTCTGAAATTGCTATACATCAACGGAAATTCGGTCAATGTTTAACCATCGTATTTGTCTTAGCTTGAACTTCAATAATTTAAGCTTTATTTCGAAAGTATGAAATATCGATGCATTGATAGGTTGGTTTTCGGCTTGGTGGCGCATCTTAAATTAGCGGTCTGCTCGGCTAAATGCTGAATCTGTGAGCCATTCTTCATCTGCAAAGTCTGTCCTTTTGAAATATCAAATGATATACCAGAGTTTCCTGACCATTCTACGCATGTATTTAATACGGATGTATAATTAGTAATATCATATTTTAAATAGAACATCTGCGCGCAATTGTTAAGCGAACGAACAATTGTCATAGCATTTCATGTCGAAGAAAACGGTCTATTTGTTTAAAAATGGCAACATTATAGCCTTTAAAAATTATAGATCATTGATAAAGAGACATATGTATTGATAATTTTTCGTTTTTCTTTTAATATATTTTAAATATCCGCTCTAAAGGACAACTGACAATTAGTAATAGAAATTTTTGGTTTTGACTTAACGCTTGGTTTTATTCGGAGTTTTGCGAGCTTCTTCTTTTTTTGATTTTAGGGGTGTTTTGACCTTTTGACCTTTCGACATTTCGGCGTCACCCATCGTTTTCCAATAAATTTGAAATATTTGAAAGTCCGCAATGGATTATCTTTAAAAAGAAAAATTAATATAAATATTGTAAATTCGTGGAATGTGAATTAAATTAAATGTGAATTGAATAAAGTAAACCGTCGGATAAGGAATTTGGGTTTTTAAAATCCTCTAATTGTTTTTTGAAATGCTTCCTTTTTATTGCATTTTTCATGCATTTTATGAGAACTTTTCTTTAATTTTTTCTTTCGATTATTTAAAATATAATTCTTCGCGAATTTTTTCTTTCGATTATTTAGAATATAATTCTTCGCGAATTTTTAATTAATAGCTTTAATCAGTTAACTTTTTACGCAATTTTCGATATTTCGTTCGCATGTTTCGATTATCTCATTTTTCGTAAGGAACCATTGGACTGGAAATCTATTTCATAGAGTGAAAGGCAAAGGCAATCGCGGACATAAGGCTGCATTTTATCACTAATTCTGTTCCTTCGTGTTTTTAGCAGTCGTATGATAAAGAGAAATTTCGGTATTGCTGCGGGTTTCATAAGCGAAAAGCACCGAACCTCTTTGTTTCGTTGTTCGTCGTATTTTCTTTAAAAGGCATCGCTCCATTTGCTGTTTGTTCACTGAGTCGCATGGGGATGGAAACGCAAACAAATGTAGATGTCTCCCTTTCCATTCGATTTCCATGCTGAATCACAGTGGAAACTACGATATTCGAGACAGTTATCTATGCAGTAGCCACTCCATCTGCTATTAAAAATCTATTTTTTAGGTTTTTATTTAAAGAGGAAAACAATGGAATTTGATGAGCAGAAAGTTGATGTTAGTGTAAGTTTTTCTCAAAATAATTAATTTTATTGTATACTTTTTAGAAATATTTTGATTATAAATTTGTTATATTAATAAATTTGAAATAAAATAATAGAAATAAAAATATTTCGATTATTCAATACTTAAATTAAATATTTAAATAATTTTAATAATATATGTTCAATTATATGTTTCAATAATTCATGATTTTTATATAGAGATTTAAGTATATTAATACAGCAGAATATATTAATAATTTTATTCAAATGTTATTTTAAAAATTTTTAGCTTTTAGTTTTATTTGAATATAATTAAATAATGATTTTAAATAATTTAAAATCAGGAAAACATTTCTATTAGCGTCTTTTTTTTTTTGATTTCGATTTAATATGATTTAATTTTATTTAACTTATTTGACCTGTTTGATATTGTTTGTTTGCTCTCCATCTTTTTTTTAAAGAGCCCTCATCATTACTGGTTAGATTCGTTCTACTGGATAAGCGTGCAGTCGTCAGTCAGTCGTCAGCTGGATTTTTGGATAGATTTACTCCTGCCGCGAATAGAACTTCAGCATCGGCGCTCCATCGTGTTGAATAACAGTCCATTGAGCCATTCTACTCTTCAAGGATTTACCTTCTTCTCAAAGCTTTCACCATTACTGGTTAGGCTGGCTCCACTGGCTGCAACGGTAAGACGTTTCAATGCTGCGCGATCTGATGCCATCGTCGACAGTAATAGAAGCCATTCTTTTTTCCATCGTTTAAGTCCACATATTGCTGGTCCACCCGTACGTTCAAAATCTTTTCTGACCATATCAGCCCAGATTCAATTGGCCCACCTTGCTTTTGACGCCAATCATCACACGGCTTAGCAAGCAATGAAATATGTGTGTCAACTCTTGTGATGTCGTGGAAGAATTGCCCTAACCATCGAAGGTGACGCTCTGTATGGCACCATTAATGCAAGTGGTATATGAATGAAGATGGATGCGATCATGTGGGATTTTATCCACTTGACGGACCCGTTAAATGTAACTTAGACATGAATGGTCATGGGCAGATAACTTCTTAAGATCCTTCACTCTCATTGGCCATGTAAGCATGATTGAACGAATCGCGGCTATATAGATAATCGCGCTAAGGATTTACCAAGAAGATATTATCTCCATCTCATTTATTTATTCACAAATAATAATCAAGCGCTAAGTGCTATGCGCAGAAAAAATATTGAATAATAAAAAAGAAAATATTTTTTGATAATATAATGAAGGTATTTTTTAATTACTTTTTTTGAATATAGTTTATTTGATTGATAATGGTTCATTTCAAAAAATTTCTTATGCTTCTCTATTTATAGATATATTTTATTATATTTTATTTTATATTTTATTAAAATTATCTAACATTATTCTTGCATTAATTTTTTAATTTTGTTTTTAGGACTTTTTGTTCAAAGCACTAAGAAAAATTCGTTTTTGTGATGATTTCATCAGTGATTTGTGCAATAGTCCACCACCTTCTTGGCTTGCAGTTTCATCGAAATACGGAATAGTGGTTACTGCAAAAACAAACCAATGCCTTGTATCAATGCGTTCAACTGATATTCATTGTTGTCAAGCAACCACTAGTAATATTCATGTTGAAGTAAATGATCTCCAATGCAAGCAAACTCATTTACCTGTTAATTCGGTATTTATTCAATGTTTAATGTTGAATTTTTTAAATATTGTTTAAATGCTTTTACACTAGTTTCAGTTATTTCAGTTATTTTATAAATTCTATTTTTTTGTTAACCTTTTTACGCTTTTCAGAATTTTGAATAAGAATGTTTATTTCTTGTTGCATTATTTCATAAATAATTAGATTAGTTAAACAGGCCATTCAGAAAACAAGATACGAGAAAATTTTTTGTAATAAACTTGATAATATGATTAATGCGAATGTATTTATTGTGGTTAGTTGTCATTCAAGTTTTATGATATTTAATGATCGTAATTTTGATCCTCATCCTCATATACAGTTTCTTAGAACAATATAATGATAATGATAGTCTATTTGTAGAATGATCGTCTTGTATCCCTAAGCTGCGACAGTTCAGAGCGTTATTTATCAGCATTTGTTAATACTAGTAGAGGATGTTTTGTTTATATCTATGATATTTGTGCCCTTTCTGTGGATCATCCACATAAGGTTATATCTTAAATCTTTCTGTTTTATTTTTAGTATTTTTTCGAAGAGAAAGAATTTAAGGCAGATGTATTTTGTACTATTCGGTTATCAACAGCGATTACCACATTAGGCTTGTCATTGAAATGGACTACGGCTGCCGAACCAGTATTCGCTGTTTCTTTGCTTGATGGAACATTATCCGTCATATCTATTGATCGACAGGTTCTTTATAAATAAATTAATTTGTTCAATATATATTATAATCTTATGTTCAGCTAATATATCTTAATGTATCCTATTGAATAGTTTTATTCTTTTATTGTCTTAACTTTTATTTATCTATTTTTTTAATTCTTATATTTACAATAATAACTGTTAATTATTTTAATTTTATGATCTCTTAATTTGAATGGAAAATAGATTTTTTCCCAAATTTCCTCTGGATTAAAAGATGAGAATCCGAAAAATGTAAAGATTTTGATTTTCAGGTTTTAAATAAATTCACTATCATTGCAACTGTTCAATTAAATTGTAATGCTATTTGCATTAGTTGGAGTCCTAAGGGGCAACAACTGGTTATCGGTGATACAGGTGGAAATATTAAGCAGTATAAACCCGATTTGGTAATTGTAAGAACCATACCTTTACCTAATGATCAGTATTCTGTCAAAAGTGTGTTTATTTTATTTTTTAATTAAAATAGCAATTTTCAATTTTCTAGCCATAAATAAATTGTTTCGACAGAAATAATTTCACTTAATGAATTATTTTGAATATGGTTTAAAGACTTCAGTTCTGAATTCCGAAAGTGATTAAGGACTATATATATGAATATTATCAAAAATTGTGACCATTATTATTGAATTTCTATTGAAGTGGAATACTTAAGGAGATTTATCGCAATGTGTTGGCATTTGCTGGTTAACAACAACAGATTTTTTGGTTGCGTATTCAACAAAACGCTATATGGAAGTTTTCGTTTCATTAATTTGCGCTAAAAAAGGGGTACCAATAAAATATACGCATTTTGATGATATCATATTTTGTGGAAATGAGAGTCCTTTTCAACAACAAATTACCTTTCTTTATCTCATTCAGTGGAAGATGGTTTTGGTTGCTTCCTCGAGATCATCCGAGGTCTTTTTTTCTTAAATTATTTTATTTAAATATTCCCATTTCGTAGATTAAATTTCTGAATTGTTCGGTTAAAATTGCGATTATACTGGGGAATTGGACTATCACAATTGCTTTAAAAAATTTTTCAGATTGCAGTGATTGGTAAACGCAATGACAAATGGAAGGTCTGGGTAATGGATGATAATGAAAGAATAGAACTACCTGTTAATAAAGAATATAAAGAGTCTTTCCCACTTGGATTAGCTATTGACTATTCATCAATAATATCCGTCAAATTAGGTCTTTTTTAAATATTTCTCTTTTTTAAAAGTTTAGAAATTAAAATTTTTTGCTGTTATATTATATTTACTGGATTTTTTAAATTTGTTAATTCGTGTAATTTTATTGCAGATGAAGCAAATGAAAGATTGCCATGTCCTATTGTGATATTGCTTTCTTCTAATGGTTTGTTGTTACCATTTAATGCTGTCAATTTCGATGAATCTCGCGAAAATCTAAATAAGTAGTTTTTATATTTTTAATGCTATTAAATTTTAATATCTTATAGTTACTCTCTTTTTCTAATGAGTTTTCTAATGAGTTTTTCAGGCCTTCAGAAATTTTGCCATCTTTAATATATATGTCTTCAACGAAAGAATCAACTCAAGAAAATTCAACTTATAATAAAACCTCTGCAAGTTCATTTTCATTCACATTTCCTGAATCTGTTGTGAATTCGACTCCTTCACAGCAAAAATCACCAGCAAATGTTAAAGTTGCTGTTATATCAACAACGCTTAAATCACCATTAAATATCCAAGAAGCTTCGACAACAAGTGAAGTGCCTTTTAGTTTTTCATTTCCAGCTGCTCCAGAAACGAATGTCATTCAGGTATTTCACTTGTTTCATTTTCATTTACTCAAAAGTTCTGTCCGAGGAATTCATCGAATTTCTTTCAGACGGATATGCCAATGAAAACTAAAAAAAGTTTAATTACTCAAAATATTTCCGCAGCTGTGGATCAGAATCTTGGATCAGAATCAAAAAGACAACAGAATATTATATCTAAAACTGTAATTCAATGCCCATCAGAAGAAGAGACCATTACTCGGCAGAAGCGTCAAATATTTTACAATAAAGTTGCATGTCTTACAGAACTTTTGAGCAAAATACGTGATAATAATGAATGGATTGCAGATCTGAAATACAGTATAAAAAAAAATCTGCCAGTCAATTCATGTGGACCTGGCTCACCTGGTATTTTTCAAGAATTTCCAGTTTTTTCTCATTTTTCTTTTTTTAATCAATATCAGTTTAAGGTGATATTGCAACTTATTTTCTATTTTCATTTTCACAAATATTTTCACAAATTATTTTAAAATGATTATTTTTATCACCTCCTTACTTGCCTTTTGTGGTTTTTTTTTTACTGACAATTCCTTTGGATTTAGAATGGATTGAAGAAATAAAAGAAAATTTTGGTGAAGTTCAAGAAATTGCTTATGATGTTCAAAATTGGATTAATTGTTTAGAAATCGATATTAAAGATTGCATGATATTGCTAAAGGAACGAGTGAATTCTAGAAATCTTGAAGATAAATTGGATATTGATTCCACATCTAATCATGTTCTGAGCTTTAACAAAGTAAATTCTTTTTATTTTTTTTGTATTTCATTATTTTATCTGTTATTTATGGTTTCCGCAATGATTCGAAAATTTTTTAAATCTCTGGGCTGTTTTTTTGGTAATTTTGGGAAATTTTGTTTCTTGGGCGATCGTTTAATGTTGCGCTATTTTCCTACGCTATTTCTACAACTTTCAAAGTCCCATATAGTTAATTATATATTAATTTTATTTGATTTTTCTAATTTTTTTTCAATTTTTCTTTTTTAATCTTGTCTTCGACAGTAGTAAACTTATTATGTCAAAATCAAATCCAGATAGATGCTGGAGACCCATCTGTAAGTGACTCTGTGGTGAAAGGATCAGATGTTCTTGACATGGCTTTTGCGTCTTTTGATGCGTATAAGTCTACAGTCCAAAGATTTTTAAATAAAATGTGCTCGTAAGCTAAGACAATTACTCTATCAAGACGAACGACTCTCTGCGCGCGCGGTTAGGTTTTAGCTGTATCAGAGTGAAACATTAGAACGCTTGTGGGTATTGCAAGCCAACCGATTAATGTCCACAGTCTTTCTAAATATCGTGCGGTTAGCGTCTGCTTGTCCAGGTTGCAGGTCCAGTCTATCTTCCCCACTTCGAATAATTATTAATCCTAACTTGAAGCAAAGGTACGGGCTATATCACTGTGGCGCTTCGGTTAACTCGAAGCGAAATGGGATAGTGATTGTCATATTTGAAAAGACCCATTCCGCTTTAGTTGAGTGGAAACCGATAAGCGAGCATATGGCTTATATCCGCTTTAAAAGTGACTTCTTAATATCTGGGTCATCAGTGCCTATGCTCTAACTTTGTTGGCAAATGATCATGATAAATATAAGCTTTATGAACTTCGGCTGCGAACAGATTTTCTAATATGATGCATAATATGGTCATAATCGAGAGACTGGCAGAGATATTGCGCGCATGGATCATGATACTGCAGCGATGAACTCGGCAATTGGCTAATATCGAGGTCCGGTACGCCAATGACATCTAATCACATGGAAGTCCCTGGATAACTAATACTTCAATCGAATTATATCTTATTCTTCCCATTTGGAAGAGTTCCGTGCTAGATAGTCGCTCCTGTCGCGGTGCTGAAATAGGCATTTTTCATGGATCAGATTATATTATGGTTCGAACCAAGATTCGCATAAAACTAACAACTAACAACTCACAAGAAACATTCCACAAGATCTTTCAACTATCTCAGACTAAAAGATTCTGAAACAATAATTAATTGCATAATAATTGCAAAATTATTGAAGCACCATAAATATTAATGACTTTTCTGGAACGAATATTGGTCAAAACTAAAGAAATACCGTAAAACAGCCATTTTCACAGTTAGATATGCTAATAGGAAATACGCTAGTTGAGTATCGGAAGCAATTGTTTAGCTGTTTGAAAATGCTGCCAAACACGAATGAATGTCAGGAGATCTTGATTATTCGATGCTTCGAAGAATTACAACTGTAGCACGGCAAGTAGACAGAATTGTTGTGACTTTTTCGTTTAGACTGAACGGGGTTTGTAAGGCTGTCACACCACAACAATATAATAATTTTTTATTTTTATTGAATATAGGGACAATGGTTTAGGTAAAACGTGAGTTTAAAAAAAAACTATTTATATTGCAAAGAAAAGAAAAAAAAACCCACTCCCACACAGGGCTCAAAAAGAAGAAGAAAAGAAAAAAAAAAGAAGTGACCTTTGATTTTTATAAACAATGATTCATAGTTTCGAGAAAATTCTCGACATTCTCGACATTGTTGTGACCTTTTTATTTTTATAAGCAATGATTCATAGTTTCGAGAAAATTCTTGACAAGAATAGCTATTGGAGCGATATGCCCTTGAGAATGGTGTTGACGATTCGGTTAGGTAATAATAAGAAACTATTTCACCTTCTTCACGAAACAACTATAAATCGTAAAAGGGTCAGTGAAATACGGGATATTTATGGGATGTCTGTTAAGGCTATTAAGGATCGCCTTATAAGATGGAAGGAATTCTTTGAGGCCAAATATAACCACGATGCGCCATCTATTGCCCCGAAAATAGCTGATTCGCTTGTCGAACCATACGTTTGCAACTGCGAACCACTAACAGAAGAGGAAGTCATCCAGAAGCATAAGACCAATAAAACTCTCGGAGAAGGTAGTTTCCGGACTGTACTCTTTAAATGATGCTGTCCGTCGTCCTTCATATCGCATTTTCAACAAATATACTCTCCGGTATGAAAAAATGAAATGATAGCAGAAAACTGGTACAAAGCAAAGCAATTTTCCAATTCCTAAGAAGGGTTACACGACATACTATTACAATTATCGAGATATCAGCCTACTATACGGGAATTATTTCCTTTCTACTGAATAAACTTATGGTAATAGGAGACATCAGGATACGCCCTTTTTATACATTTAAGAGAATGTATATTAGATTCATGTCAACAGATTGTTTAATTTATTTTCTTCATAATTCATGCTAGATTCATGTCAACAGATTGTTTAATTTATTTTCTTCATAAAAAAAATTTCCTTTTAAGTGGTATGGGTTATCGTATCGTCAACCTTGGATCAACATCAACTCTATTAGAGGGAGATTGTGCTTCTAGCACTGCGATCTTCTGGACAGGAATCTTTGGTTTTATTACTGGAATCTGCTGGGTCTTTTATAAGTTAAGGATGGTAGCTTCAAGTGCTCTTATTCTTTTTTTTCTCACATCATTACTGATTAGACTGGCTCCGCTGGCTACAAGGACATCTTCGAGCTATTCTGATGCTATCGCTTCATTTTTTTTTACATCATCTAAGTCCATATATCGCTGGTTCAAAATCCTTCCTGACTGTATCATTGTCGATCTTGATTCGACCTTGCTTTTGACACCATTCGTCATAAGATTTGCATGTAACGAAATACGTGACAACTCCTCTGGTGAGCGACGAAGAACGTGCACTAACCAGCGAAGACGGCGTTCTGTGATGGTTATGTTAATACAAGTGGTATTTGAGCGAGAGTGAATGCAATTATGTGCGATTTTATTTTATCAAAAGACCCATAAGTGATCTTAGACATGAGTGGTGAAAGGCAGATTGCTTTTAATATCCTCCACTATCAGTGGCTAAGTCTCGCAGCCATATACGATCTGATGCAACATCGAGCGAACTTCGATTACATAGACGCAGGCATTCGTTTTTACAATCTTTTCACGACAAGTCCATTTCATCAATCGGAAAAAACCGTTTCTAGCTTCCATTACTTAGGTTTTAATTTCGTCTTTTGCTTTGCCATTTAGAAGTGGGGTGGATCCGGGATATTTGAAATCTAGCAGTTTCTTGGCAAAGAATTGATCAAATATAGGTATTTTATCAACTTATTGAAAATGAGACGAAAAGACTTTCGTTTTATTTACATTGGTCTTAAGTCCAATTCTCGCTGCAGTTGCTGGTACTTATTTAGTATTATTTGCATTTGTCAGCATAAAGGACTATATCATCAGCATATTCAAGATCTGTGACATTATACTCTGGACTGATTTGTATCTTCTTGAATGCCAACGAGCCGACGAGCGGTATCCATTACCAAGTCCATCGCATGGTTGAATATTGTAGGGGATAGAACGCAGGCTTGATAGACATCAGTTTTTATTTCAAAATTTCTATCATTTTACCCATATACACAGACCTGTGCTAATGTACACTGATAAAACGCCTTTGTGAGGGGAATGATCTCTGGAAAACCGTCACTTTCCATTACCCTCGAATCGAAGATTAAATCGAAGATAAATACAAAGTCGACTGCGTGAGTTGTGAGTGAGTGGGTTGCAAATATTTGAAGCGAAGTTCCAACATTCCAACACCCTTATTAGCTTGAATATCTTGTCGGCACAAGTGTATCTCTGAATTTAGCTTGGTTAGGGAGGATCCTGCTGTCTCGTACTACCATAAGTCTATTGAATAAAAGGGAAGCAAAAATTTTCACTGACTGAGACTGACTTTCACTGACTTTCCTCGATATCTTGTCATATTTCTTTAGAATTTGAGGCATAATTGCATTGCTGTTATCAATCATCTACTGGTATTTCTTTCTTCCATACCAGAGACTGCATTTGTCGAAGATGTGATATGAAAGAAGATGGACAACATTTGAAAAGTTGAGCGGAGAGGTCCTTAACGGAGATTATTATTTTTTCTTTTGTAGGGCTTTAACGCTTAAGCTTTGGCTTAGAAAATTATGTGACTGGAAGTTATATATTTTTCCACGTCATAAGTAACAAAAAGTCTTCGGCCAATCTCCATTCTCTCATTGAACTCCGATGCCATATTTGCCAGTTATCGAGTTCATCGTGGTGGCATAACGACTTGAACGCATTCCTGTTTCCTCCATGTCACCTGTCGATAGAGATGTTGTTAATAGCTGAAATTCCGCATAAAACTTATCTCCTTATCGTGGTCATCTGTGCATAAAATTAGAACATATACACTGATGATCGAAATATTGCAGAATTCTCCTTTGAACCGCGCATAGGCCATACGATCGTTTACTAGCTTCAGTTAGAGCGAACTGAGCTTTTTTAGATATGACAATCGCTATGCCATTTCGCCTTAAATTAATAATATACACTTCAATGATATAGCGGAAGCAGATTAACAATACAAATAAAAAGGGCCACACGATATTTAGAAATAGTGTGGACTGCTGGCTTGCAACTTCCATAAGCGTTTCTGATGTCTTAAGCTGCTATGGCTAATACCTTGACCTGAGAGCCTTTCCCCTTGTCATGTTTCGAGCGATTACCCTGGTTTGCGAGCACGTTTCATTTACCTTGGGATCATTTTACGCCCTTGTTGTATCAGATCGCCCAGCTTCGCAGCGTCTTACCCTTGCAGTATAACCAGTCTAACCAGTAATGGTGAGAACTTTTAGAAGAAAAAGAATTTCTGATGATTGTAATAATTTACAGTCTTTTGATAAAAATGGGATTAAAATTTCATTTCAAACTTTTAATGTTATGTTATGTAGAACAAAATTCTCCTTTAGGTTATTTTAATCTAATGAAAAATTAAATTGAAATCAGTGGGGAAATTAATATTATATATATAATATTAATTTTATATATATTATATATATATATATATATATATATATATATATATATATATATATATATATACATATATAAACGATGAAGAAAGTCCTAACTTAGTATTTTATATATATATATATATATATATACGTAAAAACGATATAAAATACTAAGTTAGGACTTTCTTCATCGTTTTTCCTCAAAGAACTTAATTCATTAGGAACTGCAATTTTACCTTTTCCAGAATATCCTTATACATATGTATGTTGTGTTGATAAATAATGGTGCATTGTTGTATATTTCATCTAAATTTTAGTCTTATCAGCTGAATAAAATTGAAGAAAAGTTTCGAGAAATTAAACAGATGATGCAAAAAATTGATAATTCACTCGCTATTGGGCAGTCGACATGTTTTCGTTCTTTGCCTAGCTTCAGGTTTCCATCGTATTTAAATTTATTTTAAATTTAGAGAAAAATTTCTGCATTTCTTTTGAATATTGCATAGCAGCCATCACTTATTGATGATGTGATAGAGTCTTGTGAAATAATACAGAAATGAAAGTAGAATAAAATTGAAAATAGATTGATTTTTTTTAGGAGTCTAGATTCTTAATATGGAGTAGCAGCTTAAAAAACCTAAAAATCTATGAAGATTTAAATATTTTTATTGAGGTGCTCTGTAATTGTTGTCCATTGACTGAAAAATTAAGTGGTATAATTGATATATGGTTTATTTTTACTTTCTGAGTTTTTCTTACCATTTCTTCGGTTGTGCAACTCAGTTATTGTAGTAACTTTATTTTTATTTTATGTAATGATAAATTATTTTTAGGAAGTCGCCTTTTTTAAACGTTGATGAAGAGGAAAAAATAGTTCAGACAGCCCGAAACATTTGTAAAGGTATCATAAACAATCGTAAAGAACTTACGAAATTGCAGCAAGATGTTATTGATTTAGAAGCGCGTTTTGTATACTTGAGGTATTTAAATTTTCACTTTGCAATTAAATAGCGTAATAGTTGATGCTAAATTATATCGGCCTAATCACTGAGGGATGTTTTTTCATCTGGAATTTTGTCAATCGAAAAAATTGCCATCATATTTATCAGATCAAGCAAAAAATGGCTTCGTTAAGTTTAATATAATTTTTTATAGCATTAGCATTTCTTGTTAGGATCAGTAAATGAAATTTATAATTCAGGCCTTGAATTAATTATTATATTATATTTTTCTTAGTATGTTAATTTTTATCAAAATTTATCAATTATTTATATGTCTATTTCAAAAAAATTGCATTTTTTACATATTGATATACAGAGTGTTGGAAAAGCAGTAGTTGTGAATCTTTTTCTTTTCATTGCATTTTTTCAAAATATCTAGAAAGGATTTTTTTTATTTATTTATATAATTATAATTTTTTATAATTATATTTTTAAAATAGTGCTTACAAACGCGATTGCGATAAATCTTTATTTGGGCAGAAATTGAATGGCGACAAATTGTTGGCTTCGCAACATCCTAATTATATTGAGTTAGTGAATTTCTTCGTACTTTAGATCTGCAGTATATATCTTTCCTTGTATATTTTTTATTTTTTTCAATTAGTGGTTATTGTCGCATATAATTTCAGATCATCTTTCGGAAAAATAGCACAGGTGCTGACTGCAAGAAATAAAAGTGTTTCGCCTTCGAAAGAAGAAAAAAAGTCTTCTAACCTCCATTCAGATATACTTTCAAAATTGGAAGCACGCCTTTTTGAAGCAACTTTGTCTTCATTTGCCTCTCATAAACCGATGTAATCATTCATTGAATTTGCTAGAAAAATAAGCTGGTCGTCAAATTTTAATGGTAAAAAAGTTTTCAGATACTCAATTCATGGTTATCATTTTGATATATTTAAAATGAAAATGAAGTTACATTTTGTTTTATCTAGAGCATTTCACTAAAGTTCATTAAAGTTAAGTGAAATTGTTCTATAAAATGAAAAAAAAAAATACGTTCTGTACCATTATTTATATATTTCAGTAAATGTGACATCGGGACTCAGTCACATTTTTCAGTTTTATCAGGTTTGTTGTTTTTAAGGATTATGTGATTTTAAAAGAATTTGTTGATCTTTGGATATATGCAGCTCCCATTATTTTTAATTATTTTAAATCCTTATCAGAGTGCTAGAAAGATAACGTAATATTTTTTTTGCAGTAGTCATCTTAGTACCCTTGAACATTATAAATTTATCATTATAAATTTTTAATTTTCTTTTTATTAAATAAGTGAACTGATTTTATTATATCTATTTTAATTTTATGGAAAATTGGTAGTAAAGGAATTTTAGGTGCTACAATGATAACCCCACACAAAGAAATTTCAACTGCATACTCAGATATCACGTCTCAAGAAACAAATTTCGCGGCCGATTCAACAGTCTTACCACCTGCTTTATCAGCTAAAGAAACTTCTAAAACCATTACTATTAAAGAAACTCAACAAAAAATAAAAAATGAAGGAGTTAAATCTGCTGATTCACTCATAAAGCAGGTACAATTTTAAAATTTTAAGTTTCTTCTTGCGCAACAAAATTATTCATTTCTATAAAATAAGCAACGCATTCTCAATTCTTTAATTTCTATCCTTCAGTTTGGTGATTTTAACAAAAGTTTCAGTATTTTTGATTTTGTAGGAGACACCTGAGAACATTGATATTACACAAGTTTCTGTGCCAATCAGCCAAATTTCTGCAACGGCTGAAATGATGAAATCCAGTAAAAGTGCTTCACAGAATATACAAATTTCTGCCCAGTTTGATGAATGCTCTACTAAATCATCATTCAGTCCATGTCCTAATAAATTGGTAGATACTATTATCATCTCAAAGGACATGTCAAACTCAAAAAAAGCTATTTCGATTTCAAATTCTGATGTAACAGTTTCTTCTTTACCTTCTAATATATTAGCCCATCAGGCTGAAGAATCAAATGAAAATACCACATCCACTAGCGTTCAGACAGTTTCGAAGGATGTTATTTCTCCAGTTCCAAATGCCAGTTTATTCGGAGTTACTAAGAATATTGAAATATCTGCAACAATGCCTACAAAGCCTTTGGCCTCAAATGCCCCAGTAACTTTCTCGTTTTCTCTTCCTAGTGAAAAAACAGCCACAGGTGTAATATTTTATTTTATTCCATCTGAGTTTTAATTCTTATTAATTAATTTAATTAATTAATCTCATTATTCATAATTATTCATTATTTATTCATTATTTTTAATTTCAATAATTTATTCATTATTTTTTTTTCTAACTTCTTTCCTACCATTCTTCACGAATGAGTCCCATTTGTTTTAGTTGTTTCAACTTATTCAACAAATACAAGTTTGTCTGCAGATGCGACTACAAATGACAAGTATGTTAAATAAAAATACGTTAAATACATTAATATTTTTCAAAAATTTTATTAAATGAGAGAGGCTAATGGCAATTTTTTCGCTTTTTATTTAGTTAAATTTTGTTTCTTCAGTAAGATAGAAAATTAAAAAATGGGATAAAAAATAGAATATTTTACAACAATATAATACTTGTCAACTTAAACAATATATTGCATAATTATTCTCATAATTATTCTCCAACTGTGTAAAATTTTTTACTCGTTAATTGCTTGATTGCAAATGATAATTTTCAGTGATATTGGAATGATGGAAGCAGATGACACGTCAATAATGCCTTCCAATCTTTTTTCTTCATCACTGTCGTTGTAAAATTTCCCAATTTATTTTCCTAAAATTTTACTTTCAGATTTATCTCTACTTTCAATTAAATTTAGTTTTTTATGCAAGTTCAAGATCAAATAATGAATGAAAGAAATTTGTATTCTATAAATATCTGTGGTTTTGTATATTTTTTTTAAGAGGGGTGAAAAAGAATTCGACAGACGCATCGAAAAATGTATTTGGTGTTGGATTAAACCTAAACTCATCATCATTCGCTTCTTCAGGTAAACCATTCGTCATTAAATATAGTACCACGTTTTTTTGGTGGAAGTAAATAGCTCAATTTTTGGTAAAGGTCAGTCAAACTCTGTTTTCGATGCTGCGAAATTAACAATTTTTGATGGCGGGCAATCCACTGGATCAATTTATGGAGAAAATCAGTCGCCTGGATCTACCTTTAGACAAAGTTCTTTTTTTGGTGGTACTGCGTTGACAAATACATCTTCATTGTTTAGCTCGACCATTGCGAATTCGCAAAGTGCTAGTAACGTCTTTGGTGGCAATTCTTCTTGTAAATTTCTGTTTATAAATATTTTAGAAGTTTTCTAATTCGATTTGCATATTTGCATGGTAATTATAAATTTCCAGTTGCAAACAATCCTGTTTTTGGTGGTGGCGCATCATTTGGTGGCAAAGCGTCATTCATAACTGCAGCACCAGTGACCTCAATGTTTAATCAAAGCAAAAACCAGTCATCTGGATTTGCTGCGTATACTTTTATTTATTTTTTTTATTGTTTATTATATTTATTACATCTACCTTTTATTATAATTACTTTTGGTTAAATAGGATATTATCTAATAATTTTCTAGTGATGATTGCTATAATGTTATCTTAATTTTATAAAGATTTGCAAGAAGTGGCATCTCTGGTTTTGGCTCGCTGGCAGCAAATCAGCAATCCAATCAGTCGTCAGTATTTAGTGGTAATACTGGTTTCTCTTCATTATCCAAACAAGGCAATAATTCTTCGATATTTGGTGGTGGTTTGCAGAATACAAATATGAGGTTTGTTCTTCTTTAATTTTTGAAAAATTTTTTATTTTTGAAAAATTTTTAAATTACTTTACTTTTTATTTACTTTTTTTAAATAACTTTTTATTCTGGACAATTTAATGTTTGCTTTCAAAATTTTTTAATTACAAGTTTTTCACACTGCAGTTTTTTCCTGATTTTATCGAAATGAGTATATTTTTAGTTCTTCATCGTTTTCGACATGGCGGTAATTTTGAGGAATGTTTTTTGAAAAATTTCTAAATTTTTCATTTATCTGATTTATTTGTTTTGCAATTAAAAATACTTAGATAAATTCGTTCATTAGAAAACAAAAATTCGTTTAATGGAAATAATACACTGTATACACTGTATACGTCCTAGATTATTTTATTATTCAAACAAACTTTAATCAAATTTTTATTTATATTTCAAAGAGTTAGCAGTTTATTTTGTTTTTCTATCAGTTTTTATCGTAATATTAAAAATTTCCTTATTAATTTTTATTTTTGTTGTAGGTAACTTTTCGCAGGAAAATTTTTAACTTTTTCTACGGTAATCAAACAAAAAATTTTTTCGAAATGTTTGTATTTTTCAATATAAAATGCTGTTTTTCGAAGATATTTTTTATGAAATAAATAAAAAGTTTTTGATTGGTTTTGTCCATGGATTGAATATTCTTTTGCTGTGCTTTGGTTTGATTATATTTGATTTTATATTTAATTTTATTTTTCATTTTATTGAAGAGATTTCAAAAATCAATCTTATTATTTAAATTTTTTAAAAAGATATTAAGAAACTTAAGGATACAAGAAGGAAAATATTTATAAAATATTAAAATAAAATAAGAAAATTAGTGAAAAAGGCTAATTTTTCATACAATTCGATTGAAAATTGAATAGATTTCTGATCATATAATAATAGATAATAAAAATAATGGATAATAGATAGATAGTAAAAATTATTTGCAATATAATATTGGCATAAAAGGAACGGAATTGTCTCGACGCTTGTTATGGAAATCGTATGCGCAGGATGGATAAAGGGATATCGTTTAGGCATGGTTTGCTTTTATTTTTATTTTTTTTAAGTTCTGACCTGGGCTTGCTCATTAAATAGGCTTATTAAATAAGGGTGCTTATTAAATAGGCTTATTAAATAAGGAGATAGGGATTAGGGATTACAGAATTGCATAGAGGAGATAGGGATTACAGAGTTGCATAGTACTTTACTCTATTTTTTATTTTCCAGGATCAATTATCAAAAGGTATTTAACATCGAAACAAGCATCGGTTGCATTGCGTCCGTTTTATTTTGCTGTTCATCCGGATCGTTTTCATAATCCTTTAATAAAAAATTCGAATGAAAAAGCATTGCAGGTGTTCTTTGTTGTTTTTCTGCATGCATGGTTTTAATTTAAATGGAGCGTTAATCGTTTTGAATTTTTATTTTAATAAATTTTGTTCCAATATCTTCGATAGTTTTAATTTTTTAAAGTGTAAAATAGCACTACTTTATTCATTACCATGAAAATTTAATATTTAATTTCAGGAATTTAATGGTTATTTAAATGATATTTGTTCACCGAAATATTTATCACCAAAGCCAATAAAAATAATGTTTTATATTACCGATAAAAACAATAACAGAAACCAGAAATATCGAAAAATTAGTTTAGAATTAACTGGAAACGATATTCGATCAATTATTATGTTAGTCTGATTTTTTCAGCAGTTTTTGCATAAAAATCGACAATTTCAAGTGAATAATTCTTAAGTAAATCATATAGAAATTGAAAGCATATGGTGGAAAAATTAGATGGTTATTAACTTGTGCCAATGAGGAGAGAAAAAGGTGTTCGTCATACCAATATTTCAAATTTTGTAGTTCTCGATTGTTTGTTATTTTACATTGCTTTTTTTTATTTTATTTGCATTTTCTTTAATTATTTTATTTATTTGTCAATCATGAAAAGAAGATATTTGACTTTTGGGTCAAGATAATTCGTTTTTCTTTTATCCTGAATGGAAAATTTTTAGCAAAATTAAAGATTGCGCTGTAAGTATCAGAGGATTGAATGAAGATTTCTTTTACACTATACACACTGGGATTAAGGCTGAATAGGTGGATATATTTCGTTAACAGGAATAAATTAAAGTCAGTCGATAGGGTAAATATAATGATAAATTTATAATTAATTTCAATCTAAGTCAACAAATCAGTTTCAGATCAACATTACAGATATGTGATTTATCGACGGATTATATACCACCTCAAAACTGTTTTGATGGTTTTGAATTTCGAAAGAATAGTTTTATTAAAATTAATTTGAAAAGTTCTTTATTGAAATGTCGTAGAAAGGCTATTGATACGCGATCATTTCATAAGTTTGTTTCTTCCTTTTTATTCTTATTTTTTGCATAAATTTTCGTTCTTATTGTATAAATGAATTAATTTTGAAGAGAATGACTGGTGCGCAAAATTTTTTCGTATTTTTCACAGTATTAAAATAAATGAAACTTTTTCAGTTTAATAACTTTATAAGTTTCATCTTGAAAATAAAAGTGAATTTTCAACAGGTTTTATCAGCGATATCTTTAATGATTCTATTAAATTTATTTTTTAGGCGATTTGTTTGTGCCTTAAAGGACGAAATGGATATTTTGAAAAGAAAGTACGATATAAATGAAGTATAGCTTTTTTTCACTTTAAAAAGCATAATTAAATAATAATGCTTATATAGCATTAATCTATTTCATTTTTAGAAAATTAAATGGAATTTTATGGAGATAATGTGGAGAACAATATTGTAATAGGTCTCAAAACTGGGAAATTTAGATAAGTTGGTGCATGGAATGGTCAATAACTCATTTAAGGAGGAATTTGGTCGCTTTCAGTCGTCTCATGGATAATTTACCGCTTAATGAGGCATTTATAGTTAAAGAAATACTTCGTGGAAGTATTTTAAGGTTTCTTTTTTTTTCAAAATTTAACTGAAATTGGCCATTACTGTAGATTTAAACACTGTTAGAGATGTGCTTTTGCACTTTTTGTTATGTTATTTGTTATATTGCTACAACCCACAGTTCATGGATGTTTTTTTAATCGATTTAGAAAAATTTGTAATGAAGAAATTGATTTTTTAGATTCGGTCGTGGTTCGTATATTTGTTGTGATGGTGGTTTGCAGCTAGGTGTTAATGATGTATTAGAGGATTGGAGAAAGTTATGTCTCAGCGCAAATTCTTTTTGTCAGCAGTTGAATGAACTGAAATCAATTCAGAAATATATCACAGAATTTCTTGGACATGCCAATATCATGATATCTAATAAAATTCCTCTGATTGAAACTCTTCATCATCTTAGAGTTAATCATTAATCATTAATGATGTTTTATTTTTTCTTTCTTACATTTCATATATTTTTAAACTACAATGGAAATCTTTCTCAAATTATGCCATTTGCGATATTTAATTTTTTTAGTTTCTGAATCGACAAATGTTATTATATGGTGAAAATCGTAAAATTGCTACAAAATCTTTTAAAATGGTTGTGATTGAGATAATGTCCATTTATGATGAATTATCAATTTCAAAGGTTTGTTTTTCCCTTATTGTATCTTCCATTGATAATTTCAAATTTGTTTCTTGTTTTTTTTTAATCAGAAGTTCCTTTAAGGAATCGATTTGTAAATATGTTGAGAATAGTAAATACATATTGTATTCATAATAAATTAATTTTTTATTTTAATATATGATTGGTATACTAATTAGCATAAGTTTATTAGTATAAATTGAAATAAAATTTTTCATTTCAATTTTTTCGGTAAATCCAATAGATAAAATATTTTCACAATATTATATTTTCCCATTTGCAAAATTGTAAAATTTTGTCTTTTCATGAAAAGCAGTAGGGGAATCAAAATATATTTATTGATGGAATTATTTTCGTTCAATAAGTTTCATGTGAAAGATAGAAAATGATTGGCAACGAGTGACGAAATGATCACTTGTTTATCACTTGTTTTTATAGCAAATAGCAAGATCATATAGTTAATAAATTTTAAGAATGGTCACTTATTGGTCCCATGTAATGTTAATATCGATCATTTGATAAAATTTTTGGTGGAAAATTCTTGCGAATCGCAAAAGCGACAAAATTCGTTTCGTTATGTCGTTGTAAGTTACTTATCTGTTTAAGAATTTTTAATTTATTGGTTATTAATTATTATAATATGATAAGATATGGTTATTACTTGCAAGAAAAAAGGAATAAAGGCGATCGATAAACTTCTAAACCAAATAGTATAATATAGTAGTTTATTTTTGTTGCTACTAATTATTTCGATTTTTGCAGGATGAAGTGAATATCCTTTGTAAGCAGTGTATTGTTGAATTAAATATAGAGGATATTGACTGGAATAATGATTTAAATATCTATGATATAAAGAAATGTTTGGAAAAATTAAAAAATGTTCGTTCCTTAATGATTTAACTTTTCTTATGAAGGAAAATTATTTGAATTTTGAAAGTTTAATGAATGAAACAAATCGACAACAGCGCAAATGATTAGGCAATAGTTGGTCATTGAGTGAAGAGCATTTCTTTTAGTCTATATTATAGGTTGATGACGAAGTTCGTGCGTTATTAAACGGTTTATCAATATTGTTATCGAACAATCAGTCAATTTATGTGATGAATGATGGAAAATTATCGATTCCTGTTGATTATATCTAATTTTTAATTTTTTATTCTTTCTAAAATGTTTGTAATATTTTAAAATATGTGAATATATGATTTATTTTAAGTAATATCCATGAATAATTCGTCATACTAATGTGTATTAATCCGGAAGAAAGTCTTTTTCCTCTATTTCCTCATCTATTTTCTTCAAAATTTGTCAAAATTCTGTACATTCTCCTTTAAATGCTGCATTCTAATACCTCGATTCGGTTGTTCTTCTTCAGAATCTCTTCCATCCCATGATTTTAAATTTGTGTTTCACCCCGTTAGTAATATCTTTTATCCATAGCCTTTCATGATCTGCCTCACATCTCATATAACTGTAGTTTTTCGCGCTTTTCAAAGTCATGTTGATGCTCGCTGAATTCTTTTATATTCCCCAGTAGTGATATTGCCATAAATTTCCTTTTAATCTGTTAGGTATTATTATAGTTTTTTGGTATTAGTATTACAAGTCATCATATCTCTTAATCATATCATATCTCTTAAGCCTCTTTAACAGACAGTAGCATTTATTACACTCATTAATATCTTTTAAACAGCCTCTAGATTATTATGAAATATTAAATTTTTTACGATAAATTTCTTGTCATTAACGGGTATCAAAGCAACACGTGATGGAAGGAACATTAAGAGAAGAATGGATTTTGTGAAATTTTCAACAATACGGATTGAAGCCGGCAAATTACGGTTTTTTCTTGTAAATTTATAAATTATGTGACATTGGTGGGTTTGTTGTTATGTATTAAAAAATTTTATTTTGTTAAAAGTGTAGCTTCCTTAATTGAATTCGTTCTGTCTTGTATATGTTATAAAAATAAAAATGATTTTTAAAAAAATTTTATTTAGTAGAAACTTTTTGGTTTTTTGATTTGTGAAAACTACGCTCCATATATTTTTTAAATTAAAGTCCCTTTCAAAATTATACATTTTTTTCGTTTAATACAATGGGAAATTTTCTTCGGCAAGAAAATTTGAATACTATTGTGAAATATGGAATGCATTTGTTATTATTTAGCGTGGGGCTTGGCGGATGCTTTTTGGTGTTAAATATTCAAGAAGTTTTTAAAAAAAAGTTCAACTGATAAATACTCGCGAAATTTCTCGTTGGTTTAATTTCAGCTGTTGGTTGGTTTGGATTAAACTGATTGGGTTATCCATATAGATTCGTTTCAGTGAATTTTGGTTAGTTCGACTTTTTCGTATTTTTTTTTTTCTTTTATTTTATCTTTTTTGTCAGTAAAGATTTGTCAATTTCATAGAAATTCACAAATTTCGTCCCAAAATTCATTGAAATCATTTTGAAAGTTTAGTGAAAGTGTAAACAAAAATTGGTTGTCTTTTATAAAAATTTGTACAAAGCCAATGAAGTATTTAACTGAATTTGAAATACGAAACACAGCACCTATGAATTGAATTTTGAGTAATTCAACATAAGTCAAATAAGTAATGACGATATTTTTCATTTTCTCAGTATTTTATTTTTTAACGGAATTAATTCTTTAATTAATTTTGCTATATTTCCACTTATCTATTAAATTCATTCGCCATGCAAGTTGAAATTGAATTTTTTTCGTATTTGATTCTTGCAGTTTCTGCGTCGTTGGAAGACTTTTTCAAATTTTTCTTTTGCAATGCAAAGGTAATGAAAATAATTCATTTTTTAAGAAATAAATAAATAATTCAATGAAACACTATACAGCAAAGAAAAGTGATATATAATTTAATAACATTGAGCAATAAGTTTTCATTTTATATATCATAAATTTTTACGGAACTGAATTTTCTATTGGTTTTAATAAATCATTCTAAATCATTTTTCAAATGGATAAATAAATATGAATAATAAAGGACAATATTCTTTATATAAAAGATATTGAGAAATTTCTTGAAAAGAGCTTACTTGAACAAGGACTTGAACGAGACGTTATAGACAAAAAAATCCTTAAATATCCCACACGGGTTTATGCTTTAATATATCGGTAATATTTGGATCTTATTCGAAGTGATAGTGGTATAATTTCTGCATAGTATAGCAATAGATTGATCGCATTTTTCGTGAACCTTTTGTGGACAAGCTGGTCAAATGGTGTACTGCTTAGTCTAAGTTCAAAGTTCATGTTTGGACTTGTAGCTTGACGAAATGGCTTTTAATTGAGATCCTAGTGGCCTTGAGGGGAACCCACTTACACCAACTTTTCTGAGTGATTCTGTCTCTGACGAAATGGCTTCACCTTCAGTAACCAGTCGTCAGTCAAAGGGAAATGGTAATAGTGATGCTGAATTGCTAACAGAATATTAGATACAGTATAATTCGACGTAATATTCCGATCACAGTCATACTGTAGACTGTGATACTTATAGATCTAAGAGAAAATCTATGATTATTTTGTTAAGATTAATTAGTTGTAAATATCATAAATAAGTTGTATCGTCGGATGACTCGGTATATTTCAATAGAAAGGAATTATTTTGATTAAAACAGTTATCAGGATTATTATCTGGATGATTCTCATCGAATTCATCAATAGTTGCTAATTTAATATGACTATTTATAATAGTATTATTGATAATGGCAGCCGATGACAATTTATTAATTTCGTTCTCACTGCTATCAATATTAATTTTTTTACAGAATTGAAATAAACAAGAGAATTTCCGAAAGAAATTACTACGATAGTCATGTGAACATATACAAAAAATATAAAATTGTAATGAATGATTGCTAATTTCAAGTAAATTGGCAAATGCGCGAAATATTTGATAATCAAAGCGTTTTTTAATATTTTCATTAATAAATAATAAATTTATTGCTGCGGGAATATTACAGATTATAAACATGATTATTATTGTTATCAAAATTATGTAAATTAATTTTTCTTCTTTTTTAGATTTACGTTGAAAAAGTTTTCGTCGTAAATGAAAAACTTTTATAATATTCAAATTGAGAATTGCAACGATTACTATTGGCGCAAAGCGAAGAATTGCTTCTCTCGTCCATTTATAAATCTGTAAAGAATTTTTTACTGAAAAAACAAAAAAAGTTGGTTTTTTTCCTGTAAATAAGATTTATTTATTAGAAAATTAAGATAGCCAAAAAAAAGAAATTTTATGGGGAGCTTGAAATGATTTCTTCATATAATTTTCTCATTTCTTCATTTTTTTATGTTTCTATGAAATAATTTTCTGAAGAATATTATGCTAATAAAATGAGAAATTTTTTTGAGAAAATAGATATCGAATGTTGTGAGAAATCTGTTTAAAGTTTAGCAATTAGCTGATTGATTGTAAAATGATATTAAAGATTTGATACTTGAAAAACTGAAAAATTTTTGGATAAATACGAAGGAATGAACGTAAGTTGGGTTAAATTTTGAAAAAAATTTTGACTTTTGACTATTACATAGAAAGGATAGATAACTTTGATATTTTAAGATGATGAAATAGAAAATAATTTACTTGAAATGAATGTTTTATAAGGGAATTTGCCGAGAAAGTTAAGTTTCAAGTTTATATCTTTAATGGTTTAATAGGGAGAAAAGGAATAAAAGAAGGGTCTGAGCAAATCATTTATTTATGAAATTCGGGAGTCTCCAATATTTTAGGTTTTGTTGCGAAGAAGAATAGCTTAGAAAGAAGATTAGGAATATATAATTCGGAATTCAATTTTAATTTGCAAAATTTAGATTTCCATCAAGGCGGATTATTTAAAATTGAATTTTGATGATGAAAATTTATACAATTTATAATAATTTTTTTATAATATTTATCAATTTTAAAGAAATAAAATGAAAGCAAACCTGCCATTTAAAAGTTTTCGAAATATCACTATCTTCAGTACTGTAGATAACAATAGTCTTATTGTTATGATTAATATAATTATATTTGATAGTATATCGTAATAAAGCGTATGGTATATAAAATATTCCAGCAAATAAATAGATCGAAATTACATAAATATATGAATAATTATTATTATAATTACGATATTTAATAGGGAATAATATGGAAATGAAACGTTCGATACTTAATAGAACGACAATATAAACACTAACTGATAACGACCAATTTATCAGTGATAACATGAAATACGTTTGATAGTAAACGATAATAATTGAATGATTTAGATTAATAATATTGAATTGTTTAACAATTTCGATGAGAACAAATATTAAAACGAATAACATACAGAAAATATCGCTAATTGCTAAAGCTTTTAAATATTGAAATAGTTTTGATAATGAATATAAAATTATTAAATTAATTATATTACCAATTAAGCCGATTATACAGATTATCGGTAATATATAGCAGTAAACTATAAGTGATAGTTGAATTTCAAATAATGACTGTTGATTGATAGTGGTCGACGATGATGGCGATAAATAGGTGGATGAGGAGGAAGAGAACAAGAAAGTTGTGGATATATTTGACATCTAAAATGTATAGATTTTTATTTTTTAAGAAGAAATTCCGAAAAAATTTTATAAACGCTGTCGTCTGAATTATTTGAATTTTCTGATAGATTTAAGACAGAGTTTATGTGATGTGATGTGATGAAATAAATTTTTTGAAGATTTTTAGCGAATAATGAGAAATTTTTTATTGAAAAAAGTTTTTTTTTTAAAGAAAATCCATTTTCTTTTCGTGCAAATTTTTTCGAAAAATTTTAATTTTTTTCTTACTTGGCATGTATTGATGATAATGGTTTTTGTACAGTTTTACTTGTCTTTACAGAAAAAGATTTTCTACTGAAAAGAATGGTAATAATAATTTTAAGCAAATCATTCTTTGTTTCATCGGAACTATTAGAAAATTAGAATTTTATAAAATTCAACGGTAACGGTTCCTGGTTCGATTTCCTTGCTTTGCCTCCTCGAATCAGACAAGGAACCACTCAGCGACAGAATTATAGGTAAATCGCCACTCGGTTTCTTAAAAGACAGGCTTACTGTGGGAAATGGAACCTGAACATGGGCGTTCCGACATAAAAATAAAAATAGCAACTCGTTGAGCTATTATATCCCTACAAAATTCGACATATGGCTTTGTTTAACAAATTGACTAGTTTTATGCGGTAAAAATTTTCAAACGTATGTTATAGAATGAACCACATCTTCATTTGAAATGAGTGGATAATTGAATAAATCATAGATTGACATAAGAAAAATATTTATTATATTTGCGAAAAAAGATTATCTAGGTTGAATTAGTTTATAAAAATTTAATTTTAGTATTTTTAGTTAAATTGTAATTTCAATATCTTTAATTCACTTAAAATTTTATTGTTATTGTTAATGAAATACTGAATATAAAAAAAATGGTAGGACGACCGAGTTGCATTAGTTTTGATTGGAATTAGGTATTATGAGTTGGATTTGCCCTTTTTATTGCAGCAAACCTGTCATTAAGAATGAAACTAGGTGGAGATTTATCTACTCCAAATTGATTCTCTGATTTAAAGGATTTCAACCTATTAGTCACCAGAACCAAGCCAGAAATGGTGATGGAAGAAAAAGACGAAAAAATATTGCATGAAATGAAATGTTATTTTTAAATGATATTTTACAATTTTTTTCAACAGTGACTTTCTTCATTAATTTATTTCATTGCTCTTGAATTTTTCAATTGGTTTTTCACATTTTTTGTAAATTTTGCTGGTAAATTTTTATTCATCAAGATTTATTTTGATTTAATTTCTTTATCACTTTCGGTTTTGCTTTTTAGAAAAATTTAATTACAATTATTTTTTTTTAGTTATCAATGTCCGAGGAAGATAATGAGGTTGGTTTACCGCAAAAGGGTTTGAATTTGATAATAAAGGATGTAATACCAGAAATACGAATTGCTAATGAATCTCGAGAATTATTGAACTTATGTTGCGTCGAATTCGTGCATTATGTTTCACGTGAAGCCCAACGTATATCTTTATTAGATCAACGTAAAACAATTTGTCATGAACATATTCAAAAAGGTTTCTTCTTATTTACCGAAAATAATTCAAATGAGCTGTTGAAATACAATTATGCATTTATAATTATTATTAAAATTTTCCTAATTAATAGTTAGCTCTCATCATTTCTGGTTAGGGTCGCTCACTATGATTATCAGGTAATCATTTGGGGATAGAAAACCTTGTGGATTCCCAGCACTGGACTCTTCAAGTTTGTCTGAGGATGCGCCCAAACTTTGATGCTCGTGACATTGATTTGAGCAACTACCATTCGGTCAATTTGCGCCTCATAAGTTTTGAAACTTAAACTTGAAACTTAAAAAAAATTTTAGGAACAATAAAATGTTTGTCAGCAAAGTGCATTTTTATAAATTTTTATAGATTTTTTCAAATCAAAATAAGTTTAATTATGTCGAAGCATGCAAAATAATATGAAAATTGTTAGATATTTTTTCGTGTTTTAAAAAATTTCTTTTCGATAAAACTTGAACAAGTTTCTTTTAAATTTCAAAATATAAAGCATTTATTTTATTATTATTTAAAATCGAAAGCCTTTATTTCTAATTTTTTTGTTTCAATTTTTTTGAAATTATTTTTTTACTATTTATTTAATTTAATGAAAAAGTTAAACGAAAAATTGTAAAAAAATATATATATATAAATGATGATTTAAAAAAATGAATATTAACTAAAGTCGAGGAAAATTTATTAGCCAAAATTATTTTTCAGATGTCATTCAACCACATTTTTCTGTTTATAATAACTCTTCTATAGCCTTCTCTTTTTCCATCATGTAAAATTTATGACAATTAGAGGAAGTAACTGAAAATAAGTGGTTAATGCTCACTATTTCTGGTTAGATTCGTTGCACTGATTATCATGATAACGAGAAATTTTTGGGTAATCTATTGCTGATGGAAATACAAGTGGAAATAGCTAGCATAACCCAGATTTTTTTAATGATAAGTTTAATGACAAATTCTGTCGATAATAAATCCGAATAACAACCACTCGATTGGATAATGGTTAGAAAAATTTAATAATTAGGTCTTATTAAAATAATATAATATAATACTGTAGTGATAATAATGATTAGCGTGATTATCAATGTCAGTAGAAATGGGTTTGCCATATTAAGACGAAAGACGAAGAAAGAATGAAAAAATTGTGAATTAAATTATATTTTTTGATAGAAATCATTTTTCTTTAGCAAGCGATTTCGTATGCGACAAAAGCATTTTAGCCATTTTTAAGGTTTAAAAAATCTATAATTTTAAGATTTTAAGAATATTTTGTTCCCCATTTTTTTGCAGTGAATTTTATTATTAAAATTATTAAATTTTAAAATTCTGCATAATTTTAAAAAATTTGGTTTAAAAAAAATGGTTTAAAAAAAGGATAAAATTAGCAATAAAAAGAATTGAAAAATCGCGTTATATGGTTAGCATAATCGAAAAATTAAAAATAAGGCTGAACGAAGTGACAGCTGAATAACTAAAAGAGAAAAAAGTTATTTGAAGAAAATTATTGGTCTTCGCAATCTCTTCGATAAAAGGGATGGACCAAAAAAACGGCGATAGAAAGTATTTGGAACGAAATTTTTTTTTAGCCTTTACGATGATCTTCGAATTACTAAAAAATTTCTCCGAAAGTCCTTCACGAGTTCACTTATCACTGAAGTTCTCGTAGAAATTTAATCACATTTTCATTTAGCATTTCATTTAGCACCTTGCACCATTACTGGTTTACCTAGTTCCGATGGCAACTAAGGAGAATCAGAAATAGTTCTTTTCATCTCAGAATTTTTTCGAATTCCAGCTGTAATAATTACAATTTTTTTAGCACTTATGAATTTGGGTTTTCCAAATGATTATATTGATGCAGCAAATAGCGTACTTAATGAATGTAGAATTGCTGCAGAAAATAAATTGAGAAGGAAAAATTCTCGTCTCGACAAGTGTGGAATACCGGAGGACCAACTATATTTATTACAACAACAGTTAATACAAAAGGTTCGTTTTTTCTTTGCGACAGTATTTGTTTTAAAATAGTTTTAGTAAAATATGGCTGCGAGGATTAATTTGCATTAATTTATGATTTGTTTGCTAATTAATTCAAGTTAGTTCAAATATCACTAGGGAATTATGACTTTTCATTTTAATTATTGAATGCAAATTTCAAACAAAAAAACTTTTGCATAGTTTTTGCAATTTTTTAAAATCTTTAGTTAGGCCCATAAAAAATATGTATTACTTAATTTTTCTTAATTGTTATTTTATGATTAATTCATTTAAGTTTAATTTTCTTTATATTCATTCTTAGAAAATATTGATATCGATAAGTAATTCGGAGAATATGCGTAAGCTTCTAATTTTAAAATTGCTAAGTTCAAGCACATCGGAAGAAAAATCGGAAGAATCGGAAGAACTTTTCTTTTCCAATAAAAACAAGAAAATAAAATCTTAATTATTGATAACTAAAATTCATTACGTTAAAAGAATTTAGTTGTGAAATAGTTATAGTTCGAATATTAATTTTTATTTTTGCTGGATTTTTTCTTTCACGAATCTTTATAATTTGACGTTTAATTGTTTGGAAAAAAATGGAGAAAATAAGGAAGGGAAAATCATAGAATGAAAAAGGGAAGATAAGAATCAGCGGGAGGAAGCAGTTAAACGACTTTTACTATTCTAGAAATTTGTTAAATTTTGAATGAAGCAACCAAATAAATTCTATAAATACTATCAATTGCTTTTTTTTTCTTCTAAAAGCTCTCACCATACGCTGGCTCTGCTGGCTACAAGACGTTTCCAAGCTGCTCGGTCCCACGCCATCGCTAGAAGTATATTATAAACCATTCCTTTTTCCATCGTCTAAGTCCATATCTCTTTGGTCTCCCTATATGTTCAAATTTTTCCTGACTGTGTCAGTCCAGGTCTACCTCGCTTATGACGCCACCCAACATAGAGTTGAGCAAGTAACGAAATATATGTTAACTCTTGTGGTTGGCGACGAAGAACATGCCCTAAGACAGCGAAGACAACGTTTTGTTAATGCAAGTGGTATTTGAATGAAGTTGGATGCGATTATGAGATTTTATCCACTTGGCGAACCATAAAATGTACTTTAGACATGAGTGGTCAAAAGTTGATAACTTCTTAATATCTTCCATTTTCATTGGCCGTATTTCGGATCCATATAGCAAGATCGAGTGAACTGCAGTTATATGGTTGCGGATTTTCGTCTTTACGATGAGATATTGCCAGCGAAATTAATATAAAATTTAGGAAAAAAATTGTCCAAAATTAAAAATTTTTTTATAAATTATCAGTCGATTATGCGCTACGAATCTTTTTTTTTTAGTAAAATTTATTTTTGAAAAATAGCTTACAAAAATAGCTTTGAAATGAATCAATAATAATTCTACACCAATCCAGGCAACAGTAGTTGGATTTCGGCAAATTAGGTTTTATTATTCTGTATAATGAAGAACATACTTTCATGGATAATTTATTTCGACGTAATACGATTTATTTAGCAGGGTTCCAAAAATTACAAAGTGCATTCCTTGAAAACTATTCATAATAGAGTTTTTTGAAAGAATAGTCAAATTTTCTAAAAAAATTTATTATAGGCTCGAGAAGAACAACTCGTAGCTGAGGCAGCTGAATATAATCGAATTAATGAATCGATCATTGAACAACAATTACTACAACAGCACAAACCAATTAATATGAATAGTATCGATGATGATGATGAAGATTACGACATTGCATAACCATTTAATTGATGTGGCGATATTGGACTTCATTTGAGTATGGCAATCGAATAATAAAGATATAACTTGGTCTATACAGGATTATAGGAAAAATTTAAAGATTACTAGGAATAGCAGCATTAAGATGATTATCTTCGTTATAGTGATAAGGACGATACTGAACTGGTACAGCAGTTGGTTTCAGTTTTGTTGTAAATAATTTTTGTTGAATTTCGCCGCGAATTTCAACAATTATGCTTATACTTATGATAAATTTATCTCTGAAATAACATCTCGTTGAATTTTTAAAATCGAATTCTTCTTAATTTTTGGTAAATAAAATTGAAAAAAGGAAGGAAGGAAGAAATAAAGAATTTGAAATTGAGAATAGCGAATAACTAAGTTCGATAAAGATTCTTTTGTTGAAAACAATAAAAATTTTATTGAACAGAAAGATGCCATTTTTGCTTTTTGTTGTATTGCTAATTTGTGATATTTCATAAATTTTAAATAATTTAAAATTTCATTTTGGCATCGAGAAAAATGGAAAGAAAAGAGGGAATTTTTCATTGTTTGAACAATTCAAAGTTAATTTTTTTTCCATATCATAATGTTAAATAATTTTTTCATTTAATAAATTATGAGTGATAAAAATAGATTTCTATAAACTGAAATAAATTTCCGAATTCGAATTCATTGAAAAACACAAATGAGTAAATGAGTAAAGAAAACGTATTTTCATCATTTTTTTAGTTCTCAGCAAGAATTCAATTAAATCTATTTTTATGAGATTTTAAGAAAAGATAAAAAGATTTACTGTGTTTCTGGATTAAATTCTTTTGATCTTTTGATCGTTGAAATCCGTGAAATTTTTGAAAAAAGTGGGAAAGTGGAAAATTTAAAATGCAAAAGCTTTTTATTCATTAAAAGAATTTATTATTAAAAAAAACAAATAAGCGGTCAGCATTTATCAATTCTAATTAAATTTTCTACATTTGATGTGTTAGTTTTAAAAGTAAAAAGAACTTACGTTGGGTCATAAATTTGACAAAGATTTATTAGTGTTTTTTGTTTATTTTTTCGTACCAATTCTTCTATTGTATAATAATGAACATCTATCGAATTATAGTTGTTTTTTATTAAATAATCGTTTGCTGAGTCGATTGAATCAAAACATAAATTAATACATCCACGTTTACAAAATCTGTATTTATCATATGCAATTTTTGATAAAAAATATTTCATTTTTTCATCATTTCGCACCTTAAAAATCGAAAAATTATAATTAAATTATATTTTATAAATTACATTTAATTAAATTTCAAATTTGCATCCACAATGTTATTTAACAAAAAAACAATTTAATATTTGTCGATAATTTCGACTGATACGGTCAAAAAAATTTTTAATTTTTATAGGTGGACCAGCAATATATGGACTTAGAAAATTTAGTATAATTTAGTATAATAATAAAATATAATTTATTATTTATTCCAGATTCCAAATAATTTATTTCCTTATTAAATAATGATTAATAAAATCAAAAATGAAGTTGTGAGTTTTTTGTAAATAATGCTAATAACAATACTAATTTAATGAAAAATAAATGAAAAATTAAGCATAATAAATTAAGAATCATTAGTGGAAACATTTGATAAGGAATCGATCGAATTAGCCATAGGCAAATTGGACTGCGGATTTCAGCATTTTCAACGCTATAGGTTTTATACTTTTATACTTTTCCTTCTCGGGAAAAATGCACTTTGTATGCTTGCATGCGCTTTTAGTAATTGGTCGCTGTTATATACAATATTATATACAAGTTATCTTACTTACCTTTATAATAATATCTTTGCATAAGGCACTAATTCGGCTAAAATCACATAAATTTTTATGAACATTCCAGTGAATTAATCGACATTGCTCATTGCAATAAAAATATTTGTAACAATATTTGCATGAAAATTGCTGTCGTTCATTCTTTAGTTTAAAGCAATTCGAACAATTATAAACTTCATTCTGAAATTATTTTTTGAGAATCTGTAAAAAAATTTTGGTACGAGAAATTGATACATCCTTTCGAGGTAAAACTGGTGCTTGTCATGATTGTATTAAATAGGAGTTGGAGAGATAATCAAAAAGGAAGGTATGGCTAAGCAGGAACTAGTGAGGAAAAAATAACAATAGCAAAGATAGCAAAGATAAAGTTGCGAATGAGGGATCAGGAAAAAGCAACAATCGAAGTAGATGGAAAGATAGATGAATAATAAATAAAGGAACAAGAAATAATTAGAACCGAAGGAGCAACTACCCTAAGGCTGCAAAATGATAACGAAAATTTTCTTAGGGCTTAAAGAATAATTTTCTCGTAAAATATTGTGAAAATTTTATCATAATTTCGATCATTGTTCATAAATCGGAGGTTCAAATAAATTCATTTTTAATTAAAATGAATATCAAGATTTTATTCTATTGAGAAGATGACTGCCCTTCACACCTTTCTTTATTCTAGGATTACATTTATTATTTAGTTAATTTAATATATGAAATAGAAGATTTTAACAGCGATTTTTAAAGTCACTTTCATCTAAATTAGCACGTTAATTTAATGCATTTTGCTTTATTATATGAAAAAATGGATTTATAATATTCACAATATTACACAATGGTTGAAAGCTGTTACTTCGCTTGAAGATGCACAAGATAGGTTCAGTTATGTGCTCCTTAACAGAAAGTAATTTATGTCATTACAACTGATAGAGGAACCATTTTTCTATGCATAAATGACTCTATAAAAGTTTTTCAGCAAAAATGGTACATTATTAGAAAAAAAAGAAAAAAACTCCAGTAAATAAAAATCACTATTACTATTATGAAGAAATAATGTAATATATATAGCTATTTAGTGCTTTAATAGAATTATTTTTGAATTAATTTCTTAAAAAATTTTTTTGCTTACAAAAATTTGATTATCCATATTTATTCTTTTTGTTCCATGGTTTGGCATAATATTATTTTCACTGAAAAAAAAATAATAGAAGAAAAATTTACTTTTTTTTAAATTAATAACCCATAATTTTTCTTTCTTTACAATATATTATTATTTTCCTTTCATGTCCGCAAAAAATTATATATAATTTAATCTTTATTTAATGTTTTGAAAGGACCAATCGAAACAATTGTATGCTGGAAGAAAAAACGTAAAATAAATAGAGTAAAATAAACCTTGCACCATTCTGGTGAAATTTTGATTCTTTGTTTATCTGAGAACTAATGGCAACTCCCTTGGTTAGTTCTTTATTATCATTCCCTTAAATTTTTTGTTCTTAAGGAAACTTAGTTAGGGAAAATATTGCGAAAATAAAAATTCTATAAAAGCAATTAATTAATTTTAAAAAAAACCATTTGGTGAAAGATTGGTCTGTGTAACCACATCAGCTAATTCAACGATTTTTGTTTCTCTGCAAATATTAACTCACTTATTGGATAATATAATAGTGCATGTCACACAGTTCCATGAATTTCCTTTACCTATTTATCTGTGTATATATGAGTATATCGATTCAGTAGTACCTCGACGAATGTGAAAGTGAAGCTAGGAGGTAAAAAAGGCGGATTATATGATGATCAAAAATTTGTTTATATATATATATATGTATATATTTATTTGGTGTATATATATATATATATATATAGAGTAGTAAACCGTTTATATGGTTAAAGATTTGTCTGAGATAAACCAGTCTTTATTTCGGCAGAATTTCAACGTCGATAAATGGCCAAACCAACGAGGCCACAATACATCTTCAACAGGAATAGAATAACTTGCTCAGTATTTTGGAGTGTTGTAGGAATTCGGTGAAATAAGATTTTTGGTGTGTTGTTCGTTTACATTTCCAAAGCAGGAAAATCCTTGATTTAAGAAGGAAGCATGTATGGAAGCGTTGTAGAATAATCAAATTCCTGTTGCGAGATTGTTCAAGAGTTACGATTGAGTCACACGAGCAAATAAACTATTAAGTTAATAAATTTAATAGTTTAATCCTTCAGTCCTGGAAAGATAAATTCTTCTTCCTCTAACAGCTCTCATCATTACTGGTTAGGCTGGCTCCAATGGCTACAAGAATAAGACGTTTCCAAGCGGCGCGGTCTGATACTATCGTCAACAGTAATGGAAGCCATTCCTTTTTACATCGTCTAAGTCCATATATTGCTGGTCCACCTACACGTTCAAAATCTTTTCTGACCGTATCATTCCAGGTCTTGATTGATCCCCCTGGCTTTTGACGCCAAGTGTCACACGGTTTAGCAAA